TGAAATTTGGCATGCAGGTAGATGTTATGACGTAGGCACCCGCTAAGAAAGGATTTTGGTTAATTCTACCCCTAAAGGGATAAAATAGGGGTTGAAAGTTTGTATGAAACTTTGTCAATTTTAAACCGATCGGGCTGAGACTTTACATGCATAAAGCTATGACTTAGTCATCCCCTAAGAAAGGGTTTTGATAAATTTCACCTCTAAGGACAGCGAGCGAGCGAAGCCGCGGGCAAAAGCCAGTAAAAATATTAAGTATTTATGTCAGTTGTCTAGTACCCATTACACAAGCTCTGCTTACCGTGGGACTAGATGGCGCTGTGTTAAGTTGCGTAAGGTTTTACAACAAAATAATGCCTTCCAGCGATCTTGACCAGATCGTCGGTCCACCTTGCTGGAGGCCTTCCCACGCTGCGTCTTCCGGTCCGTGGTCGCCACTCGAGGACTTTATGCCCCAACGGCCATCTGTCCTACGAGCTATGTGCCCTGCCCATTGCCACTTCAAAGTCGCAATTCTTCGGGCTATGTCGGTCACTCTGGTTCTTCTGCGGATCTCCTCATTTCTGATTCGATCACGCAGAGTAACTCCGAGCTTCCATTATCATACACAAAAAAAAGTCTGTCAGCTTTACTTCACAGGTAATTGTGAGATGAATATTCCTCAAGGTTTGAACGCTCGATGATCGTTAATCCTCGATCACTAATGATCCACCATTGTCTGTCTAATTGCCAACGTAAAGTAAATTATTAAATCATTTACATTTAGTGTTCATTGCCATATTATGATAACAGAATTACGGAAAAACACGTTCGCTTCAAACAAAACTAGTTCTGTAGCTCAAAACTAAACATCAGATATGTTTGCAGCAGCGAGCATAGATGGTTTTCATGACATAATGCGGTAGAACTGGATCACTGATCAAAATCAAGATATTTTTATTCATGTTTATTATAGACTCTTGAGTTTGGTTAGGTAGTTAGGGCAGGGTGGGGCGAGAACCCCATCCTGCCCCACCGTGGGGCACTCATCCTTAATATTGGCATATAGCTCAACAAGCCAGCTGCTACAAAACAAGCTGCTAGCGGAGATGGAGCGACGACTAAATTAATTGACTGAATTGCTAGTTATTATATTATTATAATATACATAGGAAACAGTCATACCGATACAAACGATCATACTTATGAATAAAAATTTTTGTACCGTGCGAGGAATCGAACCCGCGACCATCAAACGTAAGGCGGTGTGCTAAACAGCTGAACCACCGAAGCCGTCAATATACTATTCCCCGAACAGTAATTTTCTACACAAATTTGTCACGATTCGTTTCCAAACAAGTTTATAATTATATAATGAACAAACGCATTGAACATCTATTAATTTGACCTCAACCGTAATCGAACCTGTGACCTCTGGTGTAATTCGTAACCTGTGCTCACGCGTCCTTCGCAGATTCGAACCGGTAATAACCCGGTGTGCAGCCACGTAATAACCCCGTCCAGTATATGTTTGTCATTTCCTGTCAGCAGAGCTGTCATATGTGATAGTTGATGCGTGACCACAATGTCTGTTGAATAGAAAGATCGGTTTACATTGATTAAGTCCATTAATTAATCTTTAATGTTTATCTCTAATTGTCATATTCAACTACACTCGCGAGCAACCAAATCGACTCAAGCGCTACCACTACATTCAAACATTGTTCTAAAAAAAGGAGACAAGATTAAAAAAAAAAAATTTTTTTTTTTTTTTTTTTTTATTATTATTTTATTTATGTCATTTGAAAGCTTGAAATTTTTACGGACAGACAGCGAGAGCGACTTTGTTTTATTTATACTATGTAATGATAAGTGTGCGAAATTACATACACCTTCCGCTCAAATTCCCTAAAAAGGGGTGCAAAGTTTTGACTTCAAAAATATAACACTAGTAGTTAACTAAATAATCAACTTGCTAGTCAAGTTGAACGGCTTTTTATACTACTTACACACTGTATGTATAATATATATGTATTCAAATAATATCAAACAATAATATCTATCCTCAATTTGACCACAGAGAAAAGTCAATATGTCATTTATGTGAAAGGGTATACAAATTTACAATAAGATACCAAAGGATATACTGGGATTACCATTAATTACATTCAAAACAACTGTTAAATCATATTTACTGAGCAAAGCCTATTACTCATTAAACGATTACTTGAATGACAAGCGATAACACTAGTAGTTAACTAAATAATGAACTTGCTGGTCAAATTGACCGGCTTTTTATACTACTTATGCACTGCATATATAAAATATATATTCAAATAATATCAAAGAATAATAATCCATTCTCAATTTGACCACAGACTTTAACAATAAACAAAAGAGCTTATCGCACACTTAACTCAAAAATTACAAATTTTGGAAAGGCCACTTTATAAATGTTGCATTAAAGTCTCAATTCAATCATTTAAAATTTCTAAATTACACCAGTATTGCATTAAACATGCGATATATACGTGTGTGTAATGTGTGTTATTGATTTAATGTATTTCTAGCATAATATAAAAAAATATATTATTTTTCATACTCTTTCTTTCTTGCAATATTCGTGAAAAGTAATACAAATTTCATGCCTCAAATATCTAAATATATATATAACTAAACTAAAGGTGACTGACGTAGTGATCTATCAACGCACAGCCCAAACCACTAGACGGATCGGGCTGAAATTTGGCATGCAGGTAGATGTTATGACGTAGGCATCCGCTAAGAAAGGATTTTGATTAATTCTACCCCCAAGGGGATAAAATAGGGGATGAAAGTTTGTATGAAACTTTGTCAATTTTAAACCGATCGGACTGAGACTTTGCATACATAAAGCTACTATGACGTAGGCATCACCTAAAAAAGGATTTTGATAAATTCCACCACTAAGGGGATAAATCAACGCGAGCGAAGCCGCGGGCAAAAGCTATTTAATATATAGACTTGAATACTGATTTTGCCGGTCAAGTTGACAGGCCTTCTTTACAACTTATGCACCGTACTTTCCTATAAACTTGACGAATGTAAATCGAGCGTTAGATCCGTTGGCGATGGTTGATATTAATTTCATGGTGATTTTCATTTAATAAGATGATGGCATATCGACCCATAATTACAAGGAAATTATAGTTACATTGTATGTATTTTTTCTCCAATAATGGATAAATAATATGTTGATATGAATAATTTCAGGTATTTAATTTAAACGTTGCATGTTATATGCACGACCGAGTGTTGTAATTATTATTTTCGATATTGTTGTTGATATTTCTTTAATTGATCCAACCGAGAATCGAACTGACGCGGTACATAACTACCAACAACTCTATTATAATAATAAAGACATTTATTCAGCAGTACAGCAGTATTCTTATTTACTACTATACCCGCGATTTCGTCCGCGTGTATTAACTATATTTTTCTAAAATAAAAGTAGCCTAAGTTACTCCTTATTACATCAGCTACCTGCCAAAAAAAGTCCCGTCAGAATCGGTCCAGCGATTTCAGAGATAAGCCGGAACAAACAGACCTATAGACAGACAGACAAAAATTGTAAAACATGTAATTTTAGTGTATGCACCGTATTTATATTCATATGCATGTAGTAAAAAACGGTTATTTCAATATTAGAAACAGACACTCCAATTTTATTTATATGTTTTAATATTTACCATATAACTCAGAGCTAAAAACATACTGGTAACGCTGAATGTGACTCCCACTCAGCATTTATACTGCAGTATAACTAAGTGATACCGCAGCGCTGATTTTAAGTGGGGCCATCAGACACGAGACAGCGTAGTACAGGTAACAATGATCGATCCCCCGTCCAATTCAAACGGGGATCGAAATTACGACGGCCTGAGCCGAGGTTCGAACCCCTATTGGTGCCCTCAGACTAAAATCGTATTCGTCAGGCGGGAGTTTCCCTTCAGCCGCTCCATAAGTCCTTCCGAGGGTTGGAGTGATCTGCACTCGCCCCCTATCGTCCGGTGAAGCTGTATAGGCCAGCTGCGGTCAACAACATTAGAAAAGTTTGAAGAAAAAATCCAATTAAAGAAAATGTTTGTTATTCTGAAAATTCATTATAATTGAAATTACTTGCACATTTGTATCAAACTTTTATAATGTCTTCAATAGTTCATACGAATAAGTTAATGATAGGTGCTTTCTTTGGTAAATATCGAATTATTCAGTTAGGTATAATTCTAAAACAAACTTGTTTATTGAATCTGTATTTTTGAAAAGAATAAGAGCTGATTTTCTAGTCAGTTCTTCTTGGTTCGACAGCACTCCGAACTGACTGTAGATTTGACATATATATATATACATATATAACTCAAAGGTGACTGACATAGTGATCTATCAACGCACAGCCCAAACTACTAGACGAATCGGGTTGAAGTTTGGGATGCAGGTAGATGTTATGACGTAGGCATCCGCCAAGAAAGGATTTTGATTAATTCTACCCTCAAGGGGATAAAATAGGGGATGAAACTTTGTCAATTTTAAACCGATCGGGCTGAGACTTTGTATGCATAAATATTCTATGACGTAGGCATCCCCTAAGAAAGGATTTTGATAAATTCCACCCCTAAGGGGATAAATTAACGCGAGCGAAGCCGTGGGCAAAAGCTAGTATCATATAAGTCTTGAAGTCCTATCACGGGTTGGAGTGCCATCTGCACTCGCCCCCTATCATCCGGTGAAGCTGTAAAGGCCAGCTGCGGCCAACAGCATTAGAGTAGTCCGAAAAAAAGTGGGGCCACCACACATGAGACAGCGTACGTACAGATCACAAAACGTTATGATTAAGATTTTATAAATAGGTATAAATATTAATGTATATGTAAATGACGAGAGACCTGGGACCTGCATGTCCTAGGCCTCTCCAAGGCTGCAGTCTTAATTGTGTTGGTTGTTTACAGTGATGCAGCGGTGTGCACCCGCTGCTTCCTCCGATGGCGGGGCACCAGCTCCGCCTGCTGCTGTGGAAAGACTACCTCATCAGACGACGGAAATGGGTATTGTCAATATTAAAGAATTATTATATTATAATATCTAATATATAAAATTCTCGAGTCAGTGTTTGTAACACTCTAAAATGGCTTGACCGATTCTTATAAAGATATACGTGTAGTATAGTTATACCAGTTATACTGAGTAGAGCTGAGAATAAGACGTATAGTATTTTTCATACCCTAAGTGTCAAAATTGTATAGTATATTTTATATTTTTTGGATTCTTTTTTTATTATGATGATGAACCGACAGAGGTGTGTGTGAGGTGTTTTTTTTTTAATTTCAGTTGTTTTAGTATAACTTAGCTTTTTTTAAACATACATATTTAAATTCAAAATATCTTTATTCGTGTAGGTCTATTACAGACTCTTATGATACATATGTCAAATCTACCGTCAGTTCGGTATGATTTCGAGATGAGAAGAATTATTATTATTTTAATTAATAAATTTGTTGCAGGTAACACTGGCGGGAGTGGTATGGGCTGTGGCTGTTGTATTCAGTCTGTACATAGTACGCATAAATGTGGATAACCAGGACTTTCCAACTTGTGAGTATTAACGTATATATTTTAAAATAGTTCGTCTGTATCAACACTGAAAGTTGACTATCCCGCTTTATTACGTATCTTTTTTTCTTGGAGACAAGCAAGCTTACGGCTTACCTGATGGTAAGTGATAACCGCCGCCCATACGGAGGGGGGGGGGGGATTGTTAGTAATGTGGACTAATAACACATTTCTAGTAATGTACTGTGTCAGGTTGACCTCCACGTGGTTCCCCCGGGAAACCATCGTTATAACTTCCTGATGAACTTGTCACGATGGGCTAACCGACCTGACCTTGGATAGGGGATTGTTAGTAATGTGGACTGATGATCTCATTGCTAACAATGTACCATATCAGGTTGACCTCCACGTGGTTCCCACTGGAAAGCATCGCGATAAATTCCAGGTGAATTGACATGGGGGCTAACTGACCTGACCTTATGCTCATATTATCATCCTCCACTGTTGTCCGGCCAGCGTAAACCGTTAGGGCATTCGAGTGCACCATTCCATTATCACATAAAAAAAAACCGCCGCCAATTGGAGGGGAGGGGGGGGGGGGGTACTGTATCTGGTTGACCTCCACGTGGTTGCCTCTGGAAAACATCACGATAAATTCCTAATGAACATGTCATGATGGACTACCTGACCTGACCTCATGCTCATATTATCATCCTCCACTGTTGCCCGGCCAGCGTAAACCGTTAGCGCGGGCGAGTGCACCATTCCATTATCATCCATAAAAAAACCGCCGCTCATGAGCACCCGCAACATCCCTTGCATAAGGGAATTGCAAGTGCGTTGCCAGCCTTAAGAAGGAATAAGCTCTTTTCTTGGAAGGTATCAATATCGTATCGTTTCGAAAATACCATTGCTGGAAGGTGACTCCTCAATGTGGTGAGTGGTAAATTTTTTTTGGGAAAAAGTAAGTAAAAAAGTTGTACGGTGGAGTACCGCCATTCATCCAGATGCTATGATGTATGGGTGGTATTTTACTTTCTGGCGGATATTAAAATACAACCAATTCTTCAGAACACTTCGTGATATTTATCCTAGACAATGCACACAAATGTAATGTTTCGCCGCAAAGCTAATGATGGAGTCTGTCACAAAGTCGCGGTTCACCTATTCGTCCATAAACAATTGCCCAAATCCCTTTAATAAAAGAAATGGTACTAGTGAAGTGTAAGAAACACTAATTAATGATGACGAGGCTTTGAAGCCGGCTACCGGAAGGGAAACCCCAAGTAGCGCCCGAGACTTGTGACGCGGGTGTAGGTTTAAAAGGCCCCTTTAGAATGTATTAACACTCACCTTCACTACTTGCAGCTTCCCCCCAGGCCCAACTAAGACCGGGATATCCCATTTCTAATAAAATTCACTTTAGTATCCAAAACACAACCGGCACGCCCTGCGCTCGTCGACTGAATGCCGCGACTCACTCAACAAAAAAGGATTATACAACTACCCACCTCCGTATTTATAGACCGAAGTCAGTCTAGTAGGAAGAGAAGCGAGGGTAATGGATAAGGATATCTTATGACAAATAACTTAGTTCGGTCTATAAATACTAGATGGCGTTATTTACAATATTTGTAATAATCTTTACATTGGGTACTTCATTAGTACTAGATACAAACTACTTCTTTTAATATCATTTTAAAATATCGGATTTTTCTACAATATTGATGTGAAATCTAAGAGAAGGTGTTATATTTTTATTATATAACACTTGGTGTTGTTTATTCAGGTCAGTTCGCGGCGCGTGCGCTGCCCAGCGCCGGTCTACTCACGTTTCTGCAGTCGTTCGTGTGTAGCGTCAACAATGAGTGCTTACCAATGGACAAGTACCAGGAGATACCTACATATGACAACTCCAAGTGAGTGTGGAACTATCCAAGAATTTTTTTTAATATTACTTAACATATTAAGACCGCATTGAAAAATATTAGATACTTCTCACATAATTACTGGCATTTCTTTATTGTTAGTTACGTGAGGCTATGTCAAATTAACTAAGTCAGGTATAGCCTATAACTATGCAATATCTCTTCGTGGGACCACCGTATGAACTGTACATAAATTGAAATTTAAGTCATGCCCACAGGGGGAACCGCTTGGAGGTCAACTTGGGGCTATCAAAGCACATTACTAACAATTCCGTTCTCCCCTTGGAGTCATTAGTTGAGATGCTGCTTCCCTAAAGGCGAACATCTCGGACCCAAGATCTCTTGTAAAGATCCTTGATACCTTGTAGTTTTGATATGGGTCAAGCGAACGCGAGCTCATTTTGTTGGGACGCTGCCTCCCTCAAGGCGTGCACCTCGGACCCAAGATCACTAGAAGGATTCCTAAGATCTGAGAGTTGTAATCACGTTTTATCGACTTTTCAGGTTGACCCAATTGCAGCGTCAATTCTCACCGCTCATATACAACGAGACAGTTCTGGATGTGGCAGCTTCTGTTCCTAATGCGCTCAAACTTCTGTCTACACTCGCTGATGTTGTCGATCAACCGACCTTCGTTGATATTACTAGTAAATATAATAATAACCCTGGACAATTTACACAGAGCCATCTAATCTCAAGACAAACAGCTTGTGTTATAGATAGACTAGACAACTGATATAAGTACGTAGACTTTTTTTTGGAAATACATAATATATATTTATATAGAAAACAAACTGATACGAACAATCAACAATATAAATATATATACAAAACACAACTACTAAGATGTTTGTACCGTGCGAGGAATCGAACCCGCAACTATCGGAAGCAAGACGTTATGTGAAACCGGTAGACTACTGAGGTCAATCGTCAACATTTTTTTAATCTAAACAAACTTTATATCCATTGTTCATATAAATTAAAGGAAAAAAATGTGTTTTATATCACACCGCTTTACAAATATTTGTTTCATGAGTGTAATTGTATGTGTCTGTCTGGGTGTTTTCTATATATATATATATTACGTATGTATTAAAAAAAAAGTATTTCCATTAGTATCTAGTACCCATTGCACAAGAACTGCTTAGCTTGTGACTAGATGACGCTGAATTGTTCTGAAATTGTATTATAGTGCATTAAATACATGACATCATACAGGTTTCTGTTCACAGAGAACGGTCTTAGATTCCAAGATCTATTCAGAAACCCAAGAAGACTGAAACGAGCCCTGGTATCCAATATAAATATAGAAGAAGATGTGGCCACTAGCGTTTTGACGGCGGAACTAAATTTTCAAGGTGTAAGTTACTTTAATATTCAATAATAAAAATCTCTGAAACCGTATATCAAGAAAAAAAGGTCTTAATAATATTATATAAGAGAATGTTTATGAGTATGGATGGATGGATTTTTTATGCTATTTTAAATTTGACGCGGTCAATACTTACATAAACTTTCATCCCCTATTTTATCCCTTTGGGGGTAGAATTAATCAAAGTTGGCGAGTTGGCCTTCAGCCGCTCCATAAGTCCTTCCTTTAGTTTGGAGTGCCATCTGCACTCGCCCCATAACGTCCGGTGAAGCTGTAAAGGCCAGCTGCGGCCAACAGCATTAGAGTAGTCCGAAAAAAAAACCTGTATTTGAAACAAACCAATAAACTTTATATACACGAGTTTTGGTTTATAGTACCCTTAGGACCTAGAATATTCGTTTCTCTTTCACGCAAAAACTACTAAACTTGATTTGGTTGAAAGGTTGAGATACGTCAGTGAAGTGACAGGATATGGGAACTTGAGATGTTAGTCCTCCAGAATGGTCACCCTCCGAGTGATCACAAGCGGCACATGATAACGTGATGTCCCTCTTTCTGTTCCTGTTTTTTTAGCAAAAATGACGATTCTTCCATACAACTTTTCATGTCCCCTTTCAACCCCTTACAACCCTTTTTTCGCGTTAAAGAGTATGTCCTTTCTCAGGGTCTAGATTATCTGTGTACCAAATTTTATTTAAATCGATCAAGTAGTTATGGCGTGACAGACAGAAAGTTACAAAGTTACTTTTGCATTTATAATACTAAGCAGCTTTTCGCCCCGGCCTCGCCCGGGTGTACATGTATTATACATATAAATCTTTCGGTCTATATGTATAATACATGTAAAATATCGTTATATTTTTACTAATTATACGTATAAATAATGAGTGCGTCAAATTTAAAACAGTATACAAGCGAACAAAGTTCATATATAACTGCGGTTCCCACTTTCAGATAAGACTCAAAAGCTAGACTCCAAAGGCTTGTTAAAAGGCTAAGGCATGTTTTCCATTTTATTTATATATAAACTAACTAACTACTCGCCCCGGCTTCGCACGGGTTTACTCTATCTATTAAAAAATCGCTTCAAAATCCGTTGCCTAGTTTTAAAGATTTAAGCATACATAGGGACGGACAGACAGCGACTTTGTTGTATACTAATTGTAATGATGAGGAAGTAAGGGTATATATAGTTGTTCTTTAATTTATTCATCATTTAAGAGCTGTGCTCTTGTCGGTGGAGCTCCCGCCACCTTCCACGATCTTCTATCAGTCCTTTTAGCTGTTGATACGACACGACTCCAACTTTTTCTTTAACTTGCTTGATATAGCTGTGTCTTGGTCGTCCCCTTCCTCTCTTTCCATCTATTTTTCCTTCAAAAATATTGTTAATTAGTTCGTCGTGTCAAGTGCACCAACATTTTTCCCCGCCTATTCTCAATAAATAGTTGTTATTATATAATTATTGTTAGGTACGAGTCAATAAATTCTATTCAATTCTATTTTAATTAAAAACTTGCTTTACAGTTGTTTAAAAGGAATACAGATAAATGCAATACACAGTCTGTGACAAGTATTTTGCATATAAACAATAAAGAGCATGCAGACACATTCGCAACTAAAATATGTTCATTATCAAGCAATGAGGTTATACAAGTCGTTATGACTTTACTCGGCGAGGTGGATTTCCACAAGTTTAGTGAAATGGTGAGTTGATTTGTCATCGTTCCTTCATTAGTTTTTTTTTATAACACAGAGGACAAACGAGCATGCGGCTCACCTGATGGTAAGTGATTATCGCCGCCCATGAGCACCCGCAACACCAGGGAATTGCAAGTACGTTGTCGGCCTTTTAAAAATGAATAAGCTCTTTTCTTAAAGGTTTCAATACCGTATCGTCTTGTAGAGGTTTACTGAACTGACCTAAATAGATCTAAAAAATCACTAATCTGGATGTACCTAAATGAACTGATTCAAAAAGTAACCACAAGTGTTAGTGAAATGGTGAGTTAATTTTTTTGTAATTGTTTCTTCTATAGAGTTCTACTAAATATATCTAAAAAAATCACTAATCCGGAAGTACAGGGTGGCCCAGAAGTCACTTTACATTTTGAAAATTAAATAACTATTTTTCTATTAATATATTTCTGTTTCTCTTTTCAGAATTAAAAAATATAATCCCTGTAAATTTTTATCATGAATAAGTTTACGACAGAACAACGAGTGAAGATTTCAACAGCATTTGTTGAAAACGCTTCACTAAGTTCCTTATTGCAGGCCTACTAGGGGGAAATCGAACATTAAAATGGCGCATATACGATCTTTGCGTTGTAACAATTGACCATCCATTTTCAAAGTAAAATACAATTATCTTCACTCGTTGTTCTGTTGTAAACTTATCCATGATAAAAATTTCCAGGGATTATATTTTTTAATTCTGAAAAGAGAAAAAGAAATATATTAATAGAAAAAAAGTTATTTAATTTTCAAAATGTAAAGGGACTTCTGGGCCACCCTGTAATTACTTATATTACTTATGTAATAATGAGTATATTGTTTGTACTCGTATTGTTCTGATTAATTACTATGTATATAGGTAATGTATGTATTTTCAAAATGTATGTATGTATTGATTTCAATTGTGTAATACCCTCACAAGCTTAGCTTGGGACTAGATGACGCTGTGTGTGTGTGTGTGTGTTGTCTAAATTATTATTATTAACATTTATTTTAATTTAACTAAAAGAACAAAATTCTCAATTAGAAATTGTTCCTGTTTTAACTGAATCAGTTCATTTGACGACCTCGGTGGTCTAGCGGTCTAGCACACCGCTTTACGTCCGATGGTCGCGGGCTCGATTCCTCGCACGGCACAAACATTTGTATTCATGAATATGATTGTTTGTATCGGTCTGGGTGTTTTCTATGTATAATGTGTATGTATTTACGAAAAAAAATTATGTATTTGTATCAGTTAGTAATCTTCTAGTGTATTTGACACATCGATGGGCAGAGGCTATTGAGAGCAAGGGGGAGGCCCTATCTGTTAGTCTGGATATTGCGAAGGCCTTTGATCGGGTTTGGCACAAAGCTCTTCTTTCAAAGCTACCATCCATCCGGTTGCCTGCGAAGTTATGCAAATGGGTCGCCAGCTCGCTGATCGGAGCATCAAGATCGTTGTTGATGATGCTTGCTCCGACCCACATTCTGTGAATGCTGGTGTTCCACAAGGCTGTAGTGTATTCCCTAGATACAACCTACATAGCACGTTTTATTTCATAATACTATTTATTAAGGATATATTAGTTACCAAGCACAATTTCCACAGTTTGGAGATATCTACCATAAGCTATCTGGAGACAGGAGACTCCTGGAACTCGGTGATATGGTGACAGCTGTACTGCACATGGCCAGGTTCGAGAGTTTCCTGCCATCGGAGCTGGTGAACATCTTCACGGATAAAGACGTGGACTTTAATTATTTTGATATGACTGTGTGAGACATTTATCTTATTTTATCTTTCTTTTATATCTTTTATAACATAATATATCACATTATTTGTATTTATTTATATATTATGCCCACGGCTATCTTTTACTACCACACCGCTCGCCATCGACAGGGAATTCGTCCCAAGACGTTGGAACCTAAGTGGTCTCGGACAGAGCGGTTTCAGAGGAGCTTCCTCCCGCGTACACTTACATTGTGGACTGAACTACCTGCCGAGGTTTTCTCACGAGACTACAGCATGGGGTTCTTCATGAGGGTATATTAAGGTTTCTTAAGGGTCGGCAACGCGAATGTAACACCCCTGGTGTTTCATGCAACTAGGTAACCTGGAGTTGTAACCATTTACCATCAGATGGGCCGTATGTGTGTTTGCCACCATAGTTGTATAAAAAAAAATTCCAGAACAGCTCAGTTAACAAAAATCAAGTTCCTGCCTCCAAAGAAGAAAGATTTTCTTTATCTATTGTAAGAGCTATTGACTTTTTTTAATTGCTAATTAGAAAAAGTCAATAGGTCTTTTATGGGAATAGGTATAAAAATTTACAATAAGATACCAAAGGATATATTGGAATCACCCTTAAATAAATTCAAAACATCTGTTAAATCATACTTACTGAGCAAGGCTATTACTCACTAAACGATTACTTGAATGACGAGCGTGCATGGCAATAGTTTTCATTTTTAGGATTTTCATTTAATGTTAGACATAGACACCTATATAAATACCTATGCATTGTAAATAAACTGGCTTTTAAAAAAAAAGTAATTCAATTGAGTTTCTTGCCAGTTCTTCTCAATTGGATCTATATACCGAACTGGACGGTAGGAAAAAAATTATAATGTAAAAACTTGACGTTCATAAGCGGCTAAAATGTCCTACATGAATAAATGAAATTTAATTTGAATTTGAATTTGAATTTGAATTTGAATTTGAATTTGAATTTGAATTTGAATTTGAATTTGAATTTGAATTTTTGATTTGAATTTGAATTTGAATTTATTTGAATTTGAATTTGAATTTGAATTTGAATTTGAATTTGAATTTGAATTTGAATTTGAATTTGAATTTGAATTTGAATTTGAATTTGAATTTGAATTTGAATTTGAATTTGAATTTGAATTTGAATTTGAATTTGAATTTTATATGGAATTTGAATTTGAATTTGAATTTGAATTTGAATTTGAATTTGATTTTGATGGGCTTTATTTTTGACTAAATGTGCCCACGGTTTCACCCGCGTGAAATTTATAGCCTGTGTTATTCTGATGTATAAGCTATATTACTGTAAAATTTCATCATAATCCGTTCAATAGTTTTTGCGTGAGAGAGTAACAAACATCCATTCATACTCACAAACACAAACTGTTGCGTTTATAATATTAATAAGATATTTACACTGACCTAACTTCATGCTCATCTTCTCATCCTCCACTGGTGCCCATACAGCGTAAACCGTTATGCCCAATTTACACTCAGCCCGAGTGGGCAGGGAAGTGAGCAGCGCGAGAGTGTAAACACGAGTGGAAACACTTGCCATGCCATTGGCGCTGCCACTCGCGCTGCCCGGCGCTCCCTCGATTGTCGGATTTTCGTGCGCGAGTCAAAGGACTGGCAGCGCGTATGGCAGCGTGTTTTTACATTCAGCCCTCTCGCTCAGTTGACGCCCGGCAATATTTCCGGCAGCGCGAGTGGCAGGGGAAGCGGCTGAATGTAAACGTAGCATTACGGGCAAGAGCACCATTCCATTATCATCCATTAAAAAAATCTCCATTTCAGCATACAAAGGTTAATGGACATATACGAACCTACATTTGGAGATACGGATATATATAAATCGATTAGAGTTATCACTGACGCCTTTGTTGTTGGAATACAGTATATAAACAAAGTAACCAACAATACAAATGAGAATAAAGGAAATACAACAGAAGAGAGGCATGGAACTGAAACTAAAGATGTAGCATTAGCTTTACAACCGACAAAAGTTTTTAATAAAGCAATTAAAGTTCTTGAAGCATCAATAGATAGAGAGAAATCGTCAATAAATATATTTCATATGTAAGTAGTTTTAACTTAATTATATAGAACTAGCTACAGGTGTACGTGTATTATACGTATAAACCTTCCTCTTGAATCGATCTATCTATTGCTACAAATTGCATTAAAATCCGTTGCATACTTTAAAAGATAAACATACAGACAGCGGAAGTGATTTCATTTTATACTATGTAAAGATTAATTATAATATCTCTGGATAATTTACATAGCGCCATCTAGTCCCAAGGTAAGCAGAGCTTGTGTTATAGGTACTAGACAACTGATATAAATACTTATAGATTTTTTTTGTAAATACATACATAATATACATAGAAAACACCCAGATCGATACAAACAATCATACTCATGAATACGAATGTTTGTACCGTGCGAGTAATCGAACCCGCGACTGTTGGAAGGTGTGCGAAACCGCTAGAACACCGAGGCCAACGTCTATTAATTTGATGTCAACGGTAATCGAACCTATGACCTGTACTTTACTTAACCGTATATATAAATGACGGTAGGGAAAAAATCATAATATAAACAAAATTACGTGCACAAGCGGCTAAAGTGTCCTACATGAAAAAATGATTTTTGAATTTTAATTTGAAGTAAAAATATTCTTTAATTTCAGAACAGCTCAGTTAACAAAAGTCATTTACAAGTTCCTATCACAGGAGAAGAAACATGACTTACTGTTTTACTCTACACTAATATCCAAATTAATTGAAGGTGCAATTAAAGTCATAAAAGTCAATACGCACATACAAGAAATGGCATATAATGTATCCTTGAGGAATCCCGAAGGAGTTAAAATATTGGTTGGACTACCGCCGCATGTAATAGGTAAAGGGTTTGAAGCCTTGGCCAATGCTGAAAGAACACAGGTAAATGTTATTATACTTATTTTGCTACTTGATATTATATATAAACTACTTGCTGTTCCTAAATATCGTTTTGAAAAATACAATAATTAGTTAGTAGAAATAAAAATAGAAATAATCTTTATTCAAATAAACTCATTACAAGCACTTTTGAATAGTCATATTTTGATTCTACCACTCATTCGGAATGCAGATTCATCACAAGAAGAAGGAGCAAGAAACTTGTGTGCTCTTTTGAATCGATGTTTTTTTTACATAAATAATTACAGTATAACAAATAAGAGGCATGCGATAATCAACATAGAAATCGCTACGCACTAAATTAGTGTAATCAGATAATATTGTCAGTGCTATGGATTTTTAGTTGTTACATATGAATGTGGATGATTATAAGGGCAGAGGAAGGCCGAAAAAGAGATGGATGGACTGTGTGAAAGATGATATGATAAAAAAGGGAATAAATAATGTGATAACTGCGAACAGGGATGAATGAAAGAGAAAAACATTACGCCGACCACAAATATGGGATAACGAAGAAGCAGATAATGATACATAGATATATGAAGTTATTGAAATCGTGTCCCATTGCATAAATCAGCTTATATCAAGCATACAAATCTATAAGTTCATTGATAATTAATTGTTTTAAAAATTTATACAATTGAATTGATTTTAACATATTTAGTAAAAAGACTATTTGCAACTTATACAATTTATTTGTAGATATTAACAGCGAAAATAGACTTCCCCGGACAAATGTTTTGTGATAGCAACCGAATACAAGGGTTCTTCAAGATCTCGAAAGCAGATGCAGATTCGCTGAAAAGTCAATTTTGCACCAACCCGTGGAAGATCTACGTTACAGACTTGATACGTTCTTTCGGGATCTACGATGTTAAAAATAATGTAAGAAATATTAGTTTTTCTTCTATAATTATTATTGAAAACTTTCTTACTTTCTTGTTTATATCATTTTGTTTTTTTGCATCATTTAGTTTTACTATTGCCTAATAACTTTTGTTTGGTGGTATTTCTTCAAATTATGATTCAAAGTCATATATAAAATGTCTGAAATATTATAGCCTGCAATGTATTTATTTTTATTTTATTATGTTTTATTTTCACCTCACTGGTTCAGCGGTTTAGCTCATTATTTTAGTTCCGATTGGCACCGGTTCGTTTCCTCGCACGATGCAATCATGAGCACGATTGTTGAATCGATCTGGACGTTTTCTATGTATATTATGTATGTATTTACAAAAAAATGTTTTTAAGTTTTTAGCATTTATAATACAAGCTATAATTGGTACTAGATGGCGCTGCATGTTGTCCAGGGTTATTATTATTACATTTGCAAAGTGTGAGACAACAATGCGTATATTGTTATTTTCTTATGTTTGTCACTTTTCTAGATATTTTCTAGAATTGTTTTAATTTGATTTTAGATAAATACAATGGCCTCAATAGTAATACAAGACACAATCGGCAAAGATGTCACAGATCAATTATACAGTATAGATAAAATATTTGACGTCCTCAAGAACTTTACTCACAGTTTGACTAAAATGAATGCAGAGGAAAAACCGAAATTGAACTGGAACAAGTTATTCAATATATCAGATGATTCAGAATTCATGAATGTCGTACGGGAGAAAGGATATTTGGGGAAACAGATGTTGTAAGTTATAATTTTAGGTGCTTACAAAATGTATACATATAGATACATGAATCGCCTATATATGTATGTATGTATGTGTGCATACATAGGTATATGTTAAATGTACCAATGTCAAAATGTGTAAATGTAGGTTCATATCAATAATAGTTGTCAGTAAATGTTTTTCTCTCTTTCTATATACATGAACATCACTATTGTCACGTATGGGTTGCCATTCCAGAGAACTAATATGGGATGTCTCTTATCCTGTTACTGACATATCTGCAACCTACAGTAATACAAATAAGGTACCTGGAATATACTGGATATATATCGGTATACTGGATATTATATACTTTGACGACCTCGGTGGTCTAGCGGTCTAGCACACCGCTTTACGTCCGATGGTCGCGAGTACGATTCCTCGCACGGCACATACATTTGTATTCATGAGTATGATTGTTTGTATCGGTCTAGGTATGTATGTATTTACGAAAAAAAAAATTATGTATGTATTTGTATCAATTGTCTATTACCCATAACACAAGCTTTAGTTAGCTTAACATGTGTCTAGATGGCGCTGTGTGAATTGTCCTGAGATTATTATTATTATTTAATAATATATAAAATATATAAAGTAATCTGTTACAACTAGCTTTTGCCCGCGGCTTCGCTCTCGTTAATTTATCTCCTTAGGGATAGAATTTATCAAAATCCTTTCTTAGTGAATGCCTACGTCATAACATCTACCTGCATGTCAAATTTCAGCCCGATCCGTCCAGTGCTTTGGGCTGTGCGTTGATAGATCACTATGTCAGTCACCTTTGAGTTATATATATGTTACAATAAGTGGTCAGGTACATTTTTATTACTTGTAACTTGGCCTTCTGTACTAACTGCTACAACATTATTATAGAATCGTAGCCCATGGTGCACTAGCAAAGGAAGTGGTGAAACAGAATCCTCTGTTGGAATACAAAATATCTCCAACATTGATTGATATAACCACGGTAGTTGCTGCTATAAATGAGCAACTCGGGACTCCTTCAGCAGATCTTGTTAAACGATTTAAAGACCTATATCCAGATGTAATAAGGACGATGTTACAGACTATACTCAATGAAGATAAGGTAAAGTAGCTTTTCTTCGGACTACTCTAATGCTGTTGGCCGCAGCTGGCCTTTACAGCTTCACCGGACGATAGGCGGCGAGTGCAGATGGCACTCCAAACCAAAGGAAGGACTTATGGAGCGGCTGAAGGACAACTCAGTAATTAACCGTCATACTCGTGAACGAGTGCTGCTTTTAGGGACCGGTCTGCTCTAATCACAGCGACTGATGTAATTGTATGTTTATAATGTATTTATGGTTGTGTGTATTTAGTATTTTAACACTGATAAATTAGTGTTAATTGGTAGTTTGTATTCACACATTTTAACTTAAAAAATTTACAACAATTATTAAAAAGTGCTTAAATGAAAGTTTATTGGAATAAATTATTTATTCTATTCTAGTACAAATTAAGTATTGTGAATACTAGAATCATGTCACACCACCTTATATTTCTTTACTGTTATTTAGTATATAAGATAGACTTTATTTTATACAATACTAGCTACTCGCCCCGGCTTCACACGGGTGTACATTTATTATATATATATAAACCTTCTTGAATATCTATCTATTAAAAGAAAAACCGCATCAAAATCTGTTGCGTACTTTTAAAGACTTAAGCATAATAGGGAGAGACAGACAGCGACAGCGACTTTGTTTTATACTATGTAGTGATGGTAACATATGGAGATTTGTGCGTGTTTTTTCGGACTACTCTAATGCTGTTCACCGAAGTGGCCTTTATAGCTTCACCGAACGATAGGGGGCGAGTGCAGATGGCAGTCAAGAATCGTGCAAAACCGGGGGAAGGGGATTTTGAGGGAGGAGGGGGAAGGGGATTGTTAGTAATGTGGATTGATAACCCCCTTGCTAGCAATGCACCATGTCAGGTCGACCTCCACGCGGTTCCCCCTGGAAACCATCGTGTTAAATTCCTGGTGAATTTGTCACGATGGGCTAACTGACCTGACCTCATGCTCATCTTATCATCCTCCACTGGTGCCCCGCCAGCGTAAACCGTTAGCGCAGGTGCACCATTCCATTATCATCCACAAAAAAAGTCGTAGCACGATTGATTTCCAACTAGCTAATCGGGGCGATTAGCTAGTTGGAAATCAATTCTTTTGACTTTGAAACTAATAAGTATGTTTGGGAAACTACTCTGCTACCAAAATGTTAGGGAATTTACTCTCTGTATATATAGGGAAAAATAAGGAAGCGTCAGTCATTTACCTTTATGGTTCTGCGGATTTCTTGGGCTTCAGGGTCTCGAAGATATCTTCGCTAGCTTTCCAGTTTCACAGTAGGTTTAACACAGTTCTAATTTATTTTAATTCACAACACAATGCGCGCGCGCGTCAAGGCCGCTGTACAGTCGGTTCAGTACTAGTTAGGGAGGAGAAGGGAACGCGCGGGAACAGAAAACTAACGGACTCTAATATAATATAATATCTGTGCTTACGATGATACAGGGTAGATTTTGAACAAAGTATAACATTACTTTCCGTGCTCTAAAACTGATATTTTTTATAATACAGACATATTCTACTCTATCTACACTTGCTGAGGATATAGTTTGCAATGGCACCGAGAACGCATTGACCTATCTGGAGTTTCCACCTGATATAGACCGAGAGGTATTACTTAATGTACTCTGCGACGCAGCTGTGGAAATAGAGAAAGGATTGCAACGTGGATCAGTGATGGCGAAAGCTGTAAGTCATGTTTTCAATGTTTACCATAATTTATCAGTTATAATTTTGTATGGATCTGAATGTTAGGCCGTAAAGGGGATGGATGAAAGGCGTGTGCATGTGGCAGAAATGCTAATGTTGAGATGGATGTGTGGGGTTACCAGGAATGACAGAATAAGGAATGTGTATATACGAGGAAGTTTGAAAGTTGCGCCGGTTATAGAAAAGTTGCGAGGTAACAGATTGAGCTGGTATGGGCATGTTATGCGGAGGAACGAGGACCATGTCTTATGGAAAGTGTATAATATGAATGTGGATGGATGTAAAGGGAGGGGACGCCTTAAGAAAAGATGGATGGATTGTGTGAAAGATGATATGAATAAAAGAAGAGTATGCTCAGATATGACGACCGATAGAACAGTGGAAGAGAATGACATACTGCGCTGACCAGAAATAATGTGATAAAGGCAAGGCAATGATGATCAGTTATAAATCTTACTAACATTTTGCCATATAAATATATACTAATATCGCTTTAAAAAAGGTGTTGATCTTAAAAGGGTGAAAATTTGAAGTTGTGTATATTTTTCAATGCTAGATAATAATCTATACATATAAATAAAATTGGAGTATCTGTTTAAAAAACGGTTGTTTCAATATTATATTGAAACAACCGTTTTTTACTGCATGCATATGAATATAAATACGGTACATACACCAAAATAACATTTTTTACAATTTTTGTCTGTCTATTTGTTCCGGTTAATCTCTGCAATGGCTGGACCGATTATGACGAGACTTTTATTGGCAGATAGCTGATGTAATAAGGAGTAACTTAGTCTACTAGATTTCATTTTTTTATTTTAGAAAAATTATGTTAAATTCCACGCACACGAGTACAGATAGTCTTCTATAAAAAGGATTACAATACATATCTTTTCTCATCTAAATGATATTATTTCCAGCTGACCTCTGTTAAAAACTCTACGCACTTTTTCGAGTCGGTCGATTGGACTAAACTGATCAATAACATAAAGAGTCTATACCTAAAGTTGGATGAAGAATACCCCTACTTGTTTGAGTATAAGAGTTATGGAATGGATAAAGATACACAGGACCGGGTGAATACGATGCTGAAGGATGCTGAGGAGTTTTGGTTCAGCGTCGGCAATATGGAGAGAGGCGCACGTTTAAGGTAATATACCTGTTTGGGAAACTACTCTGCTACCAAAATGTTTGGGAATTAACTATGTGTATATATATAGTGAAAAATGAGTGGAAGCGTCAGTCACGTACCTGTATGGTTCTGCGGATTTCTTGGGCTTCAGGGTCTCGAAGATATCTTCGCTAGCTTTCCAGTTTCACAGTAGGTTTCACAGTTCTAATTTATTTTAATTCACAACACAATGCGCGCTCGTCATGGCCGCCGTACAGTCGGTTCAGTACTGGGTAAGGGAGGGGAACAGAAACCGCGGGAACACAAACTAAAGGACTCTAATATAATAATCTGTACTTACTATGTTACAGGGTAGATTTTGAACAATACCATAGTAACAAAGAAATAAAGAAAGAAAATAAGTTTATTTGGTACACATAACAATAACAAAAAAAAATTAATTAATTATCGGATTATACCTACTAATTAGGTAGTATCGAATAGATCTATTTGGTACTACCTAAGCTCAGCATATGTCGTGATGGGGTGAAAAATTATTGGGAAAAACTTAACTTAATTTGGTCTTATTAATCCTTGCTAATATCATAAATGCGAAAGTAGCTCTGTCTGTCTGTCTCGTTTTCACGGCAAAACTACTGAACCGATATAAATGAAATTTGGCTACTTCTTGAAGCGAAAAAAGGGTTGTAAGGGGTTGAAAGAGGAGATGAAAGATTGTTCCTCCGCGAGGCAAAAGGAAAGATCGACCTCCGCCCCCTCGGAATAGAGGACATGCGGCTTAGGCCCGCAATCACTGGGGGGCGGATCCTCGAAATTTCCGGCACCGCTTGTGCAGAGACGGCTGACGCTCTGGCGTCGAAACTCCGGGCACTAATCCCGGAGGACGTGGCCAAGGTCTCCAGGCCCTCAAAAACTGCAGAAATGCGGATTATGGGTCTGGATGACTCTGTGACGCCGGAGGAAATCGCCGCTGCTATAGCGCGCGACGGGGAATGCAACGCGGAGGATGTACGTGTAGGGGAAATCCGCCGAAGCAGTCCCTCTAGCCTAGGGTCAGGTTGGGTCCGCGGCCCAGTGATGGGGGTCAAGAAAGTCACCACCAAAGGGCACATCCGCCTCGGGTGGGTGACAGCGAAGGCGGAGCTGCTGCGGCAAAGGCCGTTGCGGTGTTTCCGGTGCCTGCAGAGCGGGCATGTGAGAGGTCAGTGCACCCAAAAGGAGGACCGCAGCGGTCTTTGTTACCGGTGCGGTGAAAACGGGCACAAAGCCGCAGTGTGCACCGCCGCCCCTAGATGTGCTGTCTGCGCATCACAGGGCCGGCCGGCAGACCACTGGGTGGGGAGCAACAAGTGCACCCCGCCCAAACGGACGGGAGGGACACGGCCCGCCTCACAGGTCCCAGGCCGTAGGAGTGGGGCAGAGGAGGGGATGGACACCTCCCCTCCCAGCGATCAAGCAGGCAGGGGCGGCCCAAGCCGCCCCTAGATCGCTACCGGGCCGGGGTAACGACCGCGGGGGCGGTCCCACCCCATCACACTAGGCCCGAAGAAGTCGCGCGCATGTCCCCGCGCGCCTTCCCCAGGGAAGACGGGGGAAGTGGTGGGTTCCAAAGGGAACCCGCAGAGATGGGGCCCGCTGTAAGTGGGCCACCGCCGTCGGAGTTGCGGTAGAGAATAATTTGATCCCGCGACTCCGGCATATGGCGTTGGGTGAGGGACATCTTGGTGTTTTTAGTGAGTAGGAGTCTCACAGTACCCGCGGGCCTCCCCCGGGGCCGGCGGGTCTCCATGAGGGATTTTCTCCAAGTTAAAAAAAAAAAAAAAGGAGATGAAAGATTGTATGAAAGTATCGTCATTTTTGGAAGCTTGAAATTATTTTTATTTTGAGCGGTTGATTAAATATAAGTTAATATGACATTCAAAGTTTGTAAAAATTTTATCCCTAAATAAAATAGGGGATGAAAATTCGTCTATTTTATAGCTAGAACGATTCCATCGTTTCCATCTTTTTTCTTTAGCTTTTTTAGGTTAGATTATGAAATATTTTTTGGCCAGGGTCACAATTTCGCGCAGACGAAGTCACGGGCACAGCTAGTATTATTATAAACCCGAAAGTTTGTGTTATAGATGTTTGTTACTCTTTCACGCAAAAACTACTTAACGCATTTTGGTAAACTTTACCGTAATATAGCTTATACATCAGAATAACATACAGGCTAAAAATTTCACGCGAATGAAACCGCGGGCTTAGCTAGTATTTAGATAGATAGATAAAAAGCTTTATTTTTCAAATTTTACATATTATTCTACTATCCTGCAAAACTCCTGTCGGGGTTTCTCTTCAGGCACATAGTTCTCTCTTATCTACTTACAATAGGTACATGCATATATATTATCTTAGATAGTATTTTAACGTACACATAAAATACAGTATTCCGTTTTACAATATTTAAGTATTAAATAAGGACAAGATTTTTTGTTTATTAAGTTTCTAGGTTATATGTTTTTAATAAATGGTTTCTATAATTTATACAAAAGGATTTATATCTATTTTGATTTCTGATATGTTGAGGCATTTTATTAAATATTTCAGGCAATTTTAATTGTAACAATCGATATCCATAATAATTATTTAGATGTAGGGGTGGGGTTTCGTATTTCCCTTGTACACATTTCCTAGTCTCTATACGATGGAGACTCTATACCATGGATCTTGTTTTCGTCATATGGTGTTGTTTGCTGTGGTTTTTAGTAGCTACTAAGTATTTATGTTTTTCTGATGCAGGTAGAATATTACAAATTTTAATCAAATATGGAGTCTCCCGTAATTGCTAATAAAATGAAAGTCTTTTATAATTGCAGTATCAAATTGGTGCTCCGTTTCCTGGATTTAGTGGACCGGGATATCTTCGACATAACTGACCAGACTTGGTTGAAGACTAAACAAATATTTGCGTCGGCTACAAAATCTTTGGGCATTTTAAATGACGCTATAACTGATATAACAGGTACACTTGGACCTTGACCGACCTCGGTGGTCTAGCGGTGTAGCACGCCGCCTTACTTCCGGTGGTCGCGGGTTCGATTCCTCGCACATCACAATTTGTATTCATTAGTATGATTTTTTGTATCGATCTAGGTATTTTCTATGTATATTATGTATGTATTTACGAAAAAATATCTATGTATATGTATCAGTTATCTAGTACCCATAACACAAGCTTTAACTAGCTTAACTTGGGTCTAGATGGCGCTGTGTGAATTGTCCTGAGATTATTATTATTATATTATATTTATATAGAAAAAAGTAGTTTATACTATTGGTAAATAATATATTTAAGTTAATACTAACTTACTATTTACATTTTGGGTTTTTGGAAGAATAAGAACATTTCGACCAAGTTATTCAGAATACATTCCTAACACTCAGATAAGAGTAGCTTGTCTATACATATAAATATAATTGTAGTGTCTGTTTGTAATACTGAAATAACTGTTTTGTACTACAATCATATAAATAACGGTGCATAGACCAAAATAACATTTTTTACACTTTTGTCTGTCTGTCTGTTTGTTACAGCTAATCTCTGAAATTATGCTACTATTATTTTATTTTAGAAAAATAAACTAAAATTCCACGCGGACGAAGTCGCGGGTCCAGATAGTACTATTTATAAAGATAACATTTAATAAGAAATACTAACTAACTATTTATATTTTAGGTTTTTGGAAGAATGAAACGGTTTTAAACAAGTTACCTCATAGCACATCACTAGCACTCAGCGCCATTATACCGAACATACCAAATCTGATCGTAGACTTTGCCAATGTAATACTCAATGAGGATACAGATGTGAGTATATTACAAGAATAGTTATTAAATAAACTCTTTAATATAAGAATTCAAACCTATGATCCGCCTGACGAAGGAAGTACACAATTACAGAGCATGTTTGTTTATGAGCAAATATGTATATATTACTAGCTGACCCGGCAAACGTTTTGCCTTAAAATAAAAAAAAAATAGGGGTGGACTACCCCTAACATTTAGGGGGATGAAAAATAGATGTTCGCCGATTCTCAGACCTACTCAATACGCTCACAAAATTTCATGAGAATCTGTCAAGCCGTTTCGGAGGAGTATGGGAACGAAAACTGTGACACGAGAATTTTATATATAAGATATATATTTTTTTCATGGAGTTTATGTTTTGTCCAAAGAGTAGATTTTTGTAAATCGGGTACACATATTTGTATTTGGGTTTTCGAAATATGTTATTTTATTTTTAAATATCTAATATCTAATTATACATTATTTGATTAAAATAGACTTGTTCGGTAGAATGTATTTTTTTATAGATATAATGTTTTGTCAATCGAGTGCAAGTGGTTTTTTAATTGACTAGACATTATTTGGGTTTTCTAAATATGTTATTTTATTTTTACGCATCTAGTGTAATAGCTAATTATACAATATTTGATTAAAATAGACTTGTTCGTTAGAATGTTTTTTTTTTTATAGATATAATGTTTTGTCAATCGAGTTCATGTTTTTTTAATTGGCTAGACATTATATGCATTTTCGAAGTATGTTATAGTATAATAAAGCTAGTTGTACAATATTTGATTAAAATAGCAAAAATTTTATTCGGTAGAATCTAAAAAAAGTACTATTCATGAACATTTTTTTCTCTTTCTGTTTAACCGCGATCTTAAACTATTCAAAATTGCATAAAAATTTGTTTTTTTTTTAATTCTGTTCTATTTTACTCTTTTCTATGATATTGCACTCTTTTGTTGTTTGTTGTAGACATAATAAAGTTACATAAATTTTATTTTTTAATTAATTACACACAAATTATACAAAATCTAAATATATATATATATAACTCAAAGTTGACTGACATAGTGATCTATCAACGCACAGCCCAAACCACTCGACGGATCGGGCTGAGACTTTGCATGCATAAAGCTACTACGACGTAGGCATCCCCTAAGAAAGGATTTTGATAAATTCCACCCCAAAGGGGATAGATTAACGCGAGCGAAGCCGCGGGTAAAAGCTAGTAAGATTCACATCAACCCGCAAAACTGTTCAGCGGTTTGTCTGCAACAAAAGCGCTTAACTTAATACTTATTTATAATGTACATACACACAGACACATATATAAAATGCACAGAGTTTCTGAATGTTACAAGTATATTAAAAATCTAAATAAACTATAATAAAGATTAGGTCTACATCTTGATATGAATCTATTCTCAGATTGCGCCAATAATATCTCTAATGAACGCTGATCCACCATGGCCGTGCTCTGCTACCAGTATTTCAGAGTATGTGAAACTCAGCGGCAACTCCAGCGTCGCTGTGAAGGGAATTGAGACTCTTATATGTATGGACAGTGGGTTACAGCAAGAATGGGTGGAATACTTGGACGAGTGGACTTCGAATGTAAGTAAATTGTTAGAAGTTTGGTAAATTTCACATTACGACTGCTCTTCAACCGCTTTTAGAGGACATTTTTTTACACGCGACCAAAGTGAACGCGATTTAGCGCGGGAAGGCCAGCGAACTCAATGGGATTTCATTTAACGTATTTTGTGATCAATCTTGATGCGTGATAGCGCGTATATTTCTTAGAAATAGAAATAGAAATAATCTTTATTCAAATAAACTCATTACAAGCACTTTTGAATAGTCATATTTTGATTCTACCACTCATTCGGAATGCAGATTCATCACAAGAAGAATGAGCAAGAAACTTGTGTGTTGCTCTTTTTAATCTTATCTTTCACATTCATTTTTTTTATTTTCGTGAGGGATTTCACTTGACGTTCATAAGCGGCTAAAATGTCCTACATGAATAAATGATTTTTGAATTTCATTTAATGTACATATTTTGTGATCAATCTTTTGCGTGATAGCGCATATATTTCATATCATTTCACATTCATTTTTTAATTTTCGTGAGGGATTTCACTTGACGTTCATAAGCGGCTAAAATGTCCTACATGAATAAATGATTTTTGAATTTAATTTAATGTACATATTTTTATGATCAATATTTAGCGCATGATAGTGCGTATATTTCTTATCTTTCACATTCATTTTTTTTTATTTTCGTGAGGGATTTCACTTGTTCATAAGCGGCTAAAATGTCGTACATGAATAAATGATTTTTTAATTTGAATTTGAATTTAATATAATGTAAATATTTTGTGATCAATCTTTAGCGCGTGATAGCGCGTCTTTTTAATATCATTTCACATTCTTTTATTTTTATTTCACCGAATTTCTGGTCGCTTGGTTTTGGTCCGTGTATTTTTTTAATTGAGTAATATAATTTGGTTAGTCCTTAAGTAGATTTAGCCCAAAGCCCAACGAATTCACGATCTGCTCCTGGGCATACCCTAGAATACGCGAGCGTTGTTTTCGTTTTATTTTTACTTAATTCTTTATTATTTTCACAGGTATCCACATCACATGTATTTCTTAAATTCTCATCAGTGTTAGACTTCCTAATTGACGATACAACCATTATTAGAGACGCATTTAATGATATTTTCAACGACGGCAACACTGATGGCCAACATTTGACTATTATCACCGCTTGGCGATATGTTATGGACGTATTTAATTCTACAGATCAGAATGCCACTTTTAGGTATGTATTGGAAATTTTATTCTCTCTCTGCTTAGCTACATACTTCTCATTCTTTCTCTCTTTTCTATCTTTTTCTCTTCTTCCATTTTTATAGCATAGGGCAGGATTGGCGAACCTTTAAGCATCAATGTCCCATTTTTTTCCAAAACATGTTTTAATTTTGACTTTCTGATTATTTGGAAAATAATAATAATAAATACTATCAAAACTCTCTATGAAATAAAGTAAACAAAAGAGGTACATTTTGGATTGTTTTCATTACACGCATAAATTAAATTACTGTAAAATTAGTGTGACTTCTGTTGCTGCAGGTTAGATGACAAATAATTTATGTCAGACTTGTACGATGTTACTTTTAGCTAAATGCATGCTGAACTGCATTCATCTGTTAAACATTTTCTAACAGAGTTCTTAATGTTATTCATCTCTGAAAATAATGACTCGCAGGCATAGGTAGGTGAAAATATTGTTAAAATAGCATGAGCCAGCTTCTTCAAACAGTTTTATGATCGACGACGTGCCCAAAATATTGTGTCGCGTGCCGTCAATGGTACGCGTGCCATTGGTTCGCCTACCCTGGCATAGGGGATAAACGAGCCTGCATGTCACCTGATGGTAAGTGATTACCGCCGCCCATGAGCACCCGCTACACCAGGAGAATTGCAAGTACGTTGCCGGCCTTTTAAAAAGCAATAAGCTTTTTTTTGAAGGTTTCCATATCGTATCGGTTTGGAAATACCATTGCTGGAAGATTGTGACACAATATGGTTGTGCGTTACAAAACGTTACGGGAATTTTTAAAACTGTATAAAGTATATATATTCTTCATATGTAATTTATTATTTCAGTCAATTCTTCTCCAAAGTGGACAAAATATTGAATGCAGTCAATACGTCAGGTTATAATCAATCAACCAATATAATTTGGGAGCAGTACATCAAATGCAGTAATGGCTCTATCATAGATGGAGAATGTAAAATGCTAGGCAGAACCGCGTGGAAGTATACGTTTGAGTTTCTGTCTGTAATGCTTGAAAATTTGGCTACAGATCTAACGACTTACCTTACCGAAGCGAATGGTAAGTGTCATATTAAATTAATTACTTAATGGATTTGAATTATTTTGTTTGTAAGGATTTACAACAAAATACCAGAGTCTGTTATAAATCTGCCTGAAAAAAGATTTAAATGTCATATAAAACACTTCCTTTGCCAAAAAGCTTAGTATAAAATTGAAGAATTCGTTAACGACAATAATGTTTTTACCATATTTTACAATTACTTTACCATTTACCCATAATTACAAGGAATTTATAGCTACATTGTGTGGCCCAAATTGTATTTTTGATACTGCAACACTGAAACGACTGTATTTCAGCGGGCCAGAGACAATACTCTAATCGTTAACTTTCATATTCAAACACTACTAACGATCGCATACGCATTACTTACCAGATAATTTGTATGAAAAAATTACGTGGATGAAAGATGTGCATTATTAGAAGCAAACATACAGACACAATCGCAATTCCTGCGCATAAAACTGTACTGTGTTTTTTAGAGGAGGTTTCAGATTCTCTGCAACAAATATCTGGAACGATCTCACCCCACCACTTCGTCTTAAAATGTCCCAATTTAGTTTCAAATGTAAATTTAAAAGAGTTTTACTGGAAAACCAAATTTTAAGTAATTGAGAAACTGAATATTAACTTAACATACGGGTATCATAGTCTCATGGGTGCCTATGGGGTTGTACTCGTATATATTATTACATACTGTGGTTGTGAGCGTGAGAGGTGACACGGATTGGCTATACTTCTTATCTTTGTAATTTTATTTTCCTTTTGATATCGTTATTGTAACTGATTTTGGTTTTTATGAGCATTGAATATTGTAATTCATTTTATATGTCTCATATATAAAATTCTCGTGTCACAGTTTTCGTTCCCATACTCCTCCGAAACGGCTTGACCGATTCTCATGAAATTTTGTGAGCGTATTGAGTAGGTCTGAGAATCGGCCAACATCTATTTTTCATCCCCCTAAATGTTAGGGGTAGTCCACTCCTAAATTTTTTTTATTTTAAGGCAAAACAACGTTTGCCGGGACAGCTAGTATATTTATATTAGTGTATTCTAGATCTTATTTAATTTTTTTTAAATTTATCTGTATCTGTATATAGTAAAAAACCTGCATCTTAGTTTTTTTTAATGAGTAATGGGGGCTGCCTGAAAACCAGCGCTTGAAAACCATTGAGGTTGTGCTTATATCAGCAACAGCTGAGGCAGCTCCTATTGCTAACTTTCTATGTTATTATTTATTTCTCATTTTGTGTCTTATTGTAAATTGTAATAATTGTGTTATGTTGGGAAAACATCAATTATCTATCTATCATTATCATACGCAACCATTGTAAACGACTTTCAAGTAAATTAAAAACTAGTCAGGAATCTCCGATTTTCATTACACCATTTAGACCCTCTTCTCACTAAAAGGCACAAACAATCAATCCATTTAATTTTCGTAAAAAGGGGTGAAACATTTTTGCATCACTTATAACTCTTTATATTTCTTTCCAGAGCCAAATTCAAACATATTACAATTGCTTGGCTTCACAAGGAGTACAGGATTGTACATACTTTACGAGAAATTTCCAGAATTCGTGGGTGCACTTATTAATTCATATTGGGACTACGGGTTCATGAGCCAGGTACAAAACCTTATGTTCTTTTTTTATGTCTTCTAAATTAGTCTAGAACTCTCTCCCTAATAATCTAGAAAGTACTGCAGCCTTACCAGGATTGAATTTGTAGACATTTATGACAGGAACAGCCTGTTAGTATAATGTCATAGACAAACTGTATAGTTTGTAGACATTTATGACTTCCACGTTACAGGAATAGTGTGGGGTCATAGACAAACTGTTCCTTAGTTAAGTTTTCTGAAATAAAGTTATTCTAATATTGTGTTTAGTGAGTTTTTGTCCATTTTAATCTGTTTTGTTGTGTGTAAATTGTTCTTTGTATTTTGTTTTGTGTCGACGAGTCACAAAAATTGTGGTCTATTCTATATTCCTGCTTAGGTAGTACCTACTGTATTACAAGTAAAAAAAAAAATCTATAACGAATAATGTGCATGTACGTATACATTTGTATTAGATTCGCCGAGCCACTACCACACAGTTCTGGGATTGTAACGCAGTCGTGGACGCCTTACTACCCCTGCCTGGTAGTGGAATTAACTCTACCGTAATAGATAAAGTCAGACCGTTCGTATGTCCATCTATACTGCACTGGATCTCACTGCCGAGGGGCGATAACACGCTTCTCGATTTAGTTTCTAAACCTGTAAGTATTATGAAGATATTGTCAATCACTACTCGATAGATTTATATTATTTTGTTTAATTCCGCTATAATTAACATGTGTGAGACTACGAATATTCGGTGTGGAAACCTGACCAGTGCTACGACCTTCTCCAGTGTTAAACAACATAATAGAAATCTATCGAGTTATGAAATGGATTTGCGCAAAATGACACCTAATTCGATTAAACATTATCAATCATTCACACACACATACACACACACACACGCAAACATACACACATGCTAAAAAACAGATTACTCATGGTAACAAAAAGGTTAACATTTATTTCGTTAATTTTTCAGCAATATCTTTTTTATACGTTGCCAGTACAAAATTTAAGTAGCAGATACGAAGAGGTGTTTAATAGAATAACAAAATTATCAAATTTACTCACTGATATTGCTGAAAAGAATAAAACTGTAATAAACGAGGATGACTTGAAAGTTAACAGTATACAAGTTAAGTTGAAAGATACTGTTGACACTATACTTAATTATACTATGGACAAAACAGATGCTACTTACAGGTTGTTCAATGAAATTAACATGAAACAGTTTTACGCTACTATATATTTGACTAGAGTCATTGCTGCCATCGACAAATTGTCTATAGCCTTATATAATGTAAGCATCGCGGAAATCAAAGGCGAGTACACGGAAGAAGAAATGAAAAAACTTGGTATAGAATTATCTGCTATTCAAAAAATGTTCAAAAGACGACCTACTGATGTTGTCGCTTTACATTTTGATATAATCACTGACCTTGTTTGGATGAATGATGACAATTATAAATTAACAAGTGCGGTTAACGCCGTGTGCACTGATTTGAGAAACAATGACACTAGTAAGAATATTTTAAACGAAGATGAAAGAACGAAGTTACAAATTTGTAATAAAAATCATAAGCTAATATATGGTGCAGTTGAAAATAGTGTAATGGAGTCTTATAATGATGTTAGAAATAGCTTATTGAATCTTGTTAATGTGCTGCAGAAAGATAGCACTGAAGAAATTACTAACATATTTCAATTTCTCAGAGATAGGTAAGTTATCTATTAGAAATTTTGATTCTAATCTATACATATAAATAAAATTGGAGTGTCTGTTTGTAATATTGAAATAGCCGTTTTTACTACATGCATATAAATATAAATACATATACCAAATTAACATTTTTTACAATTTTTGACTACCTGTCTGTTTGTTCCGGCTAATCTCTGAAATGGCTGGACCGATTTTAACGGGACTTTTATTGGCAAGTAGCTGATGTTATGGAGTAACTTAGGCTACTTTTATTTTAGAAAATTTCTCTAATTGATTTTATTGTTAAAATCCACGCAGACGAAGTCGCAAGAACAGTTAATTTACAATAGAAGGAAATAAAGGGGATGAATTGTTTATTTCTAAAAGATATATTATTTTAAGTAAAATTAGAAAATTAGTAGTAAGTAAATTAAATTTGTCATACTCGGTGGTCTAGCGGTCTAGCACACCGCTTTACGTCCGATGGTGGCGGGTTCGATTCCTCGCACGGCACAATTTGTATTCATGAGTATGTTTGTTTGTATCGGTCTGGGTATTTTCTATGTATATTATGTATGTATTTACGAAAAAAATATCTATGTATTTGTATCAGTTATGTAGTACCCGTAACACAAGCTTTATATAGCTTAACTTGGGACTAGATGGCGCTGTGTGAATTGTCCTGAGATTATTATTATACTCGTGAAGGAGTGCTGCTGGTAGGATCTGATCTGCTTTAATCATTACGACTGATTTACTCTTTAGTTACTCAACCAGTTGGTTGTGGGTTTAATATTTTGACTCTAATGAATTAGTGCTAGTTGGTAGTTTGTGTTCACATTTGTAGTCCACTCGGCTAGCATAAAATTCTGCTCCTTTTTTTTGATCTACTCTGATGCTGTTGATCGCAGTTGACCTTTACATCTTCGCCAAACGATAGGAGCTAGTGCAGATGGCACTCCAAACCCGGAAGGACTTATGGGCGGCTGAAAACCAACTCCCATCTGACAGATACGACTTTAGTTTTAGGGCACCAGTAGGGGTTCGAACCTCGGCTCAGGCCGTCGTAATTTCGCTCCCCGTTGGAATTAGACGAGGGTTATCCACCTCTAATATCTTTCTATGTTTTATGAACAATTTGTTTTTATATTGTGGCATTACAATACATACAACCCTAAATATTCACCCATCTATCACCAACCCACATCTTTAATAGCGTTTTTAATATATGTCAAAATAATGTTTGTCAGCTAGTAAAAAAAAAGTGCTAAAGCTAGTGTTTATTTTATAATCGAATACTTATGATTAACAGAAAACAACTTGTGAAATCTTTGAAATACTCCATCAAGTACGCACGTGACCTAGGCCTGCCTATCTACTTGAAGTACCTACACAGTAACCTCCAGAACTACAATGTCGTACTGAGTTTCCTGGCTGGAGAGGACTGGTGGACGGAATTGAGATCTTTATATAGCGGACCATACGCTAGTGGTTTCTTTGATGTTGTTGAAAAATCGTTAGATATTGCCGAAGATGTTATGTCTAAGCCAGACAGTATACATGTGAGTATAGAATCATTTTGTATTGTATTATAAAGAAGGGCAGAGGAAGGCCGAAAAAGAGATGGATGGACTGTATGAAAGCTGATATGTTAAGAAAGTTAAGAGGTTTCCTCACGAGACTACAGCATGAGGTTTTTAAGAAGGGTATATTAAGGTTTCTTAAGGGTCGGCAACTCGCACGTGACACCCCTGGTGTTTCAAGCGTCCATAGTCTACGGTAACCATTTACTATCAGATGGGCCGTATGTTTGTTCGCCACCATAGTAGTATAAAATTTTTGACTTGGTCATTATTTATACGTATAATTAGTAAATCACAGGATCTTACCACATTTTATTTTTATTGAGTTCCCAATATTTCGGCAGTGTTTCAACCGCCATGATCACGGGTAAACTCAGTTCACCTACCTACCTAGTAGATGTACTAATTATACGTAGGGTAAGAAAGGAAGTAAATAACGAGATGATATTTAACATTGGACATTGACTTTAATTTTTGTAATTTATATTGTAAAACTTTATGTAAGTTGGGCTAAAAAGGACTTGTATCCAGAACCGTAAAACATATTGATAAAAAAAAACGAGATGACCGCGAAAGGGGATGTATCTTGTTTTTTTTTTGTGTCATCGTCACTAGGCAACGGTGTTGCCGCACGATGATGGTTTAAACATGACTGGGGAGGCCGATTGTTAGTAATATTATGTTATCTGTGGTAATATGGATTAATGCACCCATTGCTAGCAATATACCATCTCAGACCTGGAAACCATGCTGATAATTCCCTGGTGATTTTGCCACGACGAGCTACCTGACCTGACCTCAGACTCGTCTTGTACTGGTGGCTCACCAGCGCAAACCTTAGCACAGACGGGTTCAATCCATTATCATCTATTAAAACAAATGACATGCATAAGATGTCGAAAACTCCTACATAAATAAATTATTTATAGTGTGTTTTGTACTTCAATGTAAGTTTATTTGTATAAATGACTTCTATTCTATTCTATTCTATTCCAATACCTTCTAGATAGTTCGATTACTTCGCGACATTAACTTGAACAACACGGAAGCTATATGTCAGCCAAATATAACGATTTCTGATTATATACCGGACGCAACCGGGGCTATATCTGCTCTGAAGCAGCAGGTGTGCACTGCAGATAGAACTGACATATTCAAGGAGATACCACCCTTATTGTTTGCATCACAGGTATGTTATTTGAATGACACTATCAGGTATCAATATAATATGATATAACTAGCTGACATGCGTAATTTCGTTTACATCACGCTTCCTTGTCATTTATTTTAATTTTTCACTCAATTAACATAATCTCTTTTTAAATTATATCCTATGTGTTATTCTGATGTATAATCTATATTACTGTAAAGTTTCAACAAAATCCGTTCAGTAGTTTTTGTATTTTGTCTAAATATATATAACTCAAAGGTAACTGACATAGTGATCTATCGCACAGCCCAAACCACTGGACGGATCGGGCTGAAATTTGGCATGCAGGTAGATGTTATGACGTAGGCATCCGCTAAGAAAGCATTTTGATTAATTCTACCCCCAAGGGGATAAAATAGGGGATGAAAGTTTATATGAAACTTTGTCAATTTTAAACCAATCGGGCTGAGACTTTGCATGCATAAAGCTACTATCACAGGCATCTCCTAAGAAAGGATTTTGATAAATTCCACTCCTAAGAGGATAAATTAACGCGAGAGAAGCTGCGGGCAAAAGGTAGTAATCTATATTACTGTAAAGTTTCAACAAAATCCGTTCAGTAGTTTTTGCGTGAAAGAGTAACAAACATCCATCCATACGAACAAACTTTCGAGTTTATAATATTACTAGCTTTCGTACATGTATTATATATATATAAACCTACCTCTTGAATCATTATATCTATAAAAAAAACCGCTTCAAAATCCGTTGCGTAGTTTTAAAGATTGAAGCATACATTGCGACATTAGGGTATTAATAATAATTACAAATAAACGATAAAGGGTTGTAAGAGGTTGAAAGGGGAATTAGTGTTGTATGGAAGTGTTGATATTTTTAATTTTTGGGTTTGAATATTAAATATTTTTTTCTTTATTTGGTCACTGTAACACGCGAACGAAGTCGCGGGCACAGCTAGTAGTAATATAAAAGTGTAACATCCTACAGGGCTATAACGACGATTTGAAATTATCAAAAGGCGTCAATCACACAGCAATTAACACTGATATACTTACGACTGAATCCAAACTGAGCCAACTTACGGATGGGCCAAGGACTCCGCAGAGGCCCAAGTGGATTGATGACGAGAAATTGACCAGTTTGAGGAAGGTAGCTTTGGGGATTTTCTCAAAAGAGTCTGTAACTAAGGTGTCGTTTGGATTGCTGAGCAATTCTATTGATGCTGGGACTTTGTTTTTAAATAGCAGGTAGTGACAAAATTATTATATTACCATTTTTTTAATGATTCTTGCTAAATAGATAACTAACATGTCTATATAAGTCTTGTAACGAGAAAAATTGAAATAATAATAACCTTTACTTTCATTCATCATTTGACGACCGCGGTGGTATAGCGGTCTAGCACACCGCTTTACATCCGATGGTCGCGGGTTCGATCGGACTACATAAACATTTGTATTCATGAGTATGATTGTTTGTTTCGGTCTGGGTGTTTTCTATGTATAACACGTATGGTATTTACCAAAAATTAATATCTGTGTATTTGTATCAGTTGCCTAGTACACATAACAAAAGCTTTAGCTAGCTTAACTTGGGTCTAGATGGCGCTGTGTGAATTGTCCTGAGATTATTATTATTATTATTTCATATCAATCATCAATCATTTCATACTATATGTATATGTATATATATATATAAAATTCTCGTGTCATAATGTTAGACTTATCGAGTAGACATTTAAAATTTAATCAAAATCGGTTAAGACGTTTTGGAGAAGTATGGCGAATTCTCCGTAACGGCTTCACCGATTATGATGAATTTTTATATGACAGATCTGAGAACAGGTTGTTACCTTTGTTATAATGTTTTGTATACTCCTAAGTGATAATGGCCTCTAATCGGCCTAAACTCGAAAAAAAAAAGCGACATAATGTATTTTTTTAAATTTGGCATTAAAATACATACAACCCTATATTTTCACTCTCCAATAATCAACCCCTATTTTTAATAGCGATATTAATTTATATATCAATGCAACGTTTACGTTTCAAGATATAATTTTATGTCATTTTTGTTGACATATTTTTTTTATAAATCGGCATTAAAGATGCATATGGAACACAGTTACCTCGATACATCAAAATAATAATTGCATTTAATAATGTCTAGTAGACAAATTCAATATTGTGTACTAAGCACTGCTGTGTCTAAACTGTGTCACCCCACCTTACATTTTCCTATTGTCATTTAGTATATAAGATCAATATTTCTATGTACACATTGTCAGTTTATTACCATCTTTAATATACATCATCTCGACCAACAACATCGTGTCATTTACCCGCAACAATGCATACAACCATAAATTTGTACCGTTCTACAATCATCCCCTATTTTTAATAGCGATATTAATTTATATAGCAATGCACCGTTTGCCAATACATATAATTTGATATAACATTTTTAGATGATATAAAATTTCAATATTTTTTTTGCAGTCACTGTATACTATGCTCTGAGTTCACGACCTGGTTCAAACAGATCAACCTGCAGCTATTCAAGAAGCAGGAGTACGACAACCTGCTCTGCCATATGCACACCATGAGCCTGGAGGATGTATATCACACGCTCAAGAACGACTTCCACTGGGATATAGCTTTTAAAGAGGTATTTTTTTTATAACGCAGGAGACAAACGAGCATGCGGCTCACCTGATGGTAAGTGATTACCGCCGCCCATGAGCACCCGCAACACCAGGGGAATTGCAAGTACGTTGTCGGCCTTTTAAAAAGAATAAGCTCTTTTCTTGAAGGTTTCAATATCGTATCGGTTCGGAAATACCATTGCTGGAAGGTGATTCCACAATGTGGTTGTGCATGGCAAAAAGTTTTTAGAAAACCGCACTGTGGAGGACCGCCATTCATCCAGATGATGAGGATGGTATTTTCGTTTCTGGCGGGTGGGACGGTGGTGAAACTCAGCGGCTGGTATCAATCCGAACAATTCCTTAGAACACTCCCCGTGGTACCTATCTGAATTCAAATATCATTTATGTAAGACATTTTAGCCGCTTATATTTTTTTTTGTCCTACGAAAAAAAAATAAACCAACTTTGGCGCCAGAAATTATCAATTTTTTATCACAATAAAAAATACCTATGAATATGTGTGAAATAATTGAAGTACAATTGTACTATACAAGTATAGCCCAAGAGCCCATGATGGCCAGACATACGTCTTATTAGTAAATGTGAAAGTTCTTGTATGTGTGTCCCCAACAAAGATAAGAACGATTCCCACACATGAAACCTTGCTTCCTTTGGCAGGTAACAGGAAACGAAGGTGTATAAAATTTCATATAAAATTTGTTAACTTATATAACTCAATTTTCACATATATAGGTATTTTTCTGTGATAAAAAATTGTTAATTTTTGGCGCCAAAGTTGGTTTATTTTTTTAATATGGACTTTGTAGGCAACGGGACGGTATTAAAGAGCTATTATTATATTATAATAAATTTAATATTTTAATTGTGAGATATTTGATATTTAATGTTTAATATTGCACTATTTAGATATATACCTATAGATGTTACATTACTGCTGAAATAGTTATTTATTTATTTCAAATCTAAATATATATAACTCAAAGGTGACTAGCATAGTGATCTATCAACGCACAGCCCAAACCACTGTACGGATCGGGCTGAAATTTGGCATGCAGGTAGATGTTATGGCGTAGGCATCCGCTAAGAAAGGATTTTGATTAATTCTAACCCTAAGGGGATAAATTAACGTGAGCGAAGCGGCGGGCAAAAGCTAGTATAAATAAATTCTATTTGAAATAATAGACAGTAAAATATTTTCATTCGTAATATTACCAATGATAATTATTTTATATTTATTTATATTAATTGCATTTTTTTTTCTTCTTTCGGCTCAATGGCATTAATTGTATGCCTTTCATTATTTATGTATGTAATGCAGAATTCAAAGCATATGTTTTTTTGAAATAAAATCAAATTATAATATCCTTCTTCGTGCAGGTAGAAATAGAGAAATAATCTTTGTTCAAATAAAGCACTTTTGAATAGTTACATTCTTTTGATTCTACCACACATTCAGAATGCAGGTCTATTGCAGACTCTTATGATATGTAAAAGTCTTTATTCAAAGTGTTGCCACACGCGATACAGACCCGCGATTCACCTAATGCGGGATCCAATATGTAATCGGCTTTGATATATTTTCAAATTTTAAAATAAGGAAATAAAAATAAATGTCTACAGCTCATCTCATCCCGTAACTACACCAAGTACGAAATGAACAAGGCCATAACAGAATTGCTGGAGCAAGTGAAACTACACCTTCTAGAAGATATCAGCGCGAACAGCACCAAACTTGCGCAGTGTTTAACGAGGAACGTGACCAGCAACGAGCTTGGTAACGCTACATTGTAAGTATACAATATTACCCGTCATACTCGTGAACGGGTAATATTATATATTCATTTATTCAATATATATCTTGTATAGTTATTTATATGTATTAGTAAATTTAAAACAGTTCTCGCTATTACTCCTGTTAGAATTCACATCATTATTGTAGAAAAAATCCGATATTTTAAAAATATATTAAAAGAAGGAAGGTTTTTTTAGTACTAATGAAGTACCCAATGTAAGGATTATTACGAATATTGTAAATGGCGCCATCTAGTATTTATAGACCAACTTACTACACTGACTTTGGTCTATAAATACGGAGGTCGGTTGTTGAATAATCCGCTTTGATTGGGTGAGCCGCGGCATTCAGTCGACGAGTGCAGAGCGTGCCGGTTGTGTTTTGGATACTAAAGTCGGCTTCAAAGCTAAGTCATCATCTTATACTAGTCCATCTTACACTCCACAACCCATTCTGTTTATACCCTAAGATTAGCTGGGAGAGAATGCCATACGGCATTCTTCTCGCCTGATGTACAACATTTTTTTTAGTTCAATAAATAATAAATAAAAAAATAAACGGTAGGTAGTGTATCCAAACGTAACTTTATAACATTTGTTGCAGATTTATAACGGTTTTCTCGCACACAGCCAAATTGATCAGATCCCAACTGCCTCACCTTCATGAAGTTAATGGTATCACTGAAGTGTCATACTTTAAACGTTTACAATCAGAGGTGGCACATAAACTGGATGTAAAAGTGCCACTAAAGAATTATCTGGTCGAAAGGAATACGTTATATGAAGATTTAGAAACGGTTGTGAATGAAGATATTGTTAGAGATATTAATGAAGCGAAAGTTAATTTACGTATGGTAAGTTATTGTGATATTGCTAATCTGAAATATAACGTAAGGAAAAGAGTATATACCTTCTTAAGAGGCCGCCAACGATCGATTTCCCGTCCAATTCGAACGGGGATCGAAATTACGACGGCCTGAGCCGAGGTTCGAACACCTAGCGATCTCCTCAGACTAAAATCGTATCCGTCAGGTGAGAGTATGCCTTCAGCCGCTCCATAAGTCCTTCCTTTGTTTTGTAGTACCAATTACACTCGCCTCCTACCGTTTTAACAATATATCCTATTTTTTCGGCGAAAGTGGGGTCCTGTTGACCGCACTTTCATCATATTAGAATAGTTCGAAATAAAATGCAATTCGAGGCATGGGTAAACCCAGGGGCGGCAGTAAACACTTAGCATCAGGTGAGCCGCAAGCACGTTTGTATACTATGCTATGCCGGCTATCGTTCTGTGAAACTGTGATCAACAGCATTAGAATAGTTCAAAAGAAAATGCAATTTCCCTGGTGTTGCCATTACCATGAGGTGAGCTCCAAGCTCGTTTGTCTACAATGCTATTGTTCAAAATCTACCCTGTATCATCGTAAGCACAGATTATTATATTAGAGTCCGTTAGTTTGTGTTCCCGCGGTTTCTGTTCCCCTCCCTTACCTACAGTACTGAACTGACCGTACAGCGGCCTTGACGCGCGCGCGCATTTGTGTTGTGAATTAAAATAAATTAGAACTGTGTTAAACCTACTGTGAAACTGGAAAGCTAGCGAAGATATCTTCGAGACCCTGAAGCCCAAGAAATCCGCAGAACCATACAGGTAAATGACTGACGCTTCCATATTTTTCCCTATATATATACATAGTATTTTCCCTAACATTTTGGTAGCAGAGAGTATTTTCCCTAATAGCTATAAAAAAATAATCAAGCTAACAAGAAAATATCGACAACTCAATAAAAAAAAGTGTTAAAATATCGTTATATTTTTACTAATTATACGTATAAATAATGAGTGCGTCAAATTTAAACAGTATACAAGCGAACAAGGTTCATGTATAACTGCAGTTCCCACTTTCAGATAGACTCAGAAGCTAGACTCCAAAGGCATACTAAGGCATGTTTTCCATTTTTTTATATATAAACTAACTAACTACCCGCCCCGGCTTCGCACGGGTGTACATGTATTCTATACATGAACCTTCCTCTTGAATCACTACATATCTATTAAAAAACCGCTTCCAAATCCGTTGCGTAGTTTTAAAGATTTAAGCATACATAGGGATGTACAGTCACCGACAGTGACTTTGTTTTATACTATGTAATGACTGCGTCAAATTTAAAATAGTATACAATCGACCAAGGTTCATGTATAACTAGCTTTTGACCGCGGCTTCGTTCGCGTTAATTTATCCCCTTAGGGATGGAATTTATCAAAATCCTTTGTCAGGGAATGCCTACGTCATAGTAGCTTTATGCATGCAAAGTCTCAGCCCGATCTGTTTGAAATTGACAAAGTTTCATACAAACTTTCATCCCCTATTTTATCCCCTTGGGGGTAGAATTAATCAAAATCCTTTCTTAGCGGATGCCTACGTCATAACATCTACCAGCATGCCACATTTCAGCCCGATCCATCCAGTGGTTTGGGCTGTGCGTTGATAGATCACTATGTCAGTCACCTTTGAGTTATATATATAGATTGCGGTTCCTACTTTCAGATAGACTCAAAAGCCATACAAAGGCATATTAAGGCATGTTTTCTATTTTATTCATATACATAGACTAATGAATACATTTCTCTTAATATGTACCTATATCGTTCTTTTACAGATCAAATCAAGTACCAACAAACCATTACAAGAGTATATATATCTGAAAAGTCACACTTGGGTTGACCTCTGCCAATCGTACGATTGTGAAGACATATCTATGTTGATAGATAAAAACATCAACAGGACTTTAATGAAGAAAGAGGTAAATAAAAGTCTTTATCACATAGAATAAAAAAAAATTAAATATAAGTGAATCTAGAGATGTTTTGTTGGGCTCTTTAAAGTAGTACAATTCTCGCAAAAATTAACGGAACAGAATTTTTTTCCAAATTCACGGGTGACTTTCAATAGGCTCTATTTCATTGGAAAGTGGTCGTACAGAAAATAAAAAAAAAGCTATTGAAGCTAAAAAATTCTAGTTTTCAGATTTTTTGGTTAAAAATTTTTAAGAGCTCCGATTCTCATGCAATCCTGAGATGAAGCACGAAAAAAATTTGTACAATTTGTTTTATACTCTATGGCCATGGAAAACTTTTTTGAGCTACGCCAATACATGAATAGCATAGCCGGTTTATTCAGCTTCAAGATGCTTTTATCAGCGCCCTGATACGACCATTTCTTTTTTATCGAATTTTAAATGCAAAATAATCCTTTTTCATTCAACTACCGATATCTCTGTAACTACTGGTCGCACCGTGAATGGACAGTGAATTTCATTATATGTAGAAAATTTCCTTTAAAATACAGTCAAAAAGAGAGAAAAATGGAGAAATAAATTTTAACCGTCTGATGCAAATGAAGTTAGCTATGATAATTAATAAGTCATGTAATAATAAATCTTTCAGTTACCAGACCTTCAATCACAAGAGTTCTGGCGTTTCAATTTCATATCCAACATCATCCAACACGCCGAAGAGTTAGTAAGTCACGTGGGTAGACTATTGGGGATCGCCAGCAATTTGGATTTACCGGGAGTACTGCAGGGTAGACTAGCATCTATCATCGATCTGATGATGCAAATACTCATGGATGATACTCTCTCTGGTATTGTGTACAGGTAAAACAAATCTTTGCAACTATCCTGATATTTATCTCTTTATCTATACATATAAATAAATTTGGAGTGTCTGTTTGTAATATTGAAATAACAGTTTTTTACTACATGCATATGAATATAAATACGGTACATACACCAAAATAACATTTTTTACAATTTTTCTCTGTCTGTCTGCATGTTTGTCCGGCTAATCTCTGAAATGTTTGGATCGATTTTGACGGGACTTTTTTTGGCAGGTAGCTAATATAATAAGGAGTAACTTAGACTAACTACTTTTGTTTTAGAAAAAATCTTTTATTTTAGAAAAATAAAGGTATTTCCTCACAACAAGGAGCCAGAAACATGCGTATTGCTTTTTGAAATAATTGATTAAATAAGAAATTTTCTGTTCTATTCTACTCTTAAAAAATACAGAAAAACAACAAAACCTATACGATTAGATGATTACCAATCAGACTCGAATGACCAACGCTGTGGTTTAAATTAAAAATTTAAATGAAATCAAAATTAAAATTTAATTTAAATTAAATTAAAATATTATAATTTACAGGTCAATGATATATTAAATTAAATTAAATATATATACATGGTCTTATTTTTTACTTTAACTATGAAACAAGTATTTGATCATGTTTTCTTAAAATATGGTTGAGCGCAGTGGTGGCTGGCTCACCCGTTATACTCGTGAACGGGTGCTGTTTGTAGGGACTGATCTGCTCTGTTAACTATGACGATTTATTCTGTTACTCAAATTACTATTTATTTATTTTTGTCAGTTACTATTTGCAATTTGTATTCATACAAATTTCTAAATAAATACTGTACAGTTTTAATTAAAAGAGCAACATGCAAGTCTCTTATGAACGGGTGCTGCTTGTAGGGACTGTTCTGCTCTGATAACTATGACTGATTTATTTTGTTATTTAAGTAACTATTATATTTATTTATTTTTGTCAAACTCTCTATTTAGCAGTTTGTATTCATACAAATTTCTAAATATGTAATGCTGAACAGTTTTATTTAAAAGAACAACATGCAAGTTTCTTCTTCGTGATGAGACAGCTTTCCGAATTAGTGGTAAAATAAAAAAATAGATGACTATCCAAAAGTGTTTATATTAAGTGTGTAATTAAGTTTGAATAAAGATTATTTCTATTTCTCTTCAGCATTCAAGGTATGCTCAAGGAGATGAGTCCACTGTTACAAGATACTGCTCTGGAAAACGATCTGAGATCCATTACACGTGGTCTCATAGTCTTGCAAGAGATCAAGACATATTTAGTTGAAAAACAGGATCTTAAAGGTATTGTAGATTGATAAATTTTTACAAATTAATCACGGTTTATGGGAGAAAAATTAGTAAAAAAAAGTAATTGATAATAATAATAATAGTATGTGTGTTATGGCATCAGTGGCCCATTTGTCAGTAATTTATATATTTTAAATCTAATGTTAGTATAATCCTAATTTTATTTTATTTTATTTTTCTCCCATTAAGATCATCAGAAAATCCCAGATTTTCTCCCATAAACCGTGATTAATTTCTACAAATTAATCACGGCTTACAGGAGAAAAATTAGTAAAAAAAAGAAAAAAGGGAGAAAAATTAGTAAAAAAAAGTAATTGATAATAATAATAATAATATGTGTGTTATGGCATCTGTGGCCCATTTGTCAGTAATTTATATATTTTAAATCTAATGTTAGTAAAATCCTAATTTTATTTTATTACAATATATAATAGTAGCACCACACTAACAGTGGTTACAATTTGTTACATCTTTGCCTAACAAGTATACTAACAAAATGTTGTGTAATTGGTATGTCAAATTTTTTCATCAATGTTTTGTATAACATAAATATATATTTAAACTAGCTGTCCCGGCAAACGTTGTTTTGCCTTAAAATAAAAATTTAGGGGTGGACTACTCCTAACATTTAGGGGGATGAAAAATAGACGATTGATATAGATTAGAGATAGAAATAGATTGGCTGATTGTCAGACCTACTCAATACGCTTACAAAATTTCATGAGAATCGGTCAAGCCGTTTCGGAGGAGTATGGGAACGAAAACTGTGACACAAGAATTTTATATAGATAAATATTTACTCCATTTATTTTATCTTCTTCTAAAGTGTTTGTGGTGGGCAACCCTTATTATTTAGGGGTATAAAAAATAGATAAACACCTAGTCTCAGATTTACCGAGCTTACATATAAAATTTCATCAAAATCGGTTCAGTAATTTAGGACAATATGGCACGACAATTTTTATATATCAAGAACAAAGCCCCGTTTATACAAATAAATGAAATTGAAGTGTCTGATTGTAATTTCAAATTAACAGCTTTTCACTAAATGCATCCAAGCAAGTATATCAAAACTATACTAACATGAATTTTTTGTCTGTTTGTCCGTCTGTTTGTGCTAATCTCTGAAACGCTGGACCGATTTTAACGGGATTATCACTCGCAGATATCTAATGTAATAAGGAGTTAAGTTACTCCTTATTACATTAGATACTTATATTTTTGAAATTTTGTTTATTTTAATAATAACAGTTTCCTCGCGGACGAAGTCGGGGGTAACTATTCATTCATTCATTCAACTAGTTATTCTCTAAAAGTACTTTCCTTTATAATTGTTACTAAATAATATCTAAATTTTGGTTGTGTTACCTTATTAGTTAAAATAAGATTTATTACAAATTTTGCTGTATTTTTTTAAACATCAGGAATATAATATAGTTATATGTATATCCTACACTAGCTTTTGCCCGCAGCTTCGCTCGCGTTAGGAACTATTATTATTAATTAGGTATAGTTTTGCGGCTTTACTTTTGTTTCTTTTCTTAGGGGATGCCTACGTCATAGTAGCTTTATGTATGCAAAGTTTCAGCCCGATCGGTTTAAAATTGACAAAGTTTCATACAAACTCTCATCCCCTATTTTATCCCCTTAGGGGTAGAATTAATCAAAATCCTTTCTTAGCGGATGCCTACGTCATAACATCTACCTGCATGCCAAATTTCAGTCCGATCCGTCCAGTTGTTTGGGCTGTGCGTTGATAGATCACTATGTCAGTCAGTCACCTTTGAATTATATATATTTAGATAACAAACAAATTAAATTAATTTATATACACACATTTATTATATCCTATATAGGATACAAACGATTTCAATAAACAGATACTCATTTACATTATTTTCGCAGTGGATATGGCGAAAGTGTTTTTGAATGGTGACCGCGTGGAGTCCTCGTTCGGTAAACTTGGTATCAACAACACCAACTTCTGGTCTGTGGCCGCGCCGCGCATACACTCCGGATACATTCATCTCAAGCCCGTAAGTACTAATACAATACAATTAATATTTATTTATTTAATCTATACATATAAATAAAATTGGAGTGTCTGTTTGTAATATTGAAATAACCGTTTTTTACTACATGCACATGAATATAAATACGGTACATACACCAAAATAACATTTTTTACAATTTTTGTCTGTCTGTTTGTTCCGGCTCATCTCTGAAATAGTTGGACCGATTTTAACGGTATTTTTTTGGCAGGTAGCAGATGTAATAAGTAGTAACTTAGGCTACTTTTATTTTAGAAATATTATTTTATTTTAGAACAATCACTAAAAGTACTAAACCGGTAAGCCTTGCTTCCGATGGTCGCGGGTTCAATTTCTTGCACGGCACAAACATTTGTATTCATGAGTGTGATTGTTTGTATAGATACAATTTCTATGTATAATATGTATGTATTTACGAACAAAAAATTATCTATGTATTTGTATCAGTTATCCATAACACAAGCTTTGGCTAGCTTAACTTGGGTCTAGATGGCGATGTGTGAATTGTTTTGAGATTATTATTATTAATGAATAAACCTTATTTTCAGTTACTGTCATCAAAACAAAGCGACTACCACATAGCTGACTTCGTGTGTCAGCCTGACCAGCTGTCGACAGTGCTGACTCCAGGTGACCTGGGCCTGGTCACCGCTGACGACGTGTATGGAGCAGTGGTGGAACAATTCTGTACGATCAGCGATGATCAAGCGAAACAAATCATTCCTATATTGTTTGATACATTGAACTACAGTTATATATTCGATAAGGTAAGTCAAAATTTTATTTAATAGATAGATAGATAGATAATTGATTTATTGCCAACATAACACAAATAATACAATTTGTATATAATTATGTATAGAATGAATTACAATGAAATATTTGGGTCTATATACTGAACTGGACGGTAGGGAAAAAATATAATATGAAAAATTTGACGTTCATAAGCGGCTAAAATGTCCTACATGAATAAATGATTTTTATATTTGAATTTGAACACGTATTAGACTATTTCTTTTTAACTCAATTGTAATAGAATTTTTTTTATACTACTATGGTGGCAAGCAAGCATACGGCCCATCTGATGGTAAATGGTTACCGTAGTCTATGGACGCCTGAAGCACCAGGGGTGTCACGTGCGCGTTGCCGACCCTTAAGAAACCTTAATATACCCTTCTTGAAAAACCCCATGCTGTAGTCTCGTGAGAAAACCTCTTAACTTTCTTAACATATCAGCTTTCATATAGTCCATCCATCTCTTTTTCGGCCTTCCCCTGCCCTTCTTTACAATACAATACAATACAATACAAAAAGATTCTATAATCACATGTATACTGTCTGGCTTAGATATAACATCTTCGGCAATATCTAACGATTTTTCAATAACATCAAAGAAACCACTAGCATATGGTCCGCTATATAAAGATCTCAATTCTGTCCACCAGTCCTCTCCAGCCAGGAAACTCAGTACAACATTGTAGTTCTGAAGGTTACTGTGTAGGTACTTCAAGTAGATAGGCAGGCCTAGGTCACGTGCGTACCCTCTTGAAAAGCATATGCTGATGGTCACTATATTCTACCTAATTTGAATAAGAATTTATTCTTTATTGTGTTTTTATATTTGAGCCTAAATAAATTAGTGCTGGTTGGTAGTTTGTATTCACACGTTTCGACTTGTAAAATGTGAACTTACAAGGATTGTTTAAAAGAGCAACACACAAGTTTCTTGCTTATTCTTCTTGTGATGAGACAGCTTTCCGAATAAGCGGTAGATTTAAAAAAAATTGTTGACTATTCAAAAGTGCTTAAATTAAGCTTATTTGAATAAATGATTTTCTATTCTATTCTCATCTGTATTTTTGTAAACAATTGTTATATGTTTGTGTACAAGCGTATTTGGAAAGAAAAAAGAGCTTGACAAAATTGACAAAATAGCGTATACTGGTGGTCAATCTATTGTCCCAAATTTGAATTTAAAAATGAATCTATATTATTGTAAACATGTACAACATTTATTTGAAAAGAATACGAGCTGAGCTTCTTGTCAGTTCTCATCTGGAAGTCATTCCGAACTGACGGTAGATTTGACATATCATAAGAGTCTGTAATAGAATATCTGGCTTGTTCTATACACATGTATTATACATATAAACACCGCCGTCTTAAACTAGGCTGGGGCCCTTGGGCAGTAAGGAATTCGGGGCCCTTTCGGAATTAAAAAAAAAACTCATTAGGTAAAAACAGGAATAGGCGAAGTAATAGGTATAATGGCCTGGTATATGCCTTGTAAATACCTTCTGATAAAAAAGTGTAGTGTGCCCGACAAAATCTTTTGAGAATAAATGTGTGAGAAAAATTATCAGTCCTTTGGGGCCTCCTGAGAATGGGAGAACGGGCTCCATGTGCCCTTATGGTTTACCATACACAGTCTTTAGACTGTATTGCATATAAACTTTCCTCTCGAATCACTCTATTTATTGATGAAACTGCATTAAAATCCATTGCGTAATTTATAATATATAAGCGAACAGACAACAGAAGCGACTCCATAGATTTGATTAGATTCAAATCAAATCAAAATATCTTTATTCATTTTCGCCGCTTACATAATTTTTTTTATATTATATTTTTTTCCCTACCGTCCAATTCAGTATATAGATCCAATTGAGAAGAACTGGCAAGAAACTCAGTCGAATTACTTTTTATTTTAAAAGCCATTTTATTTACAATGTATATTTATATAGGTGTCTATGTCTAAATATTAAATGAAAATCCCGTGCATGAATAACAACAAACAAAAGGTTACAATTTGTAATATATTTTGCCTATACATGCATTATTGTTCAGGTATCAGAAACAATACTCACCCAGCTATACTCCGCATCGAACCTAACACAGTCAGACGGTTCAACGGTACTGGAAAACTTGCCCCAGATGGCAGCACTGTTGCCGACAATACAGAACAGTGTTGGTGATCTAAGTGAGACACTAATCAGCGAGCCGCTCTTCCAAACACTAAAAGAGTTCGATACAGTCGGTGGTCTTTTGTCCTGTGAGTATTTTTTTTAAGGATGATAATGGATTTTTGCACCCGCCTAAATTTTAACGGTTTACGCTGGCGGAGCACCATTTTTTAATTAATTGATAAGACGAAAATGAAGTCAGATCAGTTAGCCCAATGATAAATTCCGGGAATGTATCACGATGGTTTGAGGGGGAACCGTTATTTGGAAGTCGATCTTATATAAGTGTTCCACATTGTTATTATATTTTATATTGTTCATTATTTTTAAAACATAACATATAACAATATTCCCTCCTCCTGTGAGTATTACTAGAATTAACTTTAAGACTTATTATTTTTACAACCCTAAAATGGCAAATATGGCAAAACAATGTTTTCCGGGTCAGCTACTAATAAAATAAAATCCTTAAATATTGCAGTTGCATTGAAAGAAGTTATTTTTAAGTCACTTATATAAGTGTTCCATCAGTCTGGTATTATATTTTATATTGTTATCTATTTTTAAAACAAAACATATAATAATAATAAATAATCTTGGACAAATAACACAGCGCTATCTAGTCCCACGCTAAGCAGAGCTTGTGTTATGGGTACAATTTTTTTGTAAATACATAATATACATTTTAACATTAGATTTAACATATAAGAGTCTGTAATAGTAGGTACATTTGATAATTAATAAAGATAACGTTGAATAAAATATGTATCTAATGAAACTATAAATTCCGCAGCCTCGGCCTTTCTATCAAGTGCCGGCAACATGCTGTGTGGGAAACCATTTCAGACAGACCTCAGCCGGTTCTACAAAGTAATAACACAAACTAAGGACATGTCCACGAAACCGGATCAAGCCCATCTGGACGCGTTGCCCAGTAAGTTGCTCAGTTCATCGTATCATCTTCATTGCCTTCCCTTCATCACACATTTCATCAGATTATTTGGGGTCGACGCAGTATGTCCACTGCTTCCGCTGATCTATAGTTTCGGACTGCTCTAATGCTATTGGCCGCAGCTGGCCTTTACAGCTTCACCGGACGATAAGGAGCGAGTGTAGATTAGCTAACTGATGAAAGGACTGAAGCAAAGTCTTAGAGCACCGTTAGGGGTTCGAACCTCGGCTGAGGCCGTCGAAATTTCGTCCCTGTTTGAATTGGATGGGGGATCGATCGGAGAGGCGTTGCCCTGATCTGAGCTTACTCTCCTTTTCTGCATATCATTAGAATTAAAACTTCAAAAAATATTTTTTCACTATACCAATTGGCCAAATTTGAACTCACAACCTCTTGGGCGTAATTCATGATAGCGAACCACTAGGCCACGACGCAATAAGTAGTAATAAATGTTTATTGTGTGTTTCAGCGGATTTCTGTCGTTCTCTGTACAAGGATATTCTGAACATCGACGGGGGTAAGATTGTGTGGAGTTTTGTGAAGCCGCTCATCATGGGGAAGATATTGTACACACCAAATACACCAACAGTCCAAAGGATCATTGAGAAAGTAAGAAACAAGTATCATCATCATTCTGCTTCTTCCTTATCCCATTTATTTTGGTCGGTGTAATAAGTTTTTCTCTTTCATTCATCCCTGTTCGTAGTCCCATTATTTTCTCTCTTTCTTACCATATCATCTTTCACACAGTACATGCATCTCTTTTTCGGCCTTCCTCCTTATTTCACCATTCGTATTCATATGTAACACCTTCCTTAAAATATTATCTTCATGCCTACGCATTACATGCCCATACCACGACAGACGATTACTCTTCAACTTCTCCGGCATCGGCGCCTCTTCCATACTTCTTCTTATATATTCATTCTTATCCATTATTGTCCTAGGAAGAAACAAGTATATATGTAGTTAATGCTTTATCGATTTAGGTGTTATTCTACGGTATATGATTTATTCTTTCGTAACCTTAGTTTTAGATTTATCTATGTCTAGATGTAGATTCTTTATCTAGCTATCTTGTCTGATTTATGCTTAATAAATCAGCCAAGATAACTAGCTTTTGATATTTCTTTCTTACTTTTATAGGCAAACGGCACTTTTTCGCACATGATCAAACTGACCGGCCTCGTGCATTCTTTCGCGCGAGCATTCTCTTCTATCGACAAGTTATCTGAACACCGCGAGGGTTTAGCTGTGATGAAGAGGTTGCTTACTTCATCAGCCTTCCAAGAGATAAGATTGTCTCTAATGGGTGATCACCAGCTCCCTGATTTCGATGTAGACAGCTTGTTCGATGAGTTTGGTGATTTAAAGGTGAGTAATATATAAATATTTAAATTAGGTTTACGACCAAGGTGTTTTGCCAGTGATGACCTCATAAATAAGCTCAAAATTACTCAGAGGCAATGGAGAGGGCTATATTTGGAGTTTCGTTACGTGAACGTTTCAGAAATGAGGAGATCCGCAAAAGAACTAAAGTAACCGATACCATACCATAGCCCGAAAAATTGCGAACCTGATGTGCCAATGGGCCATAACTTGTAGGATAGATGTACGTTGGGGCCGTAAAGTGCTCGAATAGTGACCGCAGACCGGAAGACGCAGCGTAGGAAGGCCTCCAGCAAGGTGGACCGAGGATCTGGTCAAGATCGTGGATGCGAGCAGCGCAGGACCGATTGTCGTGGAGATCTTTGGGGGGAGGCCTTTGTTCAGCAGTGTCGTCTTCCGGCTTGAAATGATGATGATGAGGTATTAACCGTTTATCATCAAATTGACGTATGTTTGTTTGCCACCACCGTAGTTTAAAATAAATACAAACCTGAGAAAAGAATATATTATTTTAAAATAGCGCAGTGTGTATATTTTTTACAGTATAATTGTGCCCTTGTAGAACAAATCCTTAAAGAGCCCTTAAAATTTGTTTTAGTATTGAAACGAGTTGTTCATAAAATCTGTTTTCAGGACGTGGGCAGGCTCCTGACGAAGGCATCAGACCTGCTACAGTGCATTAACCTGAACAGGTTCAAAGCAGCTCGTGATGAACACGATCTCACGCACCAAGCCGTACAACTTAGTTTCGTGAACGAATTCTCAGCAGGTAACTACCAATATTTGCTTAGAGACAATTCTTATCATCACTACATAGTAAAAACAAAGTCGCTATCGCTGTCTGTCCGTCCCTATGTACGCTTAAATCTTTAAAACTACGCAACGGATTTTGAAGCGGTTTTTTTCAGTAGTTAGAGTGATTCAAGAGAAAGGTTTATATATATATATATATATAATACATGTACACCCGTGCAAAGCCGGGGCGAGTAGCTAGTTTATTATATTTTGTTTAAATTGAAGAATTTATAAATGACAATAATGTTTTTATAGCTCCATTTACGGTATAGATTCCAGGGAGTCTGAAACGAGAGTGCATCAAATTTCTCAAAATCAAATTTGTCATTTAATTCCTAACCTGCCAATTGGATTCCTTAAATAACCCCATTGGTAACAATGTACCATGTCAGATTGACCTCCACGCGGTTCCCCTGGAAACCATCGTGATAAATTCATGGTAAATTTACCATGGGCTAACTGATCTGACCTCATGCTCATCTTATCATCCTCCACTGGTGCCCCGCCAGCGTAAACCGTTAGCGCAGGTGTATTCCATTATCATCCATAAAAAAAATACCAATGGGGTTATCAATCCCCATTACTGACAATTACCTTCCACCCTAAAATGTACTATTCCTTTTTGTGAAGCGAACTTCTTACCATTCCATTGATTCACGGTGCGGGTCCCGGGTCCATCGTATGGCAGAAAGGGAAACTCCGAGCAGCCCCTAGTACTTGTGATCCGCGTGTAGGTTTCAGGGCCCCTTGCCGACATAAGTCAACACTCACCTTCAGCGCTAGTGCTCTCCCTGCCGTTTATTAATGATTCATAATATATCCAGGTCTGGTGTTCTTAAACAGTGAAGATCAAGGGATTCCTACTAATATAGAGTACAAGATCAGGATGGACATTGAAAATGCACCCACTACGAAAAGACTCAAAAATTAGTAAGTATTACTACTTGAATGACCATCCATGAAGTCGATGTTCTTGTCAACTTAACTTCTCAACTTGTCATCTTCTAGCAGAACTGGTCGGTGATAAAATATATGTCGTATTTATGTTAAGAGTTCGAGCAGCCCAAAAAGAATGACTATATCCAAAAGGACATACTAGAAACGTGTATTATCTTCTCTCTTCTCTTTCGGAACAATTAGACAAATTCTTATGATTTTTGTGTTATTGTAATTAAACTATTCGTAATGATAGAGTGATAAGAGTGGTTCACCCCAATCAGTTTTTGATTCTTTGGACGAATATTTTGATTATAGATTTTTTTTATAGTTCACTTCTAATAATACATTCAACTCTAAATTTTCACCCTTTCACTATCAACCCCTATTTTTTAATGGCGATATTAATTTCTTGGCAAAACAACGGTTGCCGGTTCTGCTGATATAAAATACGTAATCCAACTTCTTTTGACTTTCAGAAAACTATAACCAATTATTGTTTGGTTCTTTTCATATTAAAACACACAATTGGCACTTGTATTCAATTATAACTTTATAATTACTGTGAATTTCTTTTCTAGCTTGCTTCTAACTTTAAAAAGCTATGAAAACTTTTCTTTTCTTTCTCTTCTCAGTTGCATTTATGTTTATAAATCATTTCCGATTTTGATAGCATGTGGATCCCAGGCCCCGAGGCGAGTTTTATCGAGAACATGCGGTACTTCCGCGGCTTCGTTCAGATACAGGATATCATTGATAAGGCAATCATTGACCTCTCTCGCAGAAGGTACAAGAGGGACCTGGCGGAGGACCAGAAATGGTCAGTGTACACTCAGCAGATGCCGTATCCGTGTTATAGGAAAGACTTGTAAGTATCTTTAATAATTATTATACTTGCTCTTAATTATTAATAATATTATTGAAGAAAATAGATGGAAAGAGAGGAAGGGAAAGACCAAGACTCAGCTATATCAAGCAAGTTAAAGAAAAAGTTGGAGTCGTATCGTATCAACATATAAAAAGACTGATGGGAGATCGTGGAAGGTGGCGGGAGTTCCACCGACAAGAGCACAGCTCTTAAATTATTAATGAATGAATTGCTCTTAAGAGATGCGTCCATAGAACTGTAAAGACTAAGCTTCCAAGCTATATCCGAACTCCATTAAATTCTTGACGATTCCTTGTTCAGAGGCGAAACAAGTGTCGCAATATGGGTGTAGATTTAATAACGGTCGGAATTTGGTCACTGGAGAAGGTTGTAACAGTAATCAAGTTTCCACACTGAATATTCGTGATCTGACGCATGCTAATTGTAGCGGAACTAAACAAAATAATATGTATCCAATATATAATATCAGGACGAATTACACAGCGCCATCTGTGTGGTGTGACAAGAATGGATAAGATAAAGAATGAATACATTAGAGGAAGTATGAAAGTGGCACCGGTGTCAGAGAGGTTGAAGAGTAATCGTCTATCATGGTATGGACATGTAATGCGTAGGAACGAGGATAATATTTTAAGAAAGATGTTACAAATGAATGTGGATGGTTATAAGGGCAGAGGACGGCCAAAAAAGAGATGGATGGACTGTGTGAAAGATGATATGGTAAGAAAGGACGTAAATAACGCGATGACTGCGAACAGGGATGAATGGAAGCGAAAAACATATTACGACCACAAATAAATGGGATAAGGAAGAAGCAGATGATGATCTAGTCCCACGCTAAGCAGAGCTTGTATTATGTGTAATAAAAAAATATATTTTATTCTATCCTAATGCTTTATAATCTATACTAATATCATAAAGCTGAAGAGTTTGTTTATTTGTTTGTTTGAACGCACTAATCTCTGGAACTACTGGTTCGTATTGAAAAATTCCTTTTGTGTTGGATACTCCATTTGTAGAGAGACACTTTAAGCTATATAACATTACGCTGCGATCAATAGGAGCGGAGCTGCAATGATAAATAGTGCAAAAGGTGGGTAAAAGAAACGCAGACGAAGTTGCACGTGTCAGCTAGTATATTAATATGATTATTTGTATTTCAGCTTCCAAACATCTCTGTACGAGTCGCAAGCGTTGCTGGTAGCTTTATTCTTCTCGCTACTGTTCACCGTCGCCTCAACAGTTAGATTTATAGTTATAGATAAAGAATCTGGCAACACTCTGGTAAGTAGACATATAGACAGTGGTTAGTTTTCATATACGAAATATACTGTAACCTTCGCAAGTTCTAAACCTGTTACTTGTCGGTTACTATTTTATTATTAGTAGTAACTAGCCATCGAAAGTAATAATTGGTATATGAGAACTAGCCAAGTCAGACCTTAGGCTACAATATATTATCCTAAGTTATAAGAAGAAATTATATTTTATATTGTTATAAATACATTTCAGGACAGACCATTGAACTTGGCACCCATTTAGATCTCATCTCTTTTGTCGTAGAAGTCAACAATCAAGGCATATATCATAATATTGAACTCGGCTATCATTTCACATTTATGTTTTTGATGGGATTGCCAGTACAGGATTGTAAAGAGTTGGATGGTGACAAAAAAATTAATACAGTGCAATGATTAACGCATTTAGCTTTTATACGAGTAAGATGGCAGGCAAGCTAACTCTTGTATTATACTATGTTGTCTCCTCGGACCGATCCCCCGTCCAATAGAAATAGAAATAGAAATAGAAATAATCTTTATTCAAATAAACTCATTACAAGCACTTTTGAATAGTCATATTTTGATTCTACCACTCATTCGGAATGCAGATTCATCACAAGAAGAATGAGCAAGAAACTTGTGTGTTGCTCTTTTTAATAGATGTTTTTTTTTTATATAAATAATTACAGTATAACAAGTAAGAGGCATGCGATAATCAACATAGAAGTCGCTACGCACTCATTATTAATGTAATCAGATAATATTGTCAGTGCTATGGATTTAAAGTTTTTCTATAAAAACATTATTATCGTTAACGAATTCTTCAATTTTATAGTAAGCTTTTTTGCAAAGGAACTGTTTTATTTGACATTTAAATCTTTTTTCTGGCAGATTTATAACATTACCACTTACGCAATTGCCATAAAACGAATTACTAACTTGAGCCAAACGACATTTAGGTAAAATCAGTTTGTTATTGTTACGTAAGCTTTTATTAGTGCAATCACTAACTCTTTTGAAACTGTCTATATTCCTTCTGGCATAGATGATATTTTCATAAATGTATTGAGAAGCAACGGTGAGGATATTTGATTCCTTAAAACACTCTCGCAATGACTCCCTGGAACCCATACCATAAATGGAGCGAATGGCCCTCTTTTGTAAAGTAAATATTGTATTTATATCAGCTGCTTTGCCCCATAACAAAATATCATACGACATAATGCTATGGAAATAGCTAAAATAGACAAGTTTAGCCGTTGCTACGTCTGTTAATTGTCTAATTCTTCTTACCGCAAAAGCGGCAGAACTAAGTCAACTCGCCAATTTAGTAATATGAGCACCCCATTGCAACTTGGAATCTAATGTGATACCTAGAAATACAGTATCGTCAACAAAATTAATAGATTTATTGTCCAATACGATTTTTGAATCTACCGGCCTTACATTGGGGAGAGTAAATTTGATACATTTAGTTTTATTTGCATTTAGTAGCATATTATTTGCCGTAAACCATTTTAAAACATAAGAGAGAGAACCGTTTACTTCGTCCATATCATCAATATGTCGATTGACTTTGAATACTAATGAAGTATCATCAGCAAACAGAACTATGTCAGCTATCTTTTCTACCATATAAGGAAGATCGTTTATGTAAACTAAAAATAAGAAAGGACCCAGAATAGAGCCCTGAGGAACACCCAATTTAATACTAGTTCCCTCAGTCCAATTCAAACGGGGATCGAAATTACGCTAGCCCCCTAGCAGTGCCCTCAGACTAAAGTAGTATCCGTCAGGCGGGAGTTGGCCTTCAGCCGCTCCATAAGTCCTTCCGCAGATTTAGAGTGCCATCTGCACTCGCCCCCTATCGTGAAGCTGTAAAGGCCAGCTGCGGCAACAGCATTAGGGTAGTCCGAAAAAAAAAGCCACGCCCAGTCTGTACCTAGATGCCATCGACACCACATGTAAAATTAGTGTGTCGCAATAAAATCCAATTGTGAAAAAGTCTTCGTTTTTGTCATCACAGTGACCTACCATATTCTATACCATACAAATAGTATATGGACTTACATACAGATATCACAACTATGTTGTATGCATATATATATATATATTAATAATAATTTGTCTTTCATCCAATATTTAGATTTTACAATGAATAGAATAGAATAGAATAGAAAATCATTTATTCAAATAATTTAATAATTAAATTAAATTTAAGCACTTTTGAATAGTCAACATTTTTTTTTAAATCTACCGCTTCATTCATCACAAGAAGAATAAGCAAGAAACTTGTGTGTTGCTCTTTTAAACAATCCTTGTAAGTTCACATTTTACAAGTCGAAACGTGTGAATACAAACTACCAACCAGCACTAATTTATTTAGGCTCAAATATACAACACAATATCAGTCTAGTGATAAGAGCAGATCAGTCTCTACAAGCAGCACTCGTTCACGAGTATGACGGATGAGCCAGCCATCACTGCGCTCGACCATATTTTAGGGAGCCCAATGACCCGGCCCACCACGCCGCCACATGTCTGGACATTTTTGTGTACTCATTCCACACAACCTCGTCACAGATACAAAAATTACTATATGGTAGTTAAAGTATTCGCACTTTACATGAGGATGCATGCGGCAATCAATACAAAAGCCGCTACGCTATCATATATCAAGAAAGCAGTATGAAAAATAAAATAAAATGTTCCCTGGTACCTAACTAAACCTAAATAGAAATCTGTTTATAGGTACCAGTTCCTTCCTCTTATTACAATTTACAGTTTTTGGAATTATAATTGACCAAAATATAATAAAAGGAGAATAAATATAGGTATTAACTGAAACTTAACCGACCATCTTACTACTTGTAGTGTGTGCGTGCGTGCGTGCGTGCGTGCCTGCATGCGTACGTGCGTGCGTGCGTGCGTCCGTGCGTGCCTGCGTGCTTATGTCTGGGTGTTTCTATATATATTATATATGTTGGGATTTTATTATTTTTAATCATATGAACAAAAATTCATATATATGACAGATTTTTGTTACTCAAGTTACTATTTATATACCAAGTTTACTATTTGGCAGTTTGTATTCACACAAAATTCTTTAGCTTTCAAATTTTTTCTATGGGTAATTACTCTAACCACATATAATATATGTAATATTTTTTTAACAGTGCAATACGCAATTTTTTTCTAATCCTTCTTGTGACGAGTTTACGTTCCGAATGAGTGGTAGAATCAATAATAGAACTATTCAAAAGTCTTATTTGAATAAAGATTATTTCTATTCTATTCATAACTAGCTACTCGCCCCGGCTTCTCATAGGTGTACATGTGTTATATATATAAACCTATATCTATTAAAATTTAACCAATTCAAAATCCGTTGCGTAGTTTTAAAGATTTAAGCATACATATGGACAGACTCTGACTTTATTTTATACTATGTAATAATATTCATCCATTACAGCTAATGTCAGTGATGGGAGTGAACCTGTGTTACCACACGCTGTCTTGGTTCCTAGCGTCGTTCACGGAAATGACGGTGACGTGTGCAGGCGTCACACTCGTGTTCTGGTTGGGCGGCGTACTACCTAACACTCCACCGCTGCTGATATTCACACTTCTCATTATATTCGGCATCTCAGTGATATGCTTTTGGTATGATTATATTTCTAACTATCTGTACCCGCGACTTCGTCCGCGTGGAATTTAACTTTATTTTTCTAAAATAAAAGTAGCCTAATTTACTTCTTATTACATCAGGTACCTGCCAATAAAAGTCCCGTCAAAATCGGTCCAGCCATTTTAGAGATTAGCCGGAACAAACAGACATACAGACAAACAAACAAAAATTGTAAAAAATGTTATTTTGGTGTATGTACGGAATTTAACTTTATTTTCTAAAATAAAAGTAGCCTAATTTACTCCTTTTACATCAGCTACCTTACCTGTGAGCTAAAAGTCCCGTCAAAATCGGTCCGGCGCACAAACAGACAGACAAAAATTGTAAGAAATTGTTTTTTGGTGTATGTGCCGCATTTATATTCATATGCATGTAGTAAAAAACAGTTATTTCAATATTACAAACAGACACTCCAATTTTATATATATATGTATAGATCAAGGATTAAGGATTATTTTACAGCTATCTGATGTCGAAGTTGTACACGTCGGCGAGTTTCGCGGCAGTGAGCACGGCTATTGCGTACCTCATCACGTTCATGCCGATTGTGATGGTTCTTTCGCTCGAGTCCGTGCTGTCCAGATCATACAAAATGTTAATTGTAAGTAGCTTATTCAAATAATCATGCTTTCATAGGATTATATAGATATATGACATTTATATAAAATTATTATGCACAATTTGACAGTGTCACCGTGTATTGGGTTGACTGGAAGAGATCTCTTTTTGAGATAAGTCAGCCTTTGTTAACATTACTTCTAATTAATATAAATAAATTTTCACCCTTCTATCACCAACCCCTATTTTTAACAGCGTTATTAATTTATATGGCAAAACAACGTTTGCCGGGGCAGCTAGTATTTATATATATTCTTCTAACCTATCTTTTCTCATTCTAGATAAATGTTTATTTAATATTTAAAATATTAAATGCACTGCAATGCCCTGCACAAAGCACAGAGTAAGCCTGTTTTCAAACGGAAAATTTTTGATTATCTCTTAATTATCTATTGTTGTCATAATATATATGTAAAATTCTCTTTTATTTAATTTTATTGGTGTATAAATGTGCCGTGTATATGTATATTATTATGTATTATAGTAGGGATATATTTATATTTATGTATGTATATTTGTAAGTATTTAAAAAAACCTATTTACCTGTGTTAGGTAAAATTATAGGTTAGTCCTTTCCCACTACTGTCCATCAACCGCTTTCTGTTCTTACCCAATGGTTAGCTGATAGAGAATGCCATATGGCATTAGCTCGCCAAATTGTACAATTTTTAAAAGTGCAATAAGGAATAAATAAATAAATAAATATTTTCCAGTGCCTGTCAATGTCGTCTGCTGTATCATACGCTTTCGTGTACATAGCCCGTTATGAAGCTATGGGCATGGGTGCTAACTGGTCTGACCTATGGAGCTCCCCTGTCGAGGAGGGGCTTGATATGAATATAGGAACGGCAGCCGCTATGATGATCGTGGATTCAATCATATACGTTATCATAGGTTGGCTTATTGATAGGTTTTTTGGTAAGTGTAATTAAATCCATTGTATATATTTTTAACTCACAAGAATGTTTTTGTAGAATACTTTCGTTACTATATAAATTGTCAGTTGCGTCATAATATATATATCATTTACAAAAACTTTGATTTAGTTTCTCAGACAATATGAAAGGACCTAATATCGAGCCTTGAGAAACGCCTTTTTTAACTTATGTACTTAGTTACAGAAATGAAACAAACAAACGTTTTTCTTCTTATTGCCAATATATAATAATAAATAAATAATTGAAAATATAAGTGCATATATTATCCCCAATATATATACTTATATTTTCGAGATAATATAATTATTTATCATTTTTAGGGCCCAAAACTCTGCGAAGCAACATAACAAACTGTGTAACCTCTGGTGAGAAGGCTGGCGTGAGTATTGTGAATATTACAAAGATATATGGGGAGAGGTCCCGACGACCCAAAGTAGCATTGGACAATGTCTCTATAGAGCTACAGAAAGGACAGATCACGACGCTGTTAGGACACAACGGAGCTGGGAAGACCACTCTCACGTAAGTCAAATTCAGATTATCTTATTAATATTATAAATGCGAAAGTTATGCATGTTTACCGGCTATGTTGGGGCCGCTATTATTTGCATTTATTGTGTATTCTTTTGATACAAGTAGCAGCAGGAAAAACACTAATGATGAGTCCAGAGACGTCTATTTACATATTTATATTGTAGAAATAATACAATAGATGTATTACATCAAATGAGAATATATCTAATATAAATATATATATAATTCACCACACATCGATATTTCTTACTCTTTGCAAAAACTACTGAATCGATTTTAAAATTTTAATGTAATATAGCTTATACATGAGAATAAGATATAGGCTATAAATTTTATGCGAGTGAAAGTGCGGGAACATCTAGTCTAAATGTATATACCACAAAGGTGACTGACATAGTAATAGTGATCTATCAACGCACAGCCCAAGCCACTGGACGGAGCGGGCTGAAATTTGGCATGCAGCTAGATGTTATGACATAGGCATCCGCTAAGAAAGGATTTTGAATAATTCTACCCCCAAGGGGATAAAATAGGGGATGAAAGTTTGTATGAAACTTGGTCAATTTTAAACCTATCAGGCTGAGACTTTGCAAGCATAAAGCTACTATGACGTAGGCATCCCTTAAGAAAGGATTTTGATAAATTCCACCCCTAAGGGGATAAATTAACGCGAGTGAAGCCGCGGGCACAGCTAGTGTTTAACAAAGAATACTTATGTCTAATAAATATTCGTATATCCTTACTTCCTTACCTTACTTAATATTATAAATGCGAAAGTAACTCTGTCTGTCTCGTTTTCACGTCAAAACTACTGAACCGATTAAAATTAAATTTGGTACACAGATAGTCTAGACCCTGAGAAACGACATAGGCTACGCTTTAATGCATTTAATAAAATGAAATAAGGGGTTAAAAGGGATGAAATGTTGTATGGAAGAATCGTCATTTTTGAAGCTAGAAACTTGAAACTTATTTTTGATGCTGTTGATTAAATACTAATTAATATGACATTCGAAGTTTGCAGAAATGTTACCCTTAAGGGGGTAAAAAATTTAACGTAAACGCGATTGAAGTTTGTATGGAACATCGTTCATTTTATTTGACTTTTATGGGTTAGATTATTGAATATTTTTTCTTTGTTTGGTCGAGGTCACTACAACACGCGGACGAAGTCGCGGCCACAGCTAGTAGTGTATAAATAAAAATAAAATAACAATGTTTATATTGCAGGAAAATCTTAATGGGAATGCTGAAGCCCACCAAGGGGCATATAATCATACGATCAGAGCATGAAACTGGTACTACACTGGGAATATGCCCCCAAAATGATATACTATTCGAGTATATGAACGCTAGAGAGCATATAGCTCTGTATGCTCAGCTGAAGAGTGGATTACCTTTGGATCAAGTTCGAGATGAGGTGGAAAAGTAAGTGATAACGTAACTATTAGACTTCTAGAGAACGGACAAGTGTATATTGTTTTTTTTTAATTTATTTGTACAATGTAGGTTGTAGGCAAGACATATAACAGCAATCCCTAACTAAGCTCAAGGGTTGAGTCGCAGGAATCAGAAATACTTAATTACAAAAACATTAACTTAAAACAGGCTCCAGTTCAACGAGGTACAGAATTGACCGATATAATATCGGTAATTTACAAAGAATAATAATAACTAAAATAAAAGCAAAGTTTTATATTATATTACTGTCATCTTTTTTTTTTTTTAACTATCCTTTCTTATCACATATTTCATTTATCTGTTATTGTTTTGTCTAGAACAATATTTTTATAATCATCATTTTATTCTATTATTCATCGTGTATATGGCAATGTCCATCTACTTTAAGAGATTATAGCTTAATTATAGTTTACCTCTATCCGGCTCGAAGGACCAATATGTTAAAATTTGAATTATGAAGGAATTTGTGGTTGTGTTGACTTAACTTGGGTTATCCTCTTAACACGGTGCAGGTCGGGGGACCCCTTTGCCCCGGTATCAACATCGGGGGCAACAACCCTTGTGGGTCTGGATGAACAAAGTCAATATAGGTGTATCCTCCAAATATGGTACTTACATGTATAAGTGAAGGTACCAGGGTGTCACACCCTGGCCGCACGACGCACTCTGGTACTTAGGTGTGTGTGTGTACTTAGGGTGTGTGTGTGTGTATGTACAGGCGGGGCTGTGCGTGGCGCTGGCGTTCGTCGCCAGGCCGCGCCTCGTCGCGCTCGACGAGCCCACCGCGGGCGTGGACCCCGCCGCCAGGAGGTACCGCCTGTTACTGGCGAGTGTCTGCTGCCTGCTGCCTGCTGCCTGCTGCCTGGTGGCGGCGGCTGTGCGTGGCGCTGGCGTTCGTCGCCAGCCGCCGCGCCTCGTCGCGACCCCGCCGCCTCTGTTACTGAGTGTCTGCTGCCTGACGACCCTGCTGCCTGCTGCCTGGTGGCGGCGGCTGTGCGTGGCGCTGGCGTTCGTCGCCAGGCCGCGCCTCGTCGCGCTCGACGAGCCCACCGCGGGCGTGGACCCCGCCGCCAGGAGGTACCGCCTGTTACTGGCGAGTGTCTGCTGCCTGCTGCCTGCTGCCTGCTGCCTGGTGGCGGCGGCTGTGCGTGGCGCTGGCGTTCGTCGCCAGGCCGCGCCTCGTCGCGCTCGACGAGCCCACCGCGGGCGTGGACCCCGCCGCCAGGAGGTACCGCCTGTTACTGGCGAGTGTCTGCTGCCTGCTGCCTGCTGCCTGCTGCCTGGTGGCGGCGACTGCAGCTCCAGAGATTTTTACCAGCTCAAAACCTGCCGGCTATACTTCCTAAAATGAATCTGTATTTCTATAATCATGTACAAGCTCATTTGAAAAGACGAGTGTCTGCTGCCTGCTGCCTGCTGCCTGCTGCCTGTGGCGGCGGCTTGCGTGGCGCTGGCGTTCGTCGCCAGCTCGACGAGCACTCCGAACGGCAGATTAGAGTGTCTGCTGCCTGCTGCCTGCTGCCTGCTGCCTGGTGGCGGCGGCTGTGCGCGTCTGTTCGTAGTCGCCTACATGAATCTTTATTTTATTTGATAATTTAATATGAATAATTTTCATGCCAACAGAGACATCTGGTCGATGATCATGAAGTTAAAGGAAGACAGAACAATTCTACTTACCACTCACCACTTGGACGAAGCGGAACTTCTCAGCGACCAAGTCGTTATCATGCACAAGGTAAATAGCTAGCAAATATTGTCATTTACAACTCAGTGCACTATGAAGTGCACTGAATTTTTCTGGAGTTATTATTACGACAATGATATCGTAATAATAACTCCAGAAAAATTCACAGTAGCGCCATCTAGTCCCAAATGAAGCAGAGCTTGTTTTAGAAACGTAAGGTAATTGTAATTCTTAAAATTGATACTAGATGGCGTTACTCTAAAAGTAAAACTATTTGTTATGATTATTTTTGCACCGCCAACAATTATTCTCAGTACTGCCTATGGTTGACTGGTAGAAAATACCGCATGGTGTTAAATCCGCCAAATGTACTGTTACTTTTGTACTGTGTGCATTAAAGTTATATAAATAAATAAAATAAATAAAACGTACTCTCTTCTCTCTCTCTCTCTCTCTCTCTCTCTCTCTCTATCTCTCTATATATTACTACTACTACTATACTACTACATTACAGAGTCTAACAGCTGTTGGACTCTGTTTCCGTATTTAGCCTTACATTTGGGGCGCTATGCTTGTACTGTATGTTTTATTATACCTAAGTGGTGTTATTATGATGCAATTGTTTTCCCAGGGTCAAGTCCACACAACTGGGTCACCGATTGAAATCAAACGCACCCTCGGAACTGGATACAAGTTGACCGTTACATACCCTAACCAGCCTGCTTGGTCAGATGCTAAGGAGTGGAAAGATGAGCAATTCTACATCGAGGAGAAGACCAAAGAGCTCCTGACTGCGGTCAAAGAGGTGGTGACGAACGCGAGCCTGGTAGATGTGAACGGTACTGAAGTAGAAATTACTATACCTTTCTATGATCCTCATGGGCTGAACACCAAGTAAGTAGTACTTGCACCTTGAGCCATGTTTTTTTCTTATAAACTATTTTTTTTTGTTAACTAACCTTGTATGTATTAACATATAAGGTTAGGCGGAAAGGCTATTACATTTTACTAATAACTATAAAAGCTATTTTTGTTATTTAGTTTTCATAAAAATTTAAACATATATTATCTACTAGCTGTACCCGCGACTTCGTCCGAGTGGAATTTTATTTTCTTTTTCTAAAATAAAAGGTAGCCTAAGTTACTCCTTATTACATCAGCGACCTGCCAAAAAATGTCCCGTTGAAATCGGTCCAGCCATATCACAGATTAGCCGGAACAAACAGACAGACAGACAGACAAAAATTATAAAAAAATGTTATTTTGGTGCATGTATTTATATTCATATGCATGTAGTAAAAAACGGTTATTTCAATATTACAAACAGACACTCCAATTTTATTTATATGTATAGATTACAAACAATCGATAACCCTGTTCTTCGGTATTAATAAAAAAAATTTGCCAACGTTCTTGATTAGTGAAATGGTAAGTAGGGGGCATAACCTCAAAACGCAAACATAGCAGGTTTGCGTTTTTTTCTTATTAATTCATAAAAACTATCAAATGTTGTTGCATATCTTTTATGATAGTGCTGATAACAGCTGATGTTAGGGCTGTGTATTTTGTTATTGTATTTTATATAGGAAATATATTTTTTATATGTGGAAAAAGGAACGAATTTTTATCGAAAAAAAAAAATTCATTTTCTTTTTTTTCGAATTTCTCTAATGCTGTTGGTCGCAGTTGGCCTTTACAGCTTCACCGGACGATGGGGGCGAGTGCAGATGGCACTCAAAACCTTATGGAGGGCCTATGACGGACTTTAGCCTGAGAGCACCGCAAGGGGTTCCAACTTTCGTAGTGATTTCGATCCCCGGGGAATCGATTGGAGGGGGACGGGGGATCGATCGGAGGGGGGTACATATCGTCAGTTAAATAGAAAAATGTAGTTCCATTTTCAAAATGTAATTTTTTTACAAGACAGGCATTTAAAGTTTTTTTTTATTTTTTATTTTTTTCCTATAAAATTTTAACAAAAATTTACACGGAAGTACTATATATTATTTTAAAAGTATTAAGTAATGATTAAGACGGCGTGGTTAATTTAATTGACTTATATAAGAGGAGGCAATTCTAGCGTCTAATTTTGAAAAATTACATTTTTCTATTTGATCGACGACATGTGTGTATGCATGTATGTATGTATGTATGGTAAGTTGTTACTTATAGCTGTTTGTTCTCCCAATAAATAAATACCTTATTTCCTTAAAGATCCGCTGTCGTACCTAACAATTAAATAAAATTTATATTCTTTTTTTAATTCAATATTATTATGTCTCTAGCTTCCTGCAGCTTTGCACTGTACTGGAGAGCAAGCAAACAACGCTTGGTTACAAAACCTATAGCATGGAGTGCAGTACTCTGGAACAGGTTTTCTTCAATATTTGTCAACAAGTAGACACGCCACAGCAGGGAATCGAATATGGTAACTTTCTCAACGCTTCTTGATATGTTTTGTATTTAGATTTTTTTTACAATTCACACAGCGCTATCTAGACCAAAGTTAAACTAGCTAAAACTTGTGTTATGGGTACTAGACAACTGATACAAATACATATTATTATTGATATATTTTTTTGTAAATACATACGTATTATACATAGAAAACACCCAGACCGATACAAACAATCATACTCATGAATACAAATGTTTGTGCCGTGCGAGGAATAGATGCCGCGATCATCGGAAGTAAGTGTCCTTAACCGCTAGACCACCGAAGCCGTCAAATCTTTTTATAGTTACTATCCGAACAGATACATTATGTTTGTAAATAGTTATCCAGTACCCTTAACACAAGTTCTGCTTAGCTTGGGACTAGATGGCGCTGTGTGAATTGTCCTGAGTAATTATTTGTTTGTATCAACTGTCCTGAGATATATTATAATCATTACAGCTCTAAGTCGTGCCATAATAAATAACAAGTATATTCATAGGAACAGGTTCAGAAGACACTCCGTCGAAAAGCGCCTCAAGTTCTAACATCAAGAACGACTCGACTCCATTGGTAGATAGCAAGGGTCCCCTGAGAGGCACTCCCGGTCAGCAGTTCCTAGCGCTAATTCATGCCAGATACTTACATTACTCCAGGAACAGGTCAGTTAAACAATATAAGAAAGGAAAAAAATCAGTTAAACAATATAGAAAAAAAAAAATTGTCAACTACTAACATGGTTTTTTGTTACAGCTAGAAAACATTTATTTTATTTATTAACGTTACAACACATTGTTCAATTTTATCCATAAATAAAGAAATAGAAAATCCTGAAGTAGAAATGGAAATAATCTTTATTATTAGTTTAAACATAAGTATGTTTATTTTATGTTTCAGTGTGTAGTTATGTTTGATGTTTATTTATATATGGTAGTATGTCGTAAATATTTACTCTGTGTTATCCGCCTAGATTTGTATATAAATACATAAATCTAGGTATGTATTATTATTATTTTATTATATTTATTATATATGAAGGTATCCGCTGAAAACCAGCGTCGTGGCACCCTGTCACGACATATGCTGAGCGGAGACCTATTTGGTACTGTAATTATTTTTTTTATTTATTTATTAGAAACCAATAGCGTTACAATTTAATTTACATTAATGTATGTTGTAAAATTAAAGCTACTATAGGTTTCACTTAATTAACACAAAGTATGTAGTATTGGCTTGCGCTAAAACAAAATAACAAAATAGGAAATCAAAGAAATAAACTGAAAACATAAAAAAAAATGAATTAAATAAATGATTGAAATTTAATATAAAAATGTAAATAAAATTTTAAAAATTAATTTCAGTGTACCAAACAATAAACAATAAACAATTTTCTTTCTTTCTTTATTCAAATAAACTTATACCATGTGCGCTGTAGCATAGTGCGGATGACAGTTTCAATAACGTTTCGTTTCACTTATAAAAGTTGCCGCGATTTACAAATTATGACCTAGTATTTCAGCTGTACCACATTCGGAATATATTACATCGTTAATAACTGTGGAAGTAACTTTCAGTTTATTTGACAAAATGCTATCCATCATCGGCAGGTGGCTGCTTTTCCTGCTGGTGGTACTGCCGTCCTTGTTCATGACAATAGCGATGGCTTTCTCCACCATCCGGCCGCCGGCTGACAACGAGATCGCATTGCAATTACGACCAGCTCTATATGAGAACACCACAGATTTCTTAATGTGAGTTAATCTAAATATATATAACTCAAAGGTGACTGACGTAGTGATCTATCAACGCACAGCCCAAACCACTGGACGGATCGGGCTGAAATTTGGCATGCAGGTAGATGTTATGACGTAGGCATCCTAAGAAAGGATTTTGATTAATTCTACCCCCAAAGGGATAAAATAGGGAATGAAAGTTTGTATGAAACTTTGTTAATTTTAAACCGATCAGGCTGAGACTTTGCATGCATAAAGCTACTATGACGTAGGCATCCCCTAAGAAAGGATTTTGATAAATTCCACCGCTAAGGTGATAAATTAACGCGAGCGAAGCCGCGGGCAAAAGCTAGTAATTCATATACTTACAATATAATAATAATGACCCTGGACAATTAACACAACGCCATCTAGTCCCAAGATAAATGGAACTTGTGTACACAACTGATATAAATACTTAGATACTTTTGTTTCTGAATACATTCAAAACACCCGATAGAAACAATCATTACTCATGAATACCGTGCGAGGAATCGAACCAGTGACCATCGGAAGTAAAGAGAAGTGCTAAACCGCTAGACCACCGAAGCAAACTTATACAAAGCGTAAAACAGAATTGAGGCATAAACAAAGAGAATGGTTCATGTTAATTTCATATTCCTCGGTTCGCGCAATTTTTTTAAAAAGCGTTTTCTGCTTCCTGTATCTGTACATAGTACAAAACAAAGTCGCTTCCGTCGTCTGTCTCTATGTATGCTTAAATCTTTAAAACTACCCAGCGGATTTTGAAGCGGTTTTTTTAATAGATAAGTGATTCAAGATGTAGGTTTATATGTATAATACATGTACACCCGTACGAAGCCAGGGCGAGTAGCTAGTTAATATATAGATTACAAATACAGGAAAATTACGCAGATTAAGTTTTAGGAAATATTGAAATCTATACATATAAATAAAATTGGAGTGTCTGTTTGTAACATTGAAATAACCGTTTTTTACTACATGCATATGAATATAAATACGGTACATACACCAAAATAATATTTTTTACAATTTTTGTCTGTCTCTCTGTCGGTCTGTTTGTTCCGGCTAATCTCTGAAATGGCTGGGCCGATTTTGACGGGACTTTTTTTGGCAGGTAGCGGATGTAACAAGGAGTAACTCAGGCTACTTTTATTTTAGAAAAATAAAGAAATTCCACGCGGACGAAGTCGCGGATACAGCTAGTATTGTATAAATTAAGTATATTTACACCTTGTTTCAGAGTTAAACCATCTGTATACGCAGAGAACATGAATCCAGCCTTCGCTGCCCAAGTTATGGAGTTACTTGCACTCAACAAACACACCAGGAGTTGGAAGGAACAGGTATATAGAATTGAGTTTAAGAATTTCTTTCCATGGATTCACCATGGGTGCGTGTCCATTGTGTGGCAGAGAGGGAAACTCCGAGGAGTTCCGGGACTTGTGACTTGGGTGTAGGTTTAGAAAAGATTAGAAAAACATTTATTGATAACCATTATTGATACATATATATATGTATGCACACATACACACACCCACACATACATATACATACATACGTATAGATAGATAGATAAAAATCTATTCGTATCCCGATAACAAACAAAGAGAGTACAAACAAAATTCAAATAACACATAAGAATGGTAAATAATTATAAAAAAAACAACACAACACTTTAACTTGCACACAAAATAAACATTAAAATACTTATTAGGCGCCGCAGGGATACGAAAGGGTTGAGCTACTTAGTGAACAATTTGCTCAACGAGCAAAACACTGATTTTCAATAGCAGCCCAGTAAGGGGTTAACATACATAAGGGGTAACATACATAAGGTGGTAACATACATAAGGGGTTAACATACATAAGGGATTAACATACATAAGGGGTTAACATACATAAGGGGGTAACATACATAAGGAGGTAACATACATAAGGGGTTAACATACATAAGGGGTTAACATACATAAGGGGTTAACATACATAAGGGGGTAACATACATAAGGGTGTAACATACATAAGGGGTAACATACATAAGGGGGTAACATACATAAGGGGTTTGTAGGTAATTTTTTCTATGTAATTGATGGCAAACGAACTGACGGCCCACCTGATAGTAAGTGGTAACCGTCGTCTATATACATGAACAGCACTACGGATATCACTTTATCATGTGACAAGGTGAGCAGATTGTATTATGGGTATATCTATACATATAAATAAAATTGGAGTGTCTGCTTGTAATATTGAAATAACCGTTTTTTACTGCATGCATATATGAATATAAATACGGAACAAACACCAAAAAACCACTTTTTAAGATTTTTGTCGGTTTGTTTGTTCCGGCTAATCTCTGAAACGGCTGAACCGATTTTAACGGGACTTATTTTTTGGCAGGTAGCTGATGTAATAGGGAGTAACTTAGGCTACTTTTATTTTAGAAACATTATTTTATTGTAGAAAAATGAAGTATAATTCCACGCGGACGAAGTCGCGGGTACAGCTAGTACATAATATACATAGAAAACATCCAGATCCATACAAACAATCATACTTAACATTTGGTGTACAAATGGTAATCGAACCCGCGACCATCGGAAGTAAAACTGTGTGCTAAACCGCTAAACCACCGTGGCCTTAAATTTTTTTGTCCAGAATGATAATGGAAAGTATAGTTTTTATGAAAATTACAATTTACAATTATAGGATTCACCAACTTGCAAATGTACGGACACGAGGCAGGAGTGTGACCGTACCAACAGTACGACATATAAGTCTAGACCGGAAATGATGCTGTTACCTGACGTGGACAAACTCAACCATTGGCTAGTGAGCTCGCAAGAGAACTACATCGAGAAGAGGTACAGTATTGCAGTATGAGTCTGACAACTAATTACAATAGAATATATTTATTTATTTATTTATTTATAAATAAATAAATAAATATATTCTTTTTTATTCAAATAAACTTAAATTTAAGCACTTTTGAAAAGTCAAACATTGTTTTTAATCTACCGCTCATTCGGAATGCTGTCTCATCACAAGAAGAATGATCAACTTGCGTGTTGCTCTTTTAAGTAATTGTTGTAACTAAAAAAGAATACAAGACAAAAAAATTAATAAAAAAATACTAATTCTCTGTTTGGCTTTGCTAATCTGTGAAGCGGCTTAACCGATTTCCACGAGATTTTCACTCGCAGATAGATAATAATCATGATATCCCTGAACAATTAACACCACGGTAAGTACAACTTGTGTTATGGGTACTAGACAACTGGTATAAATACTTAAATATTATTTTTTGTAAATACATACATAATATACATATGTAGAAGAGATAATGTTATTTTAAAATATTATTTATTTTTATTCCACGCGGAACAATTCGCGGTTAATAACTAGTATATATTATAATCACTAGATACGGCGGCTACTCATCCGCTGTGAAGAACAACATCTCCAATCTGGTGGTGTGGTACAACAACAAAGGTCACCACGCGCTACCGTCCTACCTGAACGGACTGAACACGGCGATACTGCGGACAGTGGCTGATGATACTGCCAATATCACCACCTACTCGCACCCCCTCAAGATATCTAAGGAGCAAATCAGCAAGGATACTGTGTAAGTATATATTGACTGATTTTTTTCAAAATTCAAAATATCTTTATTCATGTAGGTCTATTACAGACTCTTATGATATGTCAAATCTACCGTCAGTTCGGAATGATATCGAGATGAGAAGAACTGACAAGAAACTCAGCTCGTATTTTTTTTAATGTTGTACATATTTACAATAATACTATTTCATTTAAATTCAAATTTGGGAGAATAGAGTGACCACCAGCATATGCTATATAAAAAAAATCAAAAAAAATCTAATCAGTGTTCGCAACCTGAACAGACCAGTCCCCACAAGCAGCACCCGTTCACGAGTATGACGGATGAGCCAGCCATCATTGCACTCAACCATATTAGAGGGAGCACATCGACCCGGCCAACCACGCCGTCACAAGTTTGAACTTTATAGCGAGCATGACTGTTTCAAGTTACTCCACTACGTCATTTATATTATTTATAGCATAAACTGTACCAATCACAGTTCATCATTACATAGTATAAATAATCGCTGTCGCTGTCTGTCCGTACATATGTACGCCTAAATCTTTAAAACTACGCATCGGATTTTGAAGCTGTTTTTTAATAGATAGAGTGATTCAAGACGAAGGTTTATATATATAATACATGTACACCCGGGCGAAGCCGGGGCTAGTAGCAGGTTAGTATTATAAATGCGAAAGTAACTGTCTGTCTATCTGTTACGCCATAACTACTTGACCGATTTCAATAAAATTTGATACACAGATAATCTAGACTCTGAGACCTTTCTCCCTTTTTTCGCATTAAAGAGAAGCCTATGTTACATAGACTACTCTTTAATAAGGGTTGGTTAAGCGAAATAAGGGTTGCAAGGGGTTGAAAGGGGACATGAAAAGTTGTATATACATACTACGTATGTATAATTAAGTATGAAAGTGGCACCGATGTCGTAGAAGTTAAAAAGTAATCGTCTATCGTGGTATGGGCATGTAATGCGTAGGAATGAAGATCATATCCTAAGGACGGTGTTACATATGAATGTGGATGATTATAAGGGTAGAGGAAGACCGAAAAAGAGATGGATGGACTGTGTGAAAGATGATATGGTGAGAAAGGGAGTAAATAACGAGATGACTGCGAACAGAGATGAATGGAAGCGAAAAACATATTACGCCGACCACAAATAAATGGAATAAGGAAGAAGCAGATGATGATACATAAATAATAAATTTTAACATAATAATAATAATAATCTCAGGACAATTCACACAGCCCCATCTAGACCCAAGTTAAGCTAGCTAAAGCTTGTGTTATAGGTACTAGATAACTGATACATATACATAGTTTTTTTTTTTTGTAAATACATACATATTATACATAGAAAACACACAGACCGATACAAACAATCATACTCATGAATACAAATGTTTGTGCTGTGCGAGGAATCAAACCTGCGACCATCGGACGTAAATCGGTGTGCTAGACCACTACACCACCGAGGTCGTCATATATTGATAAGGTCCGATATATTAAGACTTAATTTGTATAGCATAAAAATGTATATTTTTCTCATCTACGTGGTACATGGTAGGTACCAGCACGTGGCGGACGCGGGGATATCAGCGCTGGTGCTGGTGGCGTTCAGCCTGGTGAGCGCGGGCGGGGCCGAGTACCTGGTGGCCGCTCGCTGCTCGCAGCAGAAGCGGCTGCAGCTGCTCTCAGGCGTCAGCCCAGCCGTATACTGGGCCGCCGCGCTCGCATGGGACATGCTGGTTGGTGGCACATTTTTTTTATAACATATATTAGTAGTACTAAAGCTTCTCTTTTATAATAATAGAGAATTGGGATAGAGACTGGTCTATGGCATTGCTAAATTTTCTTTTATTATTTGTGATAGATTATCAATCAATCAATCAGTCAATCTATCTATCTATTCATCTATCGATCTATCTAATATATAAAATTCTCGTGTCACAGGTTTCGTGTTTATACTCCTCCGAAACGGCTTGAACGATTTTGATGAAATTTTATGTGTATATCCAATAGCTCTTAGAATAGGTTTATACCCCTAAGTGTTAAGAGTAGCTAATCCCCAATTTTTTTTTTGTTTCATTATAATTTGTAAGGCAAAAAACGTTTTCCGGGTCAGTTAGTATAGCAATAAACAAATCAGTCAGTCATCCTTATTGGATGAATCTATCAATAATTCAATCAGTCAATCTATAATCCATCAACCTACCAAACATTCAAACCATCGTTTTATTTATAAGAATAGGTAGATATATAAAATGTATTATTTCAAAACTTCATTTATTTTCCAGATAATTATAATCAACATGTTGATCTCCGTAGTCTTGATGGAGGCGTTCCACTTCCCCGTGTTTGTTGCTCGTGACAATCTGCCGGCCATTTGTCTACTTCTATTACTATACGGGTAAGTCATTTTGAACGTTTTCTAATAGCTGGGACTAGGGGGGAAGGGGATTGTTAGTAATGTGGATTGATAACCCCATTGCTAGCAATGTACCATGTCAGGTTGACCTCCACGCGGTTCCCCCTGGAAACCATCGTGTTAAAATCCTGGTGAATTTGTCACGATGGGCTAACTGACCTGACCTCATGCTCATCTTATCATCCTCCACTGGTGCCCCGCCAGCGTAAACCGTTAGCGCAGGCGGGTGCACCATTCCATTATCATCCACAAAAAAAAATAGCTGGGACTACTGGGAGCTCCCTTATTAAGTAGTCCTACGATGAATATGATAGTGTTTGTAACAAAACTTCTCCAATAATAGTTTTTTTTTTTAATATATTAATATTTATGATAATGTAATAGGGCTGATTACAAGCTGTGGTCTTGTTACATGCGTCCTCGCGTATGTCTCTGGGCAGTGCCTGAATATCAGTGGTTTGCTGCTTGTATGCTGCAAACAATACACTGAGGTGCTGCCTTTTTACGTATGGGCTATGCACACACACTACGTTACTCATACCGTTTTTTGTTATCTGTATTGCATTTTATTTTATCTGTATAATTGTTGTGTATTGTATTTTGTTTGACTTCACTAATGTAATGTGTATATCTGTTTTTATTTTTGTTCTTATTATTACAGTGCCTTTTGTGTGTGTGTGTGTGTGCCTTTAACGTGAATAAAATTTTTATCTATCTATCTATCTAAAACGGCTTCACTGATACTTGTGAAATTTTGTGTGTATATTCAGTAGGTCTGAGAATAGGACGTAAACTATTCTTCATATCATAACTGATAAAGGTGGTCCAATCCAGCTTTTATATTCCGCCTAAGAGAAATATTCTGCAACGATAATTATAATTAAGTTTATTTTTTGTTTGTGTGCGTGCGTGCGTGCGTACATGCGTGCGTGCGTGCATGCAGAATAGTTATACTACATATGGAATACTATCTTATCTATGGTTATAGCTATTTAGTTCTATTTATTTTCAAATGATTGTTGTAACATTGGTCCTCTTGATCAGGTACGCGTGCAGCTCGCTGGTGCACCTCGCGGAGAAGTTGTTCACGGAGCCGAGCCTGGCCAACATGATGCTGTTCTGCGGGAACACGTTCATGGGACTCGTCGGTATCGCGATACTGCTCATCATGGATGTCATCTCCGAATCTGATGTTCGTCTGCTTGTCTCGTATAGAAATATATATAGTTCCAAAAACAGATATTTCAGCAAATGATTTATTTATGCACACGCATATACAATAAATTTACAATGTATAAAGTAAAGTCGCTTCGCTGTCTGTTCAGATCTTTTAAACTACGCAACGGATTTTAATGCAGTTTCTGCCAATAGATAGAGTGATTCAAGAGGAATATTTATATGTATAATACATGTACATCCGTGCGAAGCCGGAGAGGGTAGCCAGTATAATATAATTATTGTAATTATTTTATCCAGGATTTAATGTTAAAGATTTCTTATTTGTACAACCGGACAGTATTAATTTTGCTAGCCAGAATATGGTGAACAGTGTGATTCATAAATCAGAAATTATTACCATAAATTATATATGTTACATTAGAATTTTAGAAGGGCTAAGGTGGGGCATGGTTCTAAAAAGGTTAGAAAACATTGATCTAGTGGTATTTATTTATTCATCATGCTCCAGGAGACAGACAACGCTCGCTGGGTGCTGCACAAGGTGTTCATGGTGTCGCCACAGTTCGCTCTAGGTGACGGTCTGCTCGAGATTGCTAAAAACACCATTCAAGCACAGGTTAGTACACTATCTTGCTATAAAAAACATATATTATTTCAGAAACCTTTTGCCACGCACAACCGCAAGTGGATCGAAGGACCAATAAATGTCTCAAAGGAATACCACATTGTGGAATCACCTTCCAGCAATGATATGATATTGAAACCTTCAAGAAAAAGCTTATTCCTTCATAAAAAGCCGGCAACTTACTTGCGATTCCTCTGGTGTTGCGGGTGTTCATAGGCGGCGGTTATCACTTACCATCAAGTGAGCCGCCAGCTCGTTTGTCCTCTATACTAAAAATGGTGACCCTAACGTGATTTGAACACACAACCGTACACTTGCAACAGTAAATTTGCAGTTTATGAATAGTAGAACAGTTAGGGTTCACATCAATATTGTAGAAAAATCCGGTATTTTAAAAAGATACTAAAAGAAGGTAGTTTGTGTTTAGTACTATTGAAGTATCCAATGTAAAGATTATTACAAATATTGTAAATAGCGCCATCTAGTATTTATGGACCGAACTAAGTTGTTTGTCATAAGATAACCGTTAACCCCGCTTCTCTCCCTACTACACTAACTTCGGTCTATAAATACGGAGGTCGGTAGTTGATAAATTCTCTTTCGTTAAATAAGCCACGGCATTTAGTCGATGATGATGATGATGAGATGAAACATTAATGAAACTATCACCCACACCATGCTGCAGCGCACATGGTATAGTAAACTTAATTATAATTAAGTATAAGGTTTATATTTGGTCTCCGTAAATATGACCATGTTTCTCAGTTTCGCAATAAACTCGAGTGGCTTCCTATCCGTTTCCACAGGAATTGGCACATACTGTCCCTCCTATATTCTGTTCTTTTCAATCCTTCCACTCCTGATTGTCTAAAACAGAGCTTCGTGTTTCGTAACGATTCGCAAGACCGAGAGTTGCGCAGTACGAGACGTCTTTGTTTGGTAACCCCTCCTCATTCTACTAACTTCTTTTCCCAATCCTTCACTGTCCAGGCTATTCGTCTTTGGAACTCCTTGCCACTTTCTATCAGATCTTCTCAATCCCATTCCATTTTTAAAAAAACTAGTTCTCTCTCTAATCTCACTTTCTCTCAAATTAAAAATCTTTCTGTAATGTTCTGTTTTGTTAGACATGTATTTAATTATATATTTTATTTATATATATGTATGTGTATTTTATATATATATGTACAAAAGAGAGACCGAGGAGCTGGCAGCTACCTTGGACAAAGAATTAGTCTAGCTATTCAAAGAGGGAACGTTGCCTAAAGGGACCCCTTTTAATAATATATTTTAGTCATCATATTATATTTTTTTAAGCTTTTTAATTTTGGGTTCTTAGTTGTACAATTAGGTAACATTTTTCCAAATAAATAGTTTAAAATATTTATATGTATAGTATTTGTATTTAGTATTCATATAATATCTAACTTTTTATAGTGCTCCTTTCCCTTACCCAATGCTTCTATCTCCCTGGTTGTCTGTAAGAGATTGCTTTGACAAATAAGGACGCCATTTGTTTTTTATTTCTTTTTTGTAATTATTTGTTTCTTTTATGCACAATAAAGAGTTTTTTTTTTATTATATACAAAGTAAGAATTTAATAGAGTTCTATAATAAAGTGTATTAACAGGTGCTGGATCGTTTTGGTATGGATACGTACCGGTCTCCATTCGGTAGCGACCTCGTCGTATTCCACTACACATACCTGGTCATTGTGGGCACAGCGCTCCTATTACTCAACCTGGCTATAGAGTATGACTATGTTGATAATATACTCACAGCCGTCAAGTAAGTGGAATTAGCATATTTGTCGCACATTTAACAATAATAATGACCCAGGACAATTTACACAGCGCCATCTAGTCCCAAGCTTAACAAAACTTGTGTTGTGGTTATGGTACTAGACACCAGAGTTTTCTATGTATGTATATTATGTATGTGTTTACAAAAAAATGTATTTAAGTATTTCTATCAGATGTCTAGTGCTCATTTTTTTATCTTAAGACCTTAAGACCGTTCCACCGTCGGAGGGATGACGAGAGGGTGTATGTGATTCTTCCCCACTAAAAAAACTACACGATGTACCCAGGACACCAGGACAGCCCCATCTCGTTGTTATGGTGACCTATTTTCCCCTTTAATTGTGGAAGCGTTTGAATACACGATCACGCCTCCGGGACCTTTGATTGGGGCGCTGCCTTCCCCAAGGCTAGCACCTCGGCCCCAATGAAGGATATAGGTGGCGCGGAGTCAGGTACACCACCTCTAGACCGGAATCTTCTTCTATGGCGGATTTATTGAACAGAAGGATCAAGACTCCCGCTCTTTATACATCGTCTCCTTCCGCAAAATAACTTAACTCTCAGAAGGAGCCTACCCCCTACCACGACCTTTTGCTACTCACCATACTCCGAAGTACATTCTGCAGCGAGAGAGCGCTGTGTGTATTGTTGTGGTTATTCTAACAATAACTTCTGTTATAAAATGTAATCCCTGACCATTGCAGGAACAGATGGTGGTGGTGCAGCCGAGGAGATGATGAGGAGACAGTGGACCAGCAGCTCGAGGCGGCCGACGTGTGCGCAGAGAGACGCCGTGTGCACGCAACGTTACCACTCGCCTCGCCGCCACTTACCATCCGGACCATCGGGAACATTAACGCTGGTAACATCTTACCTGTACAATTTACAATTAAACTTATAAGATTTATGCAATGTAATAAATGACCGAGCGATTATAAAAATGTGCTTTTTATATGTAACTCCAAAACCACTGTTTTTTTTTATGGATGATAATGGTGGTGCGTGATATGAGAAGACAGAATTGGAGCTGTATGGCAAAAAGAAATATTAATCAATTCTAAGACATTTCGTTTTGTATCGATCTGAATGTTGGGCTGTAAATGGTTGGACGAAAGATGTGTGCATGTGGCAGAAATGCGTATGTTGAGATGGATGTGTGGGGTAACCAGGAATGACAGAGGAGCGAGGACCTTGTTTTAACGAATGATGGAAAGTGAGAAGACGACCAAAAAACCGATCTCTGGTTTATGAGAAAGATGATATGTAGAAACGGAAACGAAGCTCAGATATGACGACCGATATATAATATATATATATATCTATTTATTTCAGGCTTCTAGGCCCATATTTTATTATAAATACCTTATATACTAACATAAGCAAGAGCTCCACCGACAAGAGCGTAGCTATTAAATTATGAATGAATGAATGAATAGAATAGAATAGAAAATCATTTATTCAAATAAACTTAATTTAAGCAATTTTGAATAGTCATAACAATTTGTTTTTTATCTACAATATACTAACGTATATAAGTAATAATAATGTAAATATAAATTGTCTGTGTGGTCACGGCACTGATGACGGCAATCTGCCATGGTAGCGCCGATACACCACCCGCTTTGGCCAGTAGTCCTCCTTCATGAAGGTGGGCAGCATGGGTACCCGGGCCACAAATGCCTTGAAACTCGCGTTGTGACTCGACTCCAGCTGCGTCACTTATATATATATATCTATGTACCTTTCTATTAAAGTCTGACAATGACATCCAGGGTTCGTCGATTCAGAAGACGATCCAAAGAAGAAGTCCTACAAACGGATTTCGTCAGCTGGCGACGTGGCAGCCTGTGTGGAACTCAGCAAGTCGTACCCCACGCTCGGCGGGAACAGGCGGGCCGTGCACCGACTCACGCTAGCCATACCGGCCGGACAGGTAACACGCACCGCACACCACTGGTGCAGAGCTCAGCAACTGGTAGCCTCCGGTAGAAATTGTTTAAAACATAAAAGAAAATCAGCGTAATAACAAAGAGTAAGGTTGCCGATTTTGTGTAATAAATAATATATTATAAAACAAAATAAAAACTCTTTTAGAAATAATATCATGCGGGATCTAACCGTGATCGTGACAGACTAAACTTGTATATGTACTATATAAAGCAAATAGAAAAGCTAACAAACAAAATCTATTATATTCTAGTGTACAGCGCTGCTGGGACAAAATGGTGCTGGTAAATCTACCACCTTCGCGATGCTGACCGGACAGCTGCAGCCTACCTCCGGCCGGGTCTACCTGCAGCAACGGCCAGCCACCAGGCGAGACCTCTGCCAGGGACTCATCAGTAAGCTTACCATAACCTATTCATTGCAATACACCAGTTACCTTTTCGAACAGGGGCGGATCTACCTAAAGGCTTTTTGGGCTGCAACCCAGGGCTCCGAAGATACAAAGGGCCTCCAGTCTCCACTGAAACGATGTTGGGAATTTAAAAAAATATCTAGAATGTTAAAAAACCATAAGGTTGGCTTGACCCTGAGAGCAAGCAACCCATGCAAGTGCGCGTATATCGAAAGGAACGGGGAATTTCTGGTCGCTTGTTTTTGGTTGGTGTATTTTTTAAGTTGAGTTGTTAATTAGGTTCCTAAGTAGATTTAGCCCAGAGTCCCACAAATTCACGATCCGCCTCTGTTTTCGAAAGGGAATTGTTGGAACCTAAGTAGTTTCGGACAGTGCGGTTTCAAATGAGCGTCATCTCGAGTACACTTAAATTGTGCTTCATTGCACAATTTACTATAAGTTTTCAAGAAACTCTTCTTGAAAAACCCCATGCTGGAGTTTCTCAAGACATCTTTAGGTTTCTTGACGATCGGCAACAACAGCAATGAGAAGAAATAAATGAATAAATAAGATGATGTTTGTCTTTTAGGTTACTGTCCTCAGAGTGATGCAATCGATCCGTTGCTAACAGTGGAAGAGACGCTAGCGTTCTACTGTAGGTTACGAGGCATTACTGAAATAGACGAGGTAAGGAGCTTGTATTACTATGTATTCTTATTGCAGTAACTAGCTGACTTCGTCCAAGTGGAATATAACTTTATTTTTCTAAAATAAAACTAGCCTAAATTACTCCTTATTATATCAGCTACCTGCCAAGAAAGTCCCGTCAAAATCGGTCCAATCATTTCAGAGAATAACCGCAACAGACAGACAAAAATTGTAAAAGATATTATTTTGGTGTATGTACCGTATTTATATTCATATGCAAGTAGTAAAAACGGTTATTTCAATATTATAAACAGAGATAATGACCCTAAACAGTTTACAGCGTCATTTAGTCCCAAGCTGAGCTTGTGTTATGGGTACTGGATAACTGGTAACAATTCAAATTCAAAATATCTTTATTCATATAGTCTGTCTATTACAGACTCTTATGATATGTCAAATCTACCGTCAGTTCGGAATGATTTCGAGATCAGAAGAACTGACAAGAAACTCAGCTCGTATTCTCTTCAAATAAATGTTGTACATGATTACAATAATATATATTCACTTCTAAATTCAAATTTGGGAGAGTAGAGTGATCACCAGCATATGCTATTGCAAAAGCAAAAAGTCTAATCAATGTTCGTGACCCGAACAGACTCAGAATGACGAATGAGCAGCTATCATTGCACTCAACCATATTAGAGGGAGCACATTGACTCGGCGCTTTTTAAATTTCAAGTTTACTACGTACTTCATTATTAACAGCATAGGCTGTGACAATCAGTTTGCAATTGGAAATCGAATCTTTTAGAGGTAGATTAGATTTTCATTAGACTTTCGATTCGGACACGATGACATAGACTACGAGAGAAGCCGAAATTCGGTTTCGGTCTGTTTCGGCCACGATAACATCGAGTGCATGTCGGTAGGTGTGCGGGCGCGCGGCGTGTCGGCTGTCGCTGGCGCCGCACGCTGGCACGCGCGGCGCGGCGCTCAGCGGCGGCAACAAGCGCAAGCTGTGCGCCGCGCTCGCACTCGCCGCACGGGCGCCTCTAGTGCTGCTCGACGAGCCCACCAGGTCAGCTACCTTGTACTTCTACAATTCTTACCACTAATTCTTCTCTATTATCAGTTCAGATTTCAAAACATGTTCCTTATTATTTTTTTTATGTGCAGAACAAAATTTATGATTTAAAAATACCACAACGAATGTACCACATTTTATGCAATAAAATTTCATTTCATTTTAAGGATGATGATGGAATTGTGCACTTGCTTATGTTAACGGTTTACGTTGGCCAGTACCAGTGGAGGATGATAAGATGAGCATGAACTCAGATCAGTTAGCCCATTGTGACATATTCATTAGGAATTTATCACGGTGGTTTCCAGGGGGAATCATGTGGAGGTCAACCTGACATGGTACATTGCTAGCAGTACGATCATCAGTCCATATTAGTAATGTACTATTTCCTTCATGATGCACTCTAGGTATATTATTCCACTCTACCCAAATTGTATTTAATGGGGCCTAAGTGCCAACCTTGTGATACTTCAAAAGAATAAAGGTCCTAGGTACGAACCTTGCAGCATTCCAACTGTATTAAATTGGCCCCAGGTGCTAACCCTTCGGTACTCCAAATGTAACCAATAGGATCTCGAAACCATGTGTTGCTCCAATTGTAACAATGATTTATTTTTTATCTGATGAACGTCTGATGGTGATGCAGCGGTATAGACCGTGTAATGCTCTAAATATATAAATGTACTATTTGATGAATGTCTGTTTGTCGTATAGCGGTATGGACCCGGCATCACGCGGGCGCGTGTGGCGTGCGGTGGCCGCGGGGGGAGGCGCGGAGGGAGCGGGGGGAGCACGAGGCGTCGTGCTCAGCACGCACGCACTCGACGACGCCCGGCGGCTGGCGACGCGCGTCGCACTAATGCGTAGTGGCCGCCTCGTCGCGCTCGACACGCTGAACAGCTGTCTGCAAAGGTACCACACACATACACACAGCTCAGTACGCACACACTGCGAGTTCCATACATTATCCCACCTCCTGATATCCATCGTCCTGCACGAAGGAGCAAAACGATCACCATAGTCGCTAACTGGTGTAACGTACTACATGACGCGCAGTGGTTCACAGTGCGCATTGTGGGCGTTCTAAATGCTGTCCCATTTTGGCGTGTCGTATGTCTATTGTTTTATATAAGGAAGACTCTCAAACAAAAAGTTTTGTGCAAATATGTTTAGGTCGGCGTTAATGTGATAGAAGATCCCTGTAGTTTGTAATACTATTCTCGTAAACAGGTTCGGCGGCGGATACATAGTGCGGTGTGTGTGCGGCGGCGGCGGGGGTGGCGCCGGGGGCAAGGGAGGGGAGCATGCGCGGGACGTGTGGCGGCGGGTGCGGGCCACGGCGCCGCACGCCGCGCTGCGCCTGCTGCACCGCGCCGCGCTGCACTTCCTGGTGCCGGCGCGCGCCGCAGGTACCGCCCGAGTGTACTGTGTACTGTGTACTGTGTACCGAGCACGCCGCGCTGCGCCTGCTGCACCGCGCCGCGCTGCACTTCCTGGTGCCGGCGCGCGCCGCAGGTACCGCCCGAGTGTACTGTGTACTGTGTACTGTGTACTGTGTACCGAGCACGCCGCGCTGCGCCTGCTGCACCGCGCCGCGCTGCACTTCCTGGTGCCGGCGCGCGCCGCAGGTACCGCCCGAGTGTACTGTGTACTGTGTACTGTGTACTGTGTACCGAGCACGCCGCGCTGCGCCTGCTGCACCGCGCCGCGCTGCACTTCCTGGTGCCGGCGCGCGCCGCAGGTACCGCCCGAGTGTACTGTGTACTGTGTACTGTGTACCGAGCACGCCGCGCTGCGCCTGCTGCACCGCGCCGCGCTGCACTTCCTGGTCCGGCGCGCGCCGAGTGTACTGTGTACTGTGTACTGTGTACTGTGTACCGAGCACGCCGCGCTGCGCCTGCTGCACCGCGCCGCGCTGCACTTCCTGGTGCCGGCGCGCGCCGCAGGTACCGCCCGAGTGTACTGTGTACTGTGTACTGTACCGTGCACGCCGCGCTGCGCCTGCTGCACCGCGCCGCGCTGCACTTCCTGGTGCCGGCGCGCGCCGCAGGTACCGCCCGAGTGTACTGTGTACTGTGTACTGTGTACCGAGCACGCCGCGCTGCGCCTGCTGCACCGCGCCGCGCTGCACTTCCTGGTGCCGGCGCGCGCCGCAGGTACCGCCCGAGTGTACTGTGTACTGTGTACTGTGTACCGAGCACGCCGCGCTGCGCCTGCTGCACCGCGCCGCGCTGCACTTCCTGGTGCCGGCGCGCGCCGCAGGTACCGCCCGAGTGTACTGTGTACTGTGTACTGTGTACTGTGTACCGAGCACGCCGCGCTGCGCCTGCTGCACCGCGCCGCGCTGCACTTCCTGGTGCCGGCGCGCGCCGCAGGTACCGCGAGTGTACTGTGTACTGTGTACTGTGTACTGTGTACCGAGCACGCCGCGCTGCGCCTGCTGCACCGCGCCGCGCTGCACTTCCTGGTGCCGGCGCGCGCCGCAGGTACCGCCCGAGTGTACTGTGTACTGTGTACTGTGTACCGAGCACGCCGCGCTGCGCCTGCTGCACCGCGCCGCGCTGCACTTCCTGGTGCCGGCGCGCGCCGCAGGTACCGCCCGAGTGTACTGTGTACTGTGTACTGTGTACTGTGTACCGAGCACGCCGCGCTGCGCCTGCTGCACCGCGCCGCGCTGCACTTCCTGGTGCCGGCGCGCGCCGCAGGTACCGCCCGAGTGTACTGTGTACTGTGTACTGTGTACTGTGTACCGAGCACGCCGCGCTGCGCCTGCTGCACCGCGCCGCGCTGCACTTCCTGGTGCCGGCGCGCGCCGCAGGTACCGCCCGAGTGTACTGTGTACTGTGTACTGTGTACTGTGTACCGAGCACGCCGCGCTGCGCCTGCTGCACCGCGCCGCGCTGCACTTCCTGGTGCCGGCGCGCGCCGCAGGTACCGCCCGAGTGTACTGTGTACTGTGTACTGTGTACCGAGCACGCCGCGCTGCGCCTGCTGCACCGCGCCGCGCTGCACTTCCTGGTGCCGGCGCGCGCCGCAGGTACCGCCCGAGTGTACTGTGTACTGTGTACTGTGTACTGTGTACCGAGCACGCCGCGCTGCGCCTGCTGCACCGCGCCGCGCTGCACTTCCTGGTGCCGGCGCGCGCCGCAGGTACCGCCCGAGTGTACTGTGTACTGTGTACTGTGTACTGTGTACCGAGCACGCCGCGCTGCGCCTGCTGCACCGCGCCGCGCTGCACTTCCTGGTGCCGGCGCGCGCCGCAGGTACCGCCCGAGTGTACTGTGTACTGTGTACTGTGTACTGTGTACCGAGCACGCCGCGCTGCGCCTGCTGCACCGCGCCGCGCTGCACTTCCTGGTGCCGGCGCGCGCCGCAGGTACCGCCCGAGTGTACTGTGTACTGTGTACTGTGTACTGTGTACCGAGCACGCCGCGCTGCGCCTGCTGCACCGCGCCGCGCTGCACTTCCTGGTGCCGGCGCGCGCCGCAGGTACCGCCCGAGTGTACTGTGTACTGTGTACTGTGTACTGTGTACCGAGCACGCCGCGCTGCGCCTGCTGCACCGCGCCGCGCTGCACTTCCTGGTGCCGGCGCGCGCCGCAGGTACCGCCCGAGTGTACTGTGTACTGTGTACTGTGTACTGTGTACCGAGCACGCCGCGCTGCGCCTGCTGCACCGCGCCGCGCTGCACTTCCTGGTGCCGGCGCGCGCCGCAGGTACCGCCCGAGTGTACTGTGTACTGTGTACTGTGTACTGTGTCCCGAGCACGCCGCGCTGCGCCTGCTGCACCGCGCCGCGCTGCACTTCCTGGTGCCGGCGCGCGCCGCAGGTACCGCCCGAGTGTACTGTGTACTGTGTACTGTGTACCGAGCACGCCGCGCTGCGCCTGCTGCACCGCGCCGCGCTGCACTTCCTGGTGCCGGCGCGCGCCGCAGGTACCGCCCGAGTGTACTGTGTACTGTGTACTGTGTACTGTGTACCGAGCACGCCGCGCTGCGCCTGCTGCACCGCGCCGCGCTGCACTTCCTGGTGCCGGCGCGCGCCGCAGGTACCGCCCGAGTGTACTGTGTACTGTGTACTGTGTACTGTGTACCGAGCACGCCGCGCTGCGCCTGCTGCACCGCGCCGCGCTGCACTTCCTGGTGCCGGCGCGCGCCGCAGGTACCGCCCGAGTGTACTGTGTACTGTGTACTGTGTACTGTGTACCGAGCACGCCGCGCTGCGCCTGCTGCACCGCGCCGCGCTGCACTTCCTGGTGCCGGCGCGCGCCGCAGGTACCGCCCGAGTGTACTGTGTACTGTGTACTGTGTACCGAGCACGCCGCGCTGCGCCTGCTGCACCGCGCCGCGCTGCACTTCCTGGTGCCGGCGCGCGCCGCAGGCGCGCGCTGCACTGTGTACCGAGCACGCCGCGCTGCGCCTGCTGCACCGCGCCGCGCTGCACTTCCTGGTGCCGGCGTGTACGAGTGTACTGTGTACTGTGTACTGTGTACCGAGCACGCCGCGCTGCGCCTGCTGCACCGCGCCGCGCTGCACTTCCTGGTGCCGGCGCGCGCCGCAGGTACCGCCCGAGTGTACTGTGTACTGTGTACTGTGTACTGTGTACCGAGCACGCCGCGCTGCGCCTGCTGCACCGCGCCGCGCTGCACTTCCTGGTGCCGGCGCGCGCCGCAGGTACCGCCCGAGTGTACTGTGTACTGTGTGTACTGTGTACCGAGCACGCCGCGCTGCGCCTGCTGCACCGCGCCGCGCTGCACTTCCTGGTGCCGGCGCGCGCCGCAGGGACCGCCCGAGTGTACTGTGTACTGTGTACTGTGTACCGAGCACGCCGCGCTGCGCCTGCTGCACCGCGCCGCGCTGCACTTCCTGGTGCCGGCGCGCGCCGCAGGTACCGCCCGAGTGTACTGTGTACTGTGTACTGTGTACTGTGTACTGTGTACTGTGTACTGTGTACTGTGTACTGTGTACCGAGCACGCCGCGCTGCGCCTGCTGCACCGCGCCGCGCTGCACTTCCTGGTGCCGGCGCGCGCCGCAGGTACCGCCCGAGTGTACTGTGTACTGTGTACTGTGTACTGTGTACCGAGCACGCCGCGCTGCGCCTGCTGCACCGCGCCGCGCTGCACTTCCTGGTGCCGGCGCGCGCCGCAGGTACCGCCCGAGTGTACTGTGTGTTCTGTGTACTGTGTACCGAGCACGCCGCGCTGCGCCTGCTGCACCGCGCCGCGCTGCACTTCCTGGTGCCGGCGCGCGCCGCAGGTACCGCCCGAGTGTACTGTGTACTGTGTACCGAGCACGCCGCGCTGCGCCTGCTGCACCGCGCCGCGCTGCACTTCCTGGTGCCGGCGCGCGCCGCAGGTACCGCCCGAGTGTACTGTGTACTGTGTACTGTGTACTGTGTACCGAGCACGCCGCGCTGCGCCTGCTGCCATATTTACATAGCGAGCGTGCTGTGTACCGACTTTATTATCTATTCTAAGTGCTAAGGGACCACCCTAAAGTTATGTACAGTAATTAATAATCACTAAATTCCTGTTTCGCGGTTTTTTCCTCTCTAGTATGACGGTATATCATACAAGTTTATTCAATATTACAGAAATATTTGTAAGTCTGTCATTAATAATTCTAAGTTCATTTCATTACTTTGCAATCCGACAATAAGAAATTTGTGACCTTTGTATATTGGTCATACTTTGTCCACTTCACGCCCCACCTACTTATACATCATACTTAGAAATAATTATACGTAATGAATCTGCTATGTAGTGAGAACGTCATATGCACATTTCGCTAATATTTAAACGAATAAAGCTTTCAAAAAAACTAATTTATATGATTCATAAAGTACCTATGTAATACAAATAAAAATTATAGAAGAATTTTCTTTCGAGCAATTGAAACTAAATATTTTAATATCATTGCAGTTGATAAAAAAGAAATAGTTACGCAACTGAGCGACATCTTCCGGCTGATGGCGGAACTGCAGGGCAGCTGCGACATAGAAGACTACACCATCAACCAGAGCTCTCTAGATCAGGTAAGGAGAAGCTTATTATGTCGCCATAATACATGCCGATCGATTTCTTCTTGCATTGGTCGCCGTAGAAAATTCTGTTCCGATCCCGAAGCTCCCAAAAAAGTAGGACCTACTTGAAGTGTCCAAATAATAGAATTTCTAAATATTAATTTAGATAGATAGATAACTTTAGCTTTATTCAACAATTTCAAACACATAGCATACATGAGATATATTTTATAAATAGAAATAAAGTTTACTAGTTAAAAATGCAGGAATATAAATATTATAAATTAAAAAATGGAGGTGGCTTTATGTGTTGCAATGATGAAGAGGCAACCAACTCAGCATGAAGCTATAGATATATATGCAGCGCTGATATTCTGCTCCTATAATTAAATACATACTTCCATATATGTATACGTGAATGTTTATATATTACACTTCGAGCTCTTAAACAATTATAGAATTACAGAAAGCACTAATATTCAATGTAGTGTCCGGGCCGTCCGTGACACCTTGTGAATAAAATACAATTTAAAAATCAAATAGCCTTTTTATATTTCTTAAAAAACACACGCCATTTTTGTTTTAGAAAACCAAAATTTACTTCTGCCTGACATCAACCGTCTTTGGGTAATAAAAAATTGTGACCTAAATGTCACAATGTGCCACCAGATGTCAATGTCAGTAACTTGTCATTTAAATGTCAAACGTCTATTTTATTTTTCTTACCATAGACAAATTACTTGTCTATTACAAATAGTTAATTACAATATTTTAAATATACATCATTCAGTAAGAAATATTCGTCGTTTCATATTACTTTATTGTTTTTTATGGCATATTTCAGATGTTCCTAAGCTTCACAGACAAGGCTGATATAGACATGGAGACGGTGGACCTGGAGCCACTCCCCACACACCAAGATCTGCGTCAAACCAGCGAGGACTTGGACACTGTCACCTCGCTTTGACACTACTTATTTATCATTCGCTTTACACGTACTGTTATATGGATTTACTTGATGGGTTTTTAAAAAAAAACTTATCTTATTTAAGCACTCGAGGGTGAAGGCATCCGTTTATGTCCGAGAGTGAATATAGACTAGCTTGGTTTTTATGTTAACCAACTTGCAAATTCAAATCAAAAGTCGTTTATTCATGTAGGACATTTCAGCCGCTTATGAACTTAATTTTTTTTACATTATAATATTTTCCCTACCGCCCAGTTCAGTATATAGATCCAATTCTGAAGAACTGGCAAGAAACTCAATTGAATATTTTATTTATTTTCTTAAAAGCAAATTTATTTACAATGCATATTTATATAGGTCCCTAGTTAGACAGTTGTTTATGTCTAACATTAAATGAAAATCCCGTGCATGAACAACTATTGCCATGCACGCTCGTCATTCAAGTAATCGTTTAGTGAGTAATAGGCTTTGCTCAGTAAATATGATTTAACAGATGTTTTAAAACGAGTCAGACCCTGACCCAGCAAGGTGTGGTCGCCAGGGCAGCATTATAGAGTATATAGTCGGAGTATAACAGTACGCTCTTTCGCACAAGAAAGAGAGTGTATGTAAATGTAGACGAAGAGAAGAAAGAGAAAGAAAGAGACCACGAACGTCATAATAACGCGATTTATGTCGTTCTATTCATGAATACAGACGAGGTTACCACTTACCATTTAGTTTTTTCTGACTACTCTAATGCTGTTGGCCGCAGCTGGTCTTACAGCCTCACCGGACGATAGGGGGCGAGTGCAGATGGCACTCCAAACCCACGAAACTTATGAGGCGGCTGAAGGCCAACTAACGCCAGACGAATAGGTACGACTTTAGTCTGAGGGCGTTAGGGATTCGAACCTCGGCTCAGGCTTCGTAACTTCGATCCCTGTTTGAATTGGATCGATCGGAAGGGTTCATTCAGGTGGCCCGTAAGCATGTTTGTTAATTACGTTCAATAGGGATTGATAACCTGATGAGTTCAAATAGATATTTGATATAAAAGACTACACTACTGTTGGTCCATGTAGACTTTATTAGTGAGTAAAAAATTACTCACTAAAGTAATTTTTATATTAAACTACTAAAGATTTAATTGACTGCACGAATGTTCTGACATACATATGTATATTAGATATAGAGTAAATTTAAACAAACAATTTACAATTATTTGCTCAAATATTATAGACTTTAATAAATAGTAGTAATAAATGTTAATTTTAATTTGATAGCGTTCAATGCAAAGAATAAAGACTTCATATGTAATTTTATGAAAAATGTACAATTATAATACAAATAATAGATGATTGTAGACATTTTGGTGAATTAGTAATCAACTAAATTACTGTTTTTTGTCATTGATGATAGAATAAAATAGAATAGAAAATCCTTTATTAAATTAATTTAATTTAAACACTTTTGAATCGTCATAACAATTTTTAATCTATTGTTCATTCGGGAAGCTGTCTCATTACAAGAACGAGCAATCACTTGTGTGTTGCTCTTTTAAATTATTTAAAACTTTACATTTCTCGAGTCAAAACGTGTGAATACGAACTACCAACTAGATAATGGAATGGTGCACCCGCCTGCGATAACGGTTTACGCTGGCAGGGCACCAGTGGAGATTCATACGATGAGCATGTCCGGTTTATTAGCCCCTGTTCGCGCGCTTAAGTTACGGCAACAAAGTGTTACATTTTTGCCGTAACTTAAGTCCCTGTCCGGGCGCCAAAAAAAAAGCCAATTTTCTTGTTTTAGCACAAGATTGGAATTTCTTTAGTGAAACTCGATGTTTTACTTATTTAGACATTTAATATAATAAAATTGTACAGAGCAAGAATCACTTGTGTAAAATGGCCGAGTTAGTAGTGAGTGACATTTATTATTCTTCCACCCGCAACAAAGTGTTACATTTTTGCCGTAACTTAAGCGCGCGAACAGCCCCCAATTCACCACGATGGATTCCTGGTCTCTAAAACAGTGGCGTAGCTATCTAGGGGCTAGGCGGGACAGTGCCCCGGGGCTCGAGCTCAAGGGGCCCTCGAACCCTTACCAGAAAATCTCAAAAACAAATATGACAGGTTGCAGTCCAACTTTACTCGTGGCAACTCAGTTGAGAGAAATTCTAGTTATACCTTCGAAACTCCCCTAAATTCTTTCTGTGGGTGGGCAGTGAACTGTAATATAGGGCCCCACTGCTGAATTTGCCCCAGGGCCCTTTGTTACCTAACTACGCCAGTGCCTGGAAACCATCGTGATCAATTTCCAGTGGAGGTCAACGTAGGTACGTTGCTAGCATTTTTTTTTAGAAAGTCTATTTGTAATGCGAAACAGTACAGTTACCATAGAGTCGAACAGTCCATGTTCTACCGTCCTACAAATTTATTATAAATAGTATTTAAATAGTAATAGGTTTAAAATAAAACTAAAGATGTTTGTTGTCATATTTTTATTATCCAAATATTAAATAAGTCATAATATATTATTTTTGTTTATAAACTATCATGTTATTCTGGTGTATAATCTATATTACTATAAAGTTTCATCAAAATCCGTTCATTATTTTTTGCGTGAAAGAGTAACAAACATCCATCCATACTCACAAACTTTCCCGTTTATAATATTAGTAAGATATAGATAATACATCATGATGATGATGATGATGATGATGATTTGAAGAAAATATAATTCAACTTTGCACAAATCACATTCCAATCTATTTTTGCACATTTTAAATAAAAAAATTGCAATATTTTAACCATACATACCTACATTTTAATACCATACAATAATATTATAAACAAAAAGATACTGGGTAATAAAGAGATATTAGGCATTTTCTACACTAAATAATGGTCATAAGGTCTATTTTGATTTGGATTATCAACAATAAAGTACACAAAACAATATAGCGCAAAAATATTGTAAGGCCGGAAGTGTAGCCTTTATGATACAGAATAATGAACCTTATTGTTAAAGCGATACTGTGTTATTTGGAATCTCTTGTGAACGTATTATGCGACCACTGTGATATTTAACATGTTTTTAGAATTAATTTTAAATAAATGGATGGTTTATGGAAATATTGCTTTTTTTTAATTATTAAAATTCGGGTTTGGAGTTGAAGCTTTTGCAGAAGCGCCAATATAAATTACGATGTACTTTTAACCTTTATTGCAATTATTTCTTCAATAATTTCTTGTAATCCAAACATTTCACTAACGAGCAACTCGGTATAAAAAAAAAACGCATTTTTTTAAGACATCTCCAATGCTTGTTGGCCGCAGCTGGCCTTTACAGATTCGCCGGACGATAGAGGCGAGTGCAGATGGCACTCCAAACATGCGGAAGGACTTATGGAGCGGCTGAAGGCCTAACGGATAGCGACCTTGGTCTGAGGGCACCGCTAGGGGGTTCGAACCTCTTCTCAGGCCGTCGTAATTTCGACCCGCATTTGAATTGGACGGGGATTGATCGGAGGGAGAACATTTTGATATACATATCTTGTTTCATACGTCCACTACAGTTATCAATCACCTTACAATTTTAACATATAAAGAATGTTATGGAAATCTTAATTATATAATAAAATATATCATTATATTAAAAATCGTATATCACAGGAATACAAACAATTTTGACAAGCTTAAATATAAAAAAGACAATTAATATATTAATATTTTAATGATATCCTCGGTAGTCTAGCAGTTTAGAACACTTGCCTTATTTCCGATGGTCACAGGTTCGATTTCACTTACATAAATTCATTTTTTAATACATTCATAATATGCATAAAAACGCATAGACCGATACAAACATTCATACTCATAAATACAAATGTTTGTAGACTGCGAGGAATCGTACCCGCGACCATCGGAAGTAAAGCGGTGTTAAACCGCTAAACCACTGAAGCCGTCAGAAAAAATAAAAATAATAAAACATATAATTCTTTGAATGCTAAAAGCATACATGAGAATGAAGGCTGCTTAATATTAAATTTAGATACAGTTAATAGATAAAAAAGCTTCTTTGGTCTACTTATTTACGGTCCAAGACCTTGAGATCCTAAGTTCGATGCCAGGTTGAGCATAACCTAAATTAAGTAGTTTATTTTAACAACTTGGAATGTTAAAAAATTAGCGCTCCACTGGAGCAAAAAACCATAAAACAAAGAAACCACTAAGATTACAAGAAATTAAAAGTGCGTTGTCGGCCTTAGGGACAAACCAACTTGCGGCTCACCTGATGGTAAGTGATTACCGCCGCCCACGAGCACCCGCAACACCAGGGAAGTTGCAAGTTGTCGCCCTTTTAAGAAGGAATAAGTTCTTTTCTTGTAGTTTCAATATCGTAATGGAAATACCATTGCTGGAAGGTGATTCCACAGTGTGAGTGTGAGTTTTCCTTTGAGACATTTATTGGTCCTTCGAGCCATCTGCTAGAATTTATTGGGAATGCCACTAACGCAGAGCTAACTGCGAAAATCTGATGATGAATGGTCCTAAATCAGGTGATAGACTAGGACCATCTAATTAGTATCGAACGATAGACTCCTTAACGCCGCCGACTTCTTGAAGTGCAGAGCGAATACGTCCAGCATCCGAAATGCGAGGTCCCGGTTCACTTCCTTGTGACTGAAGCTGGATACGACCAATGTCACTGCGCCTGTTAATGTCTCCTCACCGAACACGTATAATGCTGTTGAAAATGAGATATTTTTTATTGTTGACTAGCTGTAGTCGCGACTTCGTCCGCGTGGATTTTAACTTTATTTTTCTAAAATAAAAGTAGCCTAAATTACTTAGATAGATAGATAGATAGATATATCGTTTATTTGTTCGTTACTAATCACACACTACATGTTCATAATAATAGACAATACATAATACGACATAAGATTTATAAAATTGTGTTATTATGTGTGATCCGTAGCAATACAAACAGGTCGAAGCTCAGCGTGGAACATTGTTCAGGGAACAAAACACTGATTTTCTTATTAGATCAGCTACCTGCTAAAAAAAGTCCCGTTAAAATCGGTCCAGCCATTTCGGAGATTAGCCGGAACAAACAGACAGACAAACAAAAAATGTAAAAAAAATCTTATTCTGGTGTATGTACCGTATTTATATTCATATGCATGTAGTAAAAATGATTATTTCAATGTTACAAACAGACACTCCAATTTTATTTATATGTATAGACAATAATAACAAATCATCTAGTCACACATAAAATAGAACTTGATCAATAGGTAAGAAATGGAGCTGATTCTTTCTTAAAGGGCCGGTAATCACTTACCATCAGGTAAGCCGCAAGCTAGTTGGGGACAAAGTAAAATATTTGTGCTATAAAAAAATACTCAAAATGATACATACCCGGTACCTTCTCCAATATAGCGGCGATAGTCTCTTCTCTATCAAACTCTCTCATGGGTTCTTCCTTGGCCGGGCTGACCGGAACTTGTTCAGACATGTCCTTGAATATAACAAACACCTGCTGCTTCAGCCAAGCGCTCAGATCCGCTAACCACGCGTCGATCATAGATTCTACAAGGTCTGCAATGAATGAATGAATGAATTATTTTTTTGCGGGTTCGATTCCTTGCACTATACATTTGTATTCGTGAGTATAACTGTTTGTTTTGGTCTGAGTGTTTTCTAAGTATGGACATATCTTTAGAAGAGCAACATTCAAGTTTCTTGTTCATTCTTATTATGCTTTCTGAATGAATGATAGAATAAAAAATGACTATTCAAAAGTGCTTATATTAAGTTTAATTTAATAAAAATTATTTATATTTTTAAATATTTACAAAAACATTTTTCTTATTGTTTCTATCAGTTGTTTAATACCCATAACAAGATATGCTTAATTTGGGACTAGATGGCGCTGTGTAAATTGTCTAGGGTTATTGTTTTTATTATTTATATAATTTTGCGCAGGAAATGCACGCATAAACTTATAATGAATGGGCTTAACATGATAACGTGATGTCCGTAGCGCTGTTTCTATATATAGGCAACGGTTACCGCTCACCATCATATAATATATACCTACAATAAAAAAAATGTATCTATGTATTTATATCAGTTGTCTAGTACCCATAACACAAGCTCTGCTTACCATACTAGATGGCGCTGTGAATTGTCTTGAGATTTTATTATTATACAAAGGTGGGTAGTGATAAGGCAGATATAGTTATATAAATTTAATATATATACACATATTTTTTACTATTATATTGCGCATCTACGTCTAACAGTCGCCATCGACCTGTTGACGACCTCTGAAATAATGAATACATACCGGCTGCGAGTAACGCCGCGAGGCGCTGCGCTACATGTGAGGGCGCGACCCCGGCGGCGGCGGCGGCGGCGCTGGTTGCGATCCAGCCTCTCCACCCGCACCACACCTGCTCCTCTGCGACACACCATTACATAGATCAAGTCTGACCGCTCAGTTTGCGTTTCTGACAGATCGGGATCGAATGGAATGGAATAGAAAATCCTTTATTCAAATAAACTTAATTTAACTATAGCATAATCTACCGATTATGTTATGACTATTCAAAAGTGCTTAAATTAAGTTAAGTTAAGGTAAGCACTTTGGATTAGTCATAACATAATTGGTTGATTATGTTATGACTATACAAAAGTGCTTAAATTAAGTTAAGTTAAGGTAAGCACTTTGGATTAGTCATAACATAATTGGTTGATTATGTTATGACTATTCAAAAGTGCTTCAAAAGAGCTATAACTCATTCGGAATGCTGTCTCATCACAAGAACGAGCAAGAAATTTGTGTATTGCTTTTTTAAATAATCCTTGTAAGTTTACATTTACAAGTCGAAACGTGTGAATACAAACCACCAACTAGCACTAATTTATTAATGAGCGATGTACCTTTGAAATGACGTACAATTTAAGACAAATTTTAAGTATCATTTATTTGCATTATTAACGAGTGATAAAACGAATTATTCCAAATTATATATTAATTTTGGGCTAAAATTAATAACTAACTTAACAAGTATAGAAACAATAGTTTTTAAAAGTCCAACCACAAAGCAGTAAGAGTTCTACGAAGGACAATTACAAGGACTAAACGTGACACGTGTCGAATATATTTGTAAGCTGATCACTACCTCAATGCTATTATACTTTGCTGAGTTTTAAACAAATTAATTTTTATACCATTCTGTCATCACTTCCGGTTTTTCGAGAGTGCACAAGATGGCGACCTATGAACAGTGGCTCGGACATAAAAAAAAGCATATACAATCAGCTCGTGAACGGAACGGAGTCGTCAAAGGGACCCTCAGTTTATTTACCATTCCAGCTAATAGTAGTAACTTTTATCGATGACGATGAGGGTATTGATGACGATGATGATGATGACGTCGATGATGGTGATGATGATAGTGTTGATAATATCGATGGTTATGATTTTGATGTCTATAATGTTAATAACGATGATTGCCCGTTTACCCGTGATCTTGGTGGTTGAAACACTGCCGAAATATCGGGAACTCAGCAAATAAATATAAAACGTGGTAAGATCCCGTGATTTTTACTAATACTACTTTTATTTTAGAAAAATAAAGTTAAATTCCACGCGGACGACGTCGCGAGTACAGCTAGTAATATAAAAATGAATAGATGAATATACCGAAGTCATCGGCGGCGAGCGAGGCGCTAGTCACAGAGACTGGGGTTCCACGGGCGGTCGCGGACCCACAAGCGGAGGCGGAAGCGGAAGCGGGCGGCAGTGAGTGCAGCGAGTCCAACGCCGTGTCCACGTGATCGAGAGCTCGTCGAGCGCTCAACAGACGCACCACAGAGCAGCACACCTGCAATGTATATATATCGACGACGACCTCGGTGGTCCAGCGGTCTAGTACACCGCTTTACGACCGATGGTCGCGGGTTCGATTCCTCGCACGGCACAAACATTTGTATTCATGAGTATGATTGTTTGTATCGGTCTGGGTGTTTTCTATATATAATATGTATGTATTTACAAAAAAAAAAATATCTATGTATTTGTATCATATATAAAAACTTTCTAGATGGCGCTGTGTGAATTGTCCTAAGATTATTATTATTATTATTATTATTATTATCTAATATATAAAATTGTCGTGTCGCAGGTTTCGTGTTTACACTCCACCGAAACGGCTTGAATGATTTTGATGAAATTTTATATGCGTATTCAGTAGGTCGTAGGTAGTAGTAGGTTTTTATATGCCTAAGGTAAGGTAATTGTAGAGAACTCCTTGATAGATTTTTATACTATTTTTAAATTTTATAATAAAATATAAAATAATCTTTGTCATATTCTTTATTGTTCACTTTCTATTATATATCGCTGTCATACTAGTCGCATTTTATTTAATCTCCGTATTTTCCTCATTAAAACCCTCAGCACCTCTCACTCATCAGACACATTTGATACCTCCGCTTCAGTAATTTTTATTTTATTGCCATTTAGCATTGAAAAATACACTACTACATTACCCTTCTATTACTAATCCCTATTTTTAATCATCATCATCATCATCTCAGCCCGGAAGACGTCCACTGCTGGACATAAGCCTCCCCCAAAGATCTCCACGACGATAGGTCCTGCGCTGCTCGCATCCAATGCCTTCCAGCGATCTTGACCAGATCGTCGGTCCACCTTGCTGGAGGCCTTCCCACGCTACGTCTTCCGGTCCGGTATTTTTAATACTGATTTTAATTTATAAGGCAAAACAATGCCGGGTCAGCTAGTGAATATATAACAGTTTGTAGTTAAATTACATTCAGTATAGAGCATTTTAATTTATATTTAGTTTATTTTATCTTACTTTAAAAATTATGTACGTAAATTATAATATGTATGTAGTTCATGTAAGTGTATCTAGTGTAATATATTATTAATTACATAAATTATAATACATGTTATATGTAGTTATGATTATTTTTCTATATCGACATTATATTTTTGTAATTTTGTAGTTTTCTCTAAAAGATAAGAAATAAAACTTGTCTTAAATTTGCTCCGTATATTTTAAATTCATAACCGTAGCGTGAAGAAGTTCGATCTAACAGTAATATTTATTATTATATTCTGTTCTGTTCTTACTTACGCTGAGTTCAACGGAGGTGTAGACGTATGTCCAGCGGTGGGCGTGGTGCGGGCGCGGCTCCCCCCCCGCGGCCTGCTCGCCCCCCTCCGCGCCCACAGCTGTCTTGATCGAGTTGAACATGCCCGTCACAGTCCTCTGGAACAGCCTGCAGGACCAGATGGTATTAGGCACATCGATTTATGTAGAAAAAGTATAATCCATCACATTTAAAATAAGTATTGTTGCTAAGTAACAGTTTGTATGTAACGTGCAACTACGGTCGGAACGAAGTAAATTATATTTACTGCTATATATGTAATCCACTCTCAATATCTCTATCAGGTATAGGTCCAACAGTAATTATTAGTATTTTAGTAGATTTAATTTTGGATATGTTTTTTGCTACTATTGTTCTATTGTTTACTCTTCTGTATATTGTTTTATATTATGTATGTTATTTAAATGTAGAGATGTAGAGTGTCTTAAATGTCATGGATTCAGGGACCGTATTAGGCACATTGATTTAAGTAGAATAAGTATAATCCATCACATTTAAAATAAGTATTGTTGCTAAGTAACAGTTTGTATGTAACGTGCAACTGTGATCGGAACGAAGTAAATTATATTTACTACTATATATGTAATCCACTCAATATCTCTATCAGATGTTTAATCTTCTTTGTAACTGTAATCTTTAAAGATTTGTCACTAGATGGCGCTGCGTCAATTTCTAAAACGCGCTATGTTTTCGTTCTTGAGTTGCTTATAAGCTAAAGCAGCTAGAAGCATTGAAAGTCGTTAAGTCGAGCTACGGTAGCTAACTTCGCTAGATTTTTATTATTTTCGCAAACATATTAAAGACAACCTGAATGGGCCCATCCGATCGATCCCCGTCAAATTCAAACGGGGATATAATTACGATGACCTGAGCCGAGGTTCGAACCCCGAGCGGTGCCCTCAGACTAAAGTCGTATCCGTCAGGCGGGAGTTGGTCTTCACCCGTTCCATAAGTACTTCCTTTGGTTTGGAGTGCCATCTGCACTCGCCTCCTATCGTCTGATGAAGCTGTAAAGGCCAGCTGTGGCCAACAGCATTAGAGTAGTCCGAAAAAAAAGCTAGTAACAGTTTAAGTATGATGTTTTATGTACATATTGTTTTATATGGTGGTAATTGCGATCCCATTACACTTTGTGTTCGAGTAAAATTTATTCCTTGACATTGAGGTATACTTTTGAAGCAACGGCTGGTGTACACAAGATATACTTGTGAACGAGTGTTGCTTGTGAGGACTGGTCTGTTTTGGTTACGGCCAATCATTAAACTATTTCCTTTTAACAGAATTGCGATAGCATATGCTGGTAGTCACTCTATTCTCCCTAACATAAATTTAAAAATTGAATCTCTTTTTTTGTAAACATATAAAAAGTCATTTGAAAAAGATAAGAGCTAGGTTTCTTCAAAAGAGCAACATACAAGTTTCTTGCTCATTCTTCTTGTGATGACGGCGAGCCGTTCGTTACAAAATTACCTGTGGAAGATACTCAAGAAATTGAAAGTTAACTCTTTCAATAGCCGGAGGATGTCGACGCCTAGAGTGGAGATAAGGTTGGCAACACTAAGCGAGTATTGTCTATTTTCTGCATTGTTGTCATGTCTCTCTGTACAAACTCTATGAACAATAAACGACTTAAAACTTGTAATTTTTATTTATATCAAGTAATGATCGCAATGATCACCCATATGAATAAAAAGTGATAGTGTGTGAAAGCTAGCGAAGATATCTTCGAGACCCTGAAGCTCAAGAAATCCGCAGAACCGTACAGGTATTTAGACTGACGCCCCCTCCTATTTTCCCTATATATATACAGAGAGTAAATTCCCTAACATTTTGGCAGAGGAGTTTCCCAATAACTGTATGTTGTTTAAAGTTTGTCCAGGTGAGGAATTTCTATCTGCATTCATGTCGTATTCATCTGAAACATAAAAAATACATTATTGTAGAATATACTATAGATAACATACATTATCTTGACGGCCTCGGTGGTCTAGCGATTAAGCACACCGCTTTACTACCGAAGGTGGCGGGTTTAATTCCTCGCACTGTACAAACTTAACTATTTATGAGTATGATTGCTTATCGGTCTGGGTGTTCTGTGTATTATGTATGGATTTACAAAAAAAATCTATGTATTCATATCAGTTGTCTAGTACTCATAACAAAAGCTCTGCTTATCTTGGGACTAGATGGCGTTGAGTGAATTGTCCAGGGTTATTATTTTTAAAATTCAAATAAAAAAATATTAATTCATGAAATATTATTCATTTTTTCCCGACCGTCCAGTTCAGTATACAGATTCAATTGAGAAGAAACTAAATTTTATTTCATTTTTTTTTTTTAAAGCAGTTTATCTTTATATATACAAATTACATGTCAAATTATTTGTCCGCGATGGACTCCTAAGCTACTGAATCGATTGCAAATTTTATTCGCACATTGTGTGCAATTAGATCCAACTTGAAAGATAGGATAGCTTACATCTCAATCTATAGTCGCAATTTTATTTTATTCAAGAACCTTAGCCACAGCAACGCGTGGTGGGTCGGCTAGTTACAATGTATGTTTATATATAAAGTTCTTCAATGTAAGTTTATTTGAATAAATGATTTTCTATTCTATTCTATAGGTGTCTATGTCTAATGCCCAATTTACACTCAGCCCGAGTGGACAGGGAAGCGAGCACGGAAATGAGCAGCGCGAGAGAGTAAACACGAGTGGAAACACTTCCCATGCCATTGGCGCTGCCACTCGCGCTGCCCGGCGCTCCCTCGATTGTCGGTTTTTCATGCACGAGTCAAAGGACTGGCAGAACGAGTGGCAGCGTGTTTTTACATTCAGCCCTCTCGCTCAGTTGTCGCCCGACAATATTTCCGGCAGCGCGAGTGGCAGGGGAAGCAGCTGAATGTAAACGTAGCATAACATTAACTGAAAATCCTGTGCATGAACAACTATTGCATTGCACGCTCGTCAAGTAATTATATAGGAACTTTACCAGCTAGTGTGGCGGTATCCACGGGTCCATGGCGCGTAGAATGCTGGGTGCGTCCTCGCGTCTCCTCAGCACTTTCCCACCAGATATCCTCAGATCTAACATCATACCACAAAGAAACAGTAATTAGACGAACTTCTACAGTATGCTAAACCATGGATTCACGGTGGGGGTGCTGGGTCCATCATGTGGCAGAGAGGGAAACTGCAAGCAGTTCCCGGGACTTGAGATCCGGATGTAGTATTAAGGGGCCTCTTTACTATATACTGTATATGCTACCTAAAATTCTCGTGTCACAAGTTTTTTGATTATACTCCTCCGAAACGGGTTGACCGATTTTGATGAAATATTATATGTATACTCAGTAAGTCTGAGACTAGGTTTATAACAAATTTTTATACCCCTAAGTGTTAAGAGTGATTCACCGCAAATTTTTTTGTTTTTTTATTTTTTCTACAATATTTTTTATTTTTATTTTTTTGTTAGATGGCATTAAAAAATACATACAACCCTAAATTTTCACCCTTCTATCACCAACCCCTATTTTTTATAGCGTTATTAATTTGTATGGCAAAACAATGTTTGCCGAGACAGCTAGTATTACTATAAAATTTCCTGAAAATCAGGTCAATTTTTGCGTGAAAGAGTAACAAACATCCATCCATCCATTCATCCATACTCACAAACTTTAACGTTTATTATATAAATAAGATATGTATGCAAAATTTCATACTATTCCGTCCGCGCCATTTTTGTAGAAAGGGATGCAGTTTTTGCTTCATTATTATATAGATGACTAGCTGTGCCCGTGATTTTACCCGCGTTAAATTTATAGTCTACTAGCTGTCCCGGCAAACGTTGTTTTGCTTTAAAATAAAAAAAAAATTAGGCTTGGACTACCCCTAACATTTAGGGGGATGAAAAATAGATGTTGGCCGATTCTCAAACCTACTCAATACGCTCACAAAATTTCATGAGAATCGGTCAAGCCGTTTCGGAGGAGTATGGGAACGAAAACTGTGACACGAGAATTTTATATATAAGATATGTTATTCTGATGTATAAGCTATATTACTGTAAAGTTTCACCAAAACCAGTTGAGTAGTTTTTGTGTGAAAGAGTAACAAACATCCATCCATACTCACAAACTTTCGTGTTTATAATATTAGTAAGATACTTTGGACTGGCTTCAGCTCGCTGCTGCAACAAACACCGCAGCTTCGCGATGCTGGTAGACAGATCGGCAGCTTCCTCGTACTCTGGTTCTGGGGAGTCAGACAGAGCCACCAGCGGCGGAGGGAAGTCTCCACGAGGCACTAGTATAGGCTTCGCTTGGGATGGCTGTTTGGATAAATATTTTGAAGTCAATTTTAATTTACCTAATTTCTTTTTTTTTTGGATAATGGAATGGTGCAACTAACGGTTTACGCTGGCACTAGTGGAGGATGATAGGATGAGCATGAGGCCGTTAGCGCAGGCAGGTGCACCATTCCATTATCATCCATAAGACAGTTTTTTTCATGGATGATAAACGAATTTTTATGCTATAAATAATATAAATGACGTAGTGGAGTAACTTGAAACAGTCATGCTCGCTATAAAGTTCAAACTTGTGGCGGCGTGGTGGGCCGGGTCGATGTGCTCCCTCTAATATGGTTGAGTGCAATGATGGCTGGCTCATCCGTCATACTCGTGAACGGGTGCTGCTTGTGGGGACTGGTTTGTTCAGGTTGCGAACACTGATTAGATTTTTTTTTATATAGGTAATGCTGGTGGTCACTCTATTCTCCCAAATTTGAATTTAAATGAAATTGTATTATTGTAAATATGTACAACATTTAAAAAAAAATACGAGCTGAGTTTCTTGTCAGTTGTTCTCATCTCGAAATCATTCCGAACTGACGGTAGATTTGACATATCATAAGAGTCTATAATAGACCTACATGAATAAAGATATTTTGAATTTGAATTTGAATGACTCATCCGCCTGCGCTAATGGTTTCCACTGGCAGGGCACCAGTGGAGGATGATATGATGAGCATGAAATCAGGTCAGTTAACCTATGTCGACAAATTATTTATGCCATAAATAAATATATATTTATTTATTTATGGCAATTTATTATATGGTACATTATCAAACCCTTTCCCCCTAAAATTTTGTGCATCTTTTGTTACAATCTGTTAAACTATAAAGTACTGTTATTATATCTACCTATCTCCGTTAAAAAGTTTTTTTTCGGACTACTCTAATGCAGTTGCCCGCAGCTGTGCTTTATTTATTTATTTATTTGTTGTTCACAATACAGTGTCACAAATAGATCTTAATTCGTTCAATGTATTCAGCCTGCAAACAGGCGTGCAAAATTTATATACATTATTACTTTTATAAATTGAATTAATTTTTAAAATATTATTAATAATTAAATTAAATTGTTTGTATATTCAAATATGTCAACAGATTCAACTTCTTTTTTTTAAAACAGCCTCTCCGGACGTTAGGGGGCGAGTGCAGATGGCACTCTAAACCAAAACAAGGACTTATGGAGCGCCTGAAGGCCAACTCCCGCCTGACGGATACAACTTTAGTCTGAGGGCACCGCTAGGGGTTTTTTTTGTATATGATAATGACATGGTCTGCGCTAACGGTCTACGCTGGCGGGGCACCAGTGGAGGATGATACGATGTGCATGAGGTCAGGTCAGTTAGCTCATCGTGACAAATTCACCAGGAATTTAAAGCGATGGTTTCCAGGGGGAACCGCGTGGAGCTCGACCTGACATGGTACATTGCTAGCAATGGGGTTATCAATCCACATTACTAACAAACACCCCCCCCCCCCCCCCCCGCTTGGGGTTCCAACCTCAGCCCGTTGTAATTTCATCCCCGTTTGAATTAGACTGGGGATCCAACGGAGGGTTGTTAAAGAGTGACGGGCTTAACTAATGTTGCAACAAAAACTTTTCCAACTAACCAGACTGTCTTGTGATATAACTCTCTGCTGTTTCAACAGAGGTGGCGCTGGAGTGCTGCTGACATCCTCTGGAAAACAACAAAATTACAAATTACCTTACCTGAGAAATGGTTCATTTTTGGAATCATGAGGTTAGGTCAGCCATAATAGACCATTGCTTCACTTCCGATGGTCACGGGTTCGATTCCTCGCACAATGAAAACATTTCTTTTCATCAGAATATAAGTATATTTAACTAACCTCTCTGTATGACGGTAGATGTAACGGCCTCCTTGATATCCGCCTTTTTGTTAATCTCTGCCGGTGAGATCTTGTCAACACGCTCCTTGAGTGAAGATGGCGATTTATCCTGCGGTAACCGTAAGAACAAAATATTGCACTAGGTAGATAATAGTAGTAATAGGTAAAGTTGTAATAGAAAAGAGACAGAGAACGTCTGTCTCACTCATTTCTACAACCAAACTGGTTATTTTTGTAAATAACGTTACAGTTCCATGGGTATATAGCAGTGAAATTATATAATTTCTTAATGGAGTAAGGAAAGTTTGTAAGTATGTATGTTTGTAACTCATTCACGCAAAAACTACTGAATGGATTTTGATGAAACTTTACAATAATACAGCTTATACATCAGAATAACACAGGCTACATTTTATATTGAAATTTAACGCGAGTGAATCCGCGGGCACAGCTCGTATATGTATTATACATATATATATTCCTCTTAAATCACTCTATCTATTCTTAAAAACTGCATTAAAATCAGTTGTGTTGTTGTTGTGTAGATTTAAGCGAACAAACAGATATACACTCAAATTCGAAATATCTTTATTCATGTAGATCTATTACAGACTCTATGATATGTCAAATCTACCATCAGTTCGGAATAATTTCGAGAAGAACTGACAAGAAACTCAGCTCATACTTACTTGCGAGTCGTCGCTGAGGCCGGTCAACCTCAGACCCTTCTTCAGACCAGCTATACCAAAGTCGAGGAGACCTTCCATCATACCAGCGGCTTCATCCTATAATTACAGGATAAGAGGGATGATATAGTTTCATTGTTATGTTATTCCCAAATTTTGTGGTTATTGTAAATTTTTGTTATGTTATTGTCAAAATAGTATTGTAACATTTTTATGTTTATTTTGTTAGCAAAGTAAATAAAGAGGACAGTTTTGAACTTAAATGCTATAGGCGTTGTTGATTTTAATTGTATTAAATAGCTGTTCCCGCGACTTCGTCCGCGTGGAAACTAACTTTATTTTTCTAAAATAAAAGTAGCCTAAGTTACTCCTTATTACATCAGCTACCTGCCAAAAAATATCCCGTAAAAATCGGTCCAGCCCTTTCATAGATTAACCGGAATAAACAGACAGACAGATAAAAATTGTAAAAAATGTTATTTTGGTGTATGTACCGTATTTACATTCATGCGCATGTAGTAAAAAACGGTTATTTCAATATTACAAACAGACACCCCAATTTTATTTATATGTATATATTACAAACAAAATATGCGAAAATTTTCTGGAAAAACGTACAGTGTAGGATCACCACTTGCTTATAAAAACATACAGTAACATTAAGTATTACATGCCAACACAAAGAATGCATGCATTGTACAAATTTATGCATGCAGGTCATTAGCTACAACATGCAATGTAAATATGTCATTATTGTTACTTTAACAAGTTATATTTCACTATTTATATTATTAACTGGGTCTTAACACGAATGTTATGGTAAACTAGCTGTCCCGCCAAACGTTGTTTTGCCTTAAAATAAAAAAAAAATTAGGGCTGGACTACCCCTAACATTTAGGGGGATGAAAAATAGATGTTGGCCGATTCTCAGACCTACTCAATACGCTCACAAAATTTCATGAGAATCGGTCAAGCCGTTTCGGAGGAGTATGGGAACGAAAACTGTGACACGAGAATTTTATATATAAGATAATAAATACTTTTATACACAACAAAATTATTATGTGTTACGTTAAACTGGGTTTTAATACGAATAAGTTTGTGGTATATAAAGGTTTTTTTTTATTTGAGCTATTGTCAGGTGTCAACCTGTAACACTGCGAACTGTATAGATCTATTGTGCTCGCCATTATTCAAAGTTCGCTATATAGATCCGTAAGGGATAAGAATTGAAGGATATTCTTAGGAGCGATGATCTCCTCAGGATATAGTTAATAATAATAATAATAATAATCTCAAGACAATTCAAACAGCGCCATCTAGACCCAAGTTAAGCTAGCTAAAGCTTGTGTTATGGGTACTAGATAACTGATACAAATACATAGATTTTTTTTTTCGTAAATACATACATATTATACATAGAAAATACCCAGACCGATACAAACAATCATACTCATGAATACAAATGTTTGTGCCGTGCGAGGAATCGAACCCGCGACCATCGGACGTAAAGCGGTGTGCTAGACCGGTAGACCACCGAGGCCGTCATTCGAGTTAGTAGGTAGAAAGGTATTTATTATTTACCATAAAATTATTCATGTGAAGACCAAGATAATAATGTATATTTAAAACGAAAGTTGAAAAAAAATTACATTTCGTATCAATACAAAGAAAGAAGCAAATAAATATAAAACGTGGTAGGATCCCGTGATTTTTAATAATTATACGTATAAATAATGACCGGGTCAAATTTAAAACAGTATAATACAAAGAAAGTTGCTAAAGACAAAAAGATACTAAGTTAATTAAATTCGCGTAAATAGTTATAGAAATTTACTGCAAAAATGGACATAAGTTTTAAAAATATATATATATATATAATAATAATAATCTCAGGACAATTCACACAGTGCCATCTAGACCCAAATTAAGCTACCTAAAGCTTGTGTTATGGGTACTAGACAACTGATACAAATACATAGATATGTTTTTTTTTTTCGTAAATACATACATATTATACATAGAAAATACCCAGACCGATACAAACAATCGTACTCATGAATACAAATGTTTGTGCCGTGCGAGGAATCGAACCCGCGACCATCGGTAGTAAGGCGGTGTGCTAAACCGCTAGACCACCGAGGCCGTCCGTTATAAATAAAATATAAAATACATTAAATTTTAATATTGAAACATTTTACTTGCTATTCTTTAATATTTTTAAAATATTTAGTTTTTTTTCCAACGTTAAAAAAAGCCTTGCCTAAGTTACATTATGTTGTCGTCCCCTAGATGTCAAACAACGAAAGGTCCTGGTGGGCGTTGCTCTTGTTTTGTGAGGGTGTAATGAAGAAGAAGGAATAAGTGGAGAGGGAGCGAGAAATCTCCTCTGCTCATCCGATCCGAAGACATAAGACAGTAGAGAAGGAGTGCAAGTCGAGGTCCCCTCCCTCCGCTAGAGTCAGGGGCGGCAGCCACGGGGGTGGTCAATTTATGGGTGTTTCACAATCAGTAAGAATATAGACAAATAATATTAAAGATAAACAATATTAAGCTATTCCCAATTAGGCATATGCATGTGTCAAATTCATGGTAATGTGTGTAATATTTTTTTATTGATTTAACATATTATATAATTTAGTAAATAAAAATGTCTTGGACAGTTTCCACTTACGCCGCTAGATGGCGTTACTATGCAATGTAAAATGCGCTATTAAGATTTTTTTGTGCTTTTATATAGTCCAACGGAATGTTTATACCTGGGATTCGATTCCATCTGGTTCTATACCGTTCACTTCTAGAAAAGAATATATTAACCGTCTGTACCTATATTATGTTTTCATTTATTGAACCGATATTTAGTACACCTTGATTGTGTTTGATCAGTGTGAACACGTAGTTGTTCATATTTTTATGCATAATTAAAAAAAATAGCATTCTTCTTCCTTCTCTATATAAACTAAAAGTATACGAAATTTCGTACGTCTCCATCAGTACTATTTTCAGTAAAAAGGGTACCAAGTCATTGCTTTAGAATTAATAATTAATTGATTGTAAAGAACCGTAAAAATCCTTAAAATGACATGCACAAGTGGCTAAAATGTATAAAGTGAATAAAATACTTTTGAGATTGAATTCAAAGCCAGAGGAAAGCTGATAGATCGTGCAAAGAACATACACTGGAGCGCTTGCAGGGCACATCTATTTTGGCAGTGTTTGAGACCTGGAGGTCGCCTATCTTTGTCTTAGCTTGGTGCACAGTGCTCTGAAGGTCCTTGAGTAGAGCATCCGCTGGCTTTTGGCTGTGCTCCTTCTTTATGGGGCTCCGTTCCTTCGGGCTGGAGTCGAGTTCTAAATCCATGGTGTCTTCTTCCCCTAGAATATTCTTTTATATTAATGGCATGTTAATAAGCTGACGATGAACATGGTGGGAAGGAATAATTGTCTTATGGATGATAATGGAATGGTGCACCCGCCTCAGTTTACGATGGCGAGGAACCAGTAGACATAGATAAGATGAGCATGAGGTCATATCAGCAAATTCTCCAGGAATTTACCACGATGGGCTAACTGATATGACCTCATGCTAGGGCTACGTTTCCAGGGACCGTGTGGCAATCAACCTGACTTGGGGCATTGCTAGCAATGGGCTTATTATTCCACATTACAAACAATCCGCTTGATATAGTGTACATATAAACCTGAAATAAAAAAATACGAAATACATATCCTATGTGAATATCTAAAGAAGATTAAGGTTTCCGACTTCATTCAGGTGGTTTTGAGGAAGAATTTCGTTGGGCTGTTGCAGTTCCGTTTCTATCACCTTAATTAATTTTATTATTAAAGTAATAATTACTATTCCAATATACTCACTGCTATGTTGTCAGCAATTTATTCCTATAACTGAATCTGAAGATATGAATCTAATTTTAAATTACAGTTTAGTTCCAAGTTAAAAATATAGTTGTATTCTTACCAAACCATAAAGGCTGTGGTGATTTACTTTGCGGTGGGTTAGGGCTACCATCGGCTTCTGTATCCTGACCCCAGAGACGGCTCAGAGTTATCTCTCCATCGAGGCTGGCTAGCAGATCCTGGCCGAGACTGATACACTGAAGGTCCATGTCCGATTCCCAGGTTTTTACACTACCTATAAAAACATGAAAAATAGAGGAACAAATATAGGTAGAAATTTTTTGTGGAAAATGTCTAATTGCTAACAACGCACTTGTAATTTGCCTGGTGCTGCGGGTGTCATGAGTGGCGGTAATCACTTACCATCAGGTGAACCGCAAGCTTATTTGTCCCCTAATTTACAGTTAAATCCCGATATATCTGTCAGGGCTAAATGACCTGACTTCATTCTCAACACATTATCTTCCACTGCTACACTACCAACAAATAGTGTTAGAATTATTAATATAGTTAATGATATACCATATCATTAACTATATTAATATATTTATTAATAATATTAATAATTTAGAGGTATGTACTCCAGTCAGCATATTCTGTGGTAATTGCCTAAGTTTTTTATTGTTGTTATTGTAGATATAGTTGTTGTGCAAGATCCTAGCCAGTCCTCACCATTTCAGCCTTAACATTAAAAAACATTACCTTACCTTCTATAATCCTGTCATAGATCTTCACCTCATTCCTGCCCTGCCTGCCTCGTCGCTGTCTCATTATTGGAGATGACTTAATGTCAACCGGTTCACTGGATGTAACTGGTACCTCCTCAATAATGTCTTCTCCATTGGCATAATCCTCATTTACAGGTCTCTGCAGAATCGGAGCTGTGCTTTTTGTCATCAGAGTTGATAATGCAGATTCTACGCTTGTTATTTGTGGTTTAACATTTTGTACTACATCTTTCGTAACAGATTCTTCTTCTACCTTTTTAATTTCCTCTATCACCTCAACAGGCTTAGCTTCAGGTTTGTCTTCTTTCTTATCTGCTTTGCCTTTCAATGCAGTCATCAATTTATCATTTATCCAGACAGGATCTGCTAGTGTATTATCAATGAAGTTGTCCAACTTCTTTGATAGAATTCTGACCAGTAACTCCAATTGTGGTGTCTCCCAGAGCTCCCAGGATACAAGGTCTTTGAGTATCACCCGTAATATGTCAGCACAATGATCGGCAGGTTCCGTTTTGTTTGATGCATTCCATATACAATGGGATTTCTTGTATAGGGATTCGATGGGCTCCTTTGGAGTGCTTTCGTGGCGTTTGAGTGCTCTTTTGTACTCTTTCAAGTGGCTGACAAGAATGGAACAGATGTCGATGTAAATATCTTTTGTTTCGATCTTGTTACAGATCTAAAATAGATAATTATTTCATTGTAATCTACAGTAAACATTGAGTAAGATTTGCATATATATATGTATATTGGGATATAATGAATTATAAGTAGACAGGGAATTGGCTATGTGTGTGTTTCGGGGTCAAATCAGCAATTTTCAGGTGCTTGGTTTACTCAGATTTAGGGTACTAGATAATTATCTGGAGCAGTGACGAAGGCCCCAGTTGTCAGCAAGGGCGGATCCAGATTTGGCGCCAGGAGTGGGTCAAATAGTCGTGGGCAAGTCAAAAACTTATAATTTAATTTCGATAACAATGGATACAAGTAAAAAGTAGGTATTTGATTAATGTACGTAAGTACTGTACTTAAAAATATTAATAAAATCTGTATGGTAACAAAATATATAAATAAAATAGGGGGGGATGGATGCCCTGGATCCGCCGTTGGTAGTGGTACTTCGCACAAGGCGCCGCTGACACTCGCACTGGCCACTCTCGAACAAATAGCAGAAAGAATGGATTTGTTTATGAGTAGTCTGTGTGAATTCACAAAGACAATATTGTATTATATATGTTACATCAACGAACATGTATAATATAGTATTACATACACTATTGTATTGGGCTTAGGCCTGTAATAATAGTTGTGTAAATAAATCTATACATCTATAGTCTATACATATAAATAAAATTGGAGTGTCTATTTTTAATATTGAAATAACCGTTTTTTACTACATGCATATGAATATAAATATGGAACATTTTTTACAATTTTTGTCTGTCTGTTTGTTCCGGCTAATCTCTGAAATGGCTCTACCGATTTTGACGGGACTTTTTTTGCAGGTAGCTGATGTAATAAGGAGTAACTTATGTTACTTTTATTTTAGAAAAATAAAGTGAAATTCCATGCGGATGTAGTCACAGGCACAGCTAGTAAATAATTATATTTCAAACAATTAGTTTTTTTTTTAATAATTTCAATACTCATTTCAGAAAAACTTAACTTACATATTAAAGGCACTAATACCATAAGATAAGATAAGCAATACTAATTTTAAAAATGTGAATTTATGTATGTTTGTCTGTATTATTCATTATTAGGCTTAATATCTATTAAGCCTAATAATCAATAATCGTTCCTTTAGACATAAGAATGTTTTAATGTGAATCATCATATTGTTAATTAACATTTTTGATAAAAAGCTATGACAATGAGGATACCAAAATAAAAAACTATGACTTACTTGGTTTTCAATCATCACAAATTTTTTTAATTTATTTATTTATTAATTTCAGGCCACTAGGCCCATATTGTATACATGTAAAATACCTTATAAGACTAACATACATCTATACATATAAATAAAATTGGAGTGTCTGTTTGTAATATTGAAATAACCATTTTTTACTACATGCACATGAACATAAATACGGTATATACACCAGAATAACATTTTTTACAATTTTTGTCTGTCTGTCTGTTTGTTCTGGCTAATCTCTGAAATGGCTGGATCGATTTTGAAAAAACTTTTTTGGCAGGTACCTGATGTAATAAAGAGTAACTTAGGCTACTTTTATTATAGAAAAATAAAGTTAAATTCCGCACGGACGAAGTCGCGGGAATAGCTAGTATGAAATAACATTATAAAATTAAGATATTGAAATATGGGACTATATTGGTTATTTGGTTTGGAAAAAGCTTTAGGGTACTTTTATTGTCATCAAACATAGTCATAACAAAGTGTTAACTGGTAACAAGTTACTGATAGTTTTCAATATATGTATCTTTAACAAATAAAAATATTCTTTACCCCTTTCAGGACAATGAATTTTTTTTTAAGATTAATTACAATTTATAATCTCCCTATCAGGTTATGTAAGTTTCATGGATAACAATGGACTTATCACACACACATAGTTTTTTAAAGTTGGTAACTCAACCCTATATCATTATATTCTGGGTGGGATAGGTGTATAGCAAGCATGTTATGGACATGAAATTTCAGATATAGGAATGATTATTATACCAGATACAGATGCGGATATGAAATTATTTCAGATTATCTGTTAGTTTCAGATAATTTCAGTCACAGATATTATTTTTTTAAGGAAATACAAAAGTAAAATACAAATTGTTCATAAAATAGTTACATAATGTGTCTCAATTAGGCTCCACCCCTATCCAATATTATTCAAACTTTAATTTCGGTTATGGGTATGATTTTTTTTTATATTGGATATCCAATAATTTCGGTTATGTTCATGGAGCTCCCTAACATCACTAATGTATAGGTGTAATAGGAGTAGTGTGGGGGAAGGGGATTGTCAGTAATGTGGATTGATAACCCAATTGCTAGCAATGTACCATGTCAGATCGACCTCCACGCGGTTTCCCCTGGAAACCATCGTGTTAAATTCCTGGTGAATTTGTCACGATGGGCTAACTGACCTGACCTCATGTTAATCTAGTCATCCTTCACTGGTGCCCCGCCAGCGTAAACAGTTAGCGCAGGCGGGTGAACCATTCCATTATCATCCACAAAAAAAAAATAGGAGTAGTGTGTGAGAAAAACATAGTGACTGTTACCTGAAATGTCTTCCCAATCATTTGATCCAGCATTTGTTTACAAGCAAATGGAAAACCAATTTCGTCCGATATGTACGGTATATACCATGACGACACGAGTTTCCTCTCCAACACGCTCGATATAACACTAAGCTCATTAGTGTCATATTCCTTACAATCCTCACCAGCAACCTTCTTCCTGTTTGGTGGTAGCACCCGACACAGAAACGATAATTGTGGATACGCCTTTACGACATCTTCTAAGTTGTAATTTATAGGCTTATTTAAATGTAACAGCCACTGTATAAACTTAAAACTAAATAGTATAGATACTATAAAAACGATCAAAATGTACATTGTAAACCAAATACCAGTGATAGGCGAAATATTGGTTGAATAGTTGAGAAAGATGCATATTAAAGTGCCTCCGGTCGATATTAACGCTGAAGTTTCAAGTAAATTCCTTTTTAAAAACATTTTTAGGGACTTTCAAGCCGGATAAATATAAATAAACATATAGGTAAGTAGTCATTTAAAAGAACATATTTAATAATTTATTTTCCATCTATTGTAGATATTAGCAATTTAATTTAGAAAACTTAATATTTTACTTTCGTTACATTTCACAATTTCACACTTATATAGGAATCCCTTTTGCAATTTTCCAATTAACTATACTCTTTTGCAAGTAATGATATTAAGTATTGGTATGGTAAATTTGGATTTGGTACATTGGGCTGTTATCATATTTTTTTTTTCTTGTTCTGTTTATCTATTCATGGAAAGGCAAAGGAAACTATACAGCATTGAGATATTCCGTATGACATTCACGTCAATGCTCAATCATTCTGCCTGTCAATTTTTCTAATCTGTGTAATAAAAGTGCTTTGTCTATCTATGACACGTATTTGATGTTTTCTTGAAAACCTTGAATTTAACAATTCTCTCGAAGTAATATTTTTTATTTTCTACTTTTACTGTACGTGTATATACAATAATGTAAGAAAATAATTTTCTTTGATTACACTTTTATATTCAATCTCTTTTAAATAGAATATGTCGCATTCTTCTTACACAAAACATTACTTTTTCAGGTCGAAAGTAACATTCAAGATCACATTAACTTCGGATCCAAAACTGCCTTTTAAAGTGTAAGTATTTGGTTAAATTGCTTAAAAATTCATAGATATCATTGTGGAGTAACTTCAAAGTAGATAGTTTGCACTTACTATTCTATTTGTGGGGAAAACTCCAAACGAAATAAGAAGAAAAGTTTGTTCATTTTAACAGATGCTGAGTTATCGTGGGTACTACATTGAAGTTACACTGCTCTGATATGGATACAGCTGTCCTAAGGCAGTTTCTAGACTATTTCCAAGATTTCCTTCATTTATGCCAGTTAGAAAATTGGCCAAACAATGATACCACTGAGACTGAACTACAGAATGCCTTTTTAATATCACAACACATCGAAAAATGTATGGATAGACTTCAAAAGAACGAAACTATTAATGAGTTTCTGTCTACTTTACATAATGACAAAGAAACTTCCGGTACATTCCTCAAAATGTGCCTGGGAGACCCTCCTAAATATGTACTGAAGAAAATTATCAATTCCGAAACAAAAATCAGCCAAATGGACACAGGGTTCCGGATGTTTCTTCAGTTGTTCCCCGAGCAGAGATTAGAAGATAGCTTGACTGATATAATGTTGGAGGCGGCATCTAAGGAGACTCTTTTACGGAATTTATCACAAGAATTTGATAAAGATAAAATTGTTGAATTCAAAAGTCAAATATTCCTCTCGGAACTGCACAAATGTGAGAATACAAAAAACATAGTAGCTGATATCCTAGTTAAACCTAACCAGAGTATAATTAACTTGTTAGTAACGAGTTTGTTGAATAAAGAAGTTAAACACTTGACTACTGTAACAAATATTGCTAGTGCATTTAAAGATGTAATGTTATCCAGAAATCATAGTAATCAGTCCTTCTGGAAGTATCTTTTTAATGTTGATGAGGAAAAATTCATTCAGTTATGTTTACATTACAGTGATTTATTTAAATTAATCACCAACTCTTTAATTGATTGTAGTAAGTTATTGAGAGAGAATATGTCCTCCGAATTCTTTTATATAGATATAACATATTCCCAATTAGTTAGTATTGTTAAAAGAATATGCTCAAACGATAGTTTACGAATTGAGTTTACAGATATTGTTAATGATGATAGTTCCACAATGAGTTTCTGGCAGGGTATGATGTGATATATATTTTTTATTAAACTGGAAAGACTTATTATTGTTGTATTATTTAATAAAGCATTTACATATTTAACAATTGTAAAAAAATATATGTATAATTTGCAATAAGAAAATATATAAAATTTGCAAAAAAATGTAAATGTAACATTACATATTTTTTTGTTACTCTGTTTAGTAAATAAAGTGTTGAGAATACTCTTTTCTCTATTTAAAGTTTTCTTGTATTCTATAATCAAAACTATAAAAACAAAATTATGTATTATGTCACTTCACTCTCTACCATCTTACCATTAAATACATTTTTCCAGTCATAAATAGTTTTACTACATATTTCTACAACATAACGGCTGTGGCAATCACTACAAACAATGTCACCACTGTAGGAACAGGCCGGCCAATCCGGGACATTCACGGCCACCCACCCGCTTGCTATTTTATAAATATGTCAACTGTACCTATAGGATGAGTAGTATATTCCTTGCAGTTAGTTAAGACACACGCAATTTGGTCGGCATAAAGTTTTGTGTAGTTTACCAAATAAAACAGCTTTCCATAAGAGGGGCTTTAACTCACCATAAAACCCTGAGATCCTCACACCTAAGGCTTATAAAAATATATTAAATAATTATAAATATATTCAAGTGATAGTCTACAATAGCCAACATTATGTGTATAGTAGGTATCCAAGTATAATATGTATGTATTTACGAAAAAAAAAATATCTATGTATTTGTATCAGTTGTCTAGTACCCATAATACAAACTTTAGCTAGCGTAACTTGGGTCTATTAATGAGTATGATTGTTTGTATCGGTCTGGGTATTTTCTATGTATAATATGTTTTTTTTTACAAAAAAAATGTATCCATGTATTTATATCAGTTGTCTAGTACCCATAACACAAGCTTTAGCTAGCTTAACTTGGGTCTAGATCCTCAGTTATTGTTCTGAGATTATTACATCTTAAAAATATGTTAAACAATTATAAATGCATACATATTATTGTCAAATAACTTTACGATTTTTGTTGTATCAGTAATTTCCGTGTTAAATATCACACTTCAAACCAGAATACAGCTTACAAAGCAATCTGCATAGTGGCAGAAATCTGTGAGAAAGAGGTACACGAACCAACAAATTTGTACACTCTAATTTTAGTCTCAGCAAAATTTTATAATTCACTACCTGTCCCATGCAGCTTCGGCTGTTCCCATTGGTTGTAGCATGGTGTTATAATACCTATAGCCTACATAGATAAATGGGCTACCAAACACAAAATTTTCAAAATCGGTTCAGTGATTACTCTCACAACCTCACAAACTTTACTTTATAATATTAGTTTGGTGGTCTAGCAGTTTAGCACACCACTTTCCTTCCTATTGTTGCAGGTTCGATTCCTTGCACAGTATATGAGTTAGTTTGTATAGTTTGGTTGTTTTCTATGTATATTATCTATATATTTACACAATATCCAAGTATTTATATCAGTTATCTAGTACCCATAACACAAGTTCTGCTTACCTTGGTACTAGATGGCGTTGTTTGATTTGTCCACGGGTATTATTAATCTCTTTTTTTCTCTTCTTAGAAGACAATAAATACTTAAGAAGGTAATAAATACTTAACCAACCTGGGCCTTGGCCAAGTGTATTGCGGAATGAGTTTTTTTCTCTTTTATATATATATTTTATATACAGTGGACCCGCGGTAATCCGGCCCCACTTGTAATCCGACATTGTCTATTATTTGTTATTGAATATTACTTTGACAATATACCTCAGAGTGCATATACATACATACATATATAACAGAATCTTATCACTGGATCTGTAATTTGTCGGATTACAAGATACTCTTTTGTAAAAAATTCTGGACTATAGGGACCCTTACGCAGCACTCTATCATCCGACAAATACGATGGTCCGACACTGCCCTGCAAAACGTTTGTCGGATAACCGGGGGTTCACTGTATTATGTTATATATGTTTAACCAAGGAAGTTAAAATAGGGAAATAAAAAGTAATAGTATATTTTTTAATTTATTATTATGAATTCTTCAGTCTGAGTGTACCGGAGGCGACGCCGTTTACGGCGGTCCTGAAGTTCGCTGCTGAAGAGTTCAGGGTGGAGCCTGCCACCAGCGCGATCATCACCGACGATGGCATTGGCATCAACCCTCAACAATCAGCTGGTATGTCACAATTCATGACATTCTAACTGCTCCCACCTCATTGAAGATTTAACTGTGATTAAGTAAAACTCGATTCTACCTGATTTGAATTTAAAAATTAAAATGTATTGTTTTAACATATACAAACTCATTTGAAAAGAATGAGAGCCGAGTTTCTTGTCAGTTCTTCTGATCAAAAGCACTCCGAACTGACGGTAGATTTGACATATCGTAAGTCTGTAATAGACATAGATACATGAAAAAACTCTAGTCGACATGTCCTTCTATATATACATGTAATATACTGGTTGTTACCCGCGACAACGTCCGAGTAGAAATTAACTTTTTTTTTATAAAATAATATTTTTAAAATAGAATCGACCCACAATGAGTGGCTACACACATTGAGGGTCGATTCTCTCAGTCCTTCTTCTCAGGGACATATGTTCTGGGATGTCGAATCATTGACTTAAGTTTTTAGGAGGATAACATAATAAAGATAAAAAAATTAACGTGTATAAATAAAAAATATGTCCTTTATGAAAATGATTCAGACTTCGAATGTAATCTTAGTTATGCTTCACTGTAAATTTTAAACTCTATTGATTTCAGGTAATGTATTCCTGAAGCACGGCTCCGAGTTGAGGCTAATCCCCAGGGACAGGGTGGGACATGCCCCGACTTAGTCACAAAACTATCATTCCATTAATGTAAGCGATGTTTTATATAATCTATATTATATTATGTTATTATATTTTATGTGTAATTAAATGTTTTTTGTAATGATACATGTAGTTTTCATTGTCATTGTATATAGACGTGTGCAAAGTTGGTATAAATAATATTTATCACTAGTTATTACCCACCCCTCCCAAACGGGGACCGATGTTACGACGGCCTGAGCTGAGGTTCGAAACTCTGTCGGTGTCCTCAGACTCAAAGTCGTATCCGTCAGGCGGGAGTTGGCCTTCAGTCGCTCTATAAGTCCTTCCTTTGGTTTGGAGTGCATCTGCACTCGCCCACTATCGTCCGGTGAAGCTGTAAAGGCCAGCTGTGGCCAACAGCATTAAAGTAGTCCGAAAAAAAAAAGTTATTACCTACTACGTAATCCATGTGGAAATTAACTTTTAGTAATTAAAATAAATTTCTAAAATAGTCTAAGTTACTTCTCATAATATTAGTTATCTGCTAGTGATAGTCCCGTCAAAATCTGTTCATCTATCAGAGATTACAAGAACAAACAGGTAGACAAAATTTTGTCTGTCTGTCTGTTTGTTCCGGCTAATCTCTGAAATGGTTGGACCGATTTAGACGGAACTTTTATTAGCAGGTAGCTGATGTAATAAGAAGTAACATAGGCTACTTTTGTATTAGAAAAATAAAGTTAAATTCCACGCGGACGAAGTCGCGGGAACAGCTAGTAATAAATAAATAAATAATATGGATACAAAAACAACAGTACAAACTTCAGTAAAATTTATTGCAATTCAATATATTATATCTTACTAACTAGTGGAACGAAATTCTTAACATTATTTACAACGTCTTATTCATTTAAAACAATTAAGGTAATCAACTTTCTTAAAATTATATCAATTTTACAATTTTAATGCACATATTAATTATATGATATTAATTAAGAATTTATTATATGATAAACATAACATAAACATTATAACTGCTTTTATGTTTACACTCTTTCACGGGGGGGAAAAGTGTGCATTTAAATGTACACAAAGAGAGCGAGAAAGAACGCGCGCAAGAGAAAGAGTAAGCGTGTAAATGTAAACAAAGAGAGCGAGAAAGAATGCGCGCAATCCCAGCTACAATCGTGCATGATTTCGCGCGTTTTTGTAATAAATAATTATCACTGCAAAATGGCGAACATCTGGCCATAGAGCAAATAGCAAAATAAGATTATAAAAATAAAATTATAAGATTCAAATTCGGAACGTCACGTCACGCATGGAACATCTATGTTATTTTATTTAAATTTATATACATTTTGCACTTCTCGACCATTCCTTGGCGTCACTATTAAATTCAGTGTACACTACATTCTAAACATTTTTTATTTCAATAATACAACAAATTAAACATTGCAATATTCCTCCAGCAAACATATTGTAATTTTTATTACGAACTATCTGACCCCGTAAACTCCGTTCCGCCTCAAAACTAAATATGTCAAAGGTTTTTTGAAGTTTAGTTACGCAATAAATTTCTGAACGCACCCTTTTTGACAGGTATCAGCAGTTTGTATGGGAAAATAAAATTGTTGTTTTTACTATTCTACATGCAATTTCTTCATGTTTTATCACCGTTTAAACCTTCCCTGGACATCCATGAATATTTCAAGACTAAAATTAGCTAAATGGGTTCAGTCGTTCTCGAGTTTTAGCGAGACTAACGAACAGCAATTAATTTATATATATATATATATATATATAAAAGACATTCTTTATTGTATACGCTGTTGATTGCAAGGAGTGTCAAAGGGAGCTGTCAATAGAAATAACATAAAAAATGGATCGTGCAAAAACAAGTGTGCGTGAATAAGGATATATAAATTATATTATAAAAAGACAGTAATAGTTGAATAATAATTGTAATAAACTTTAAATATCGTTTCTTTGTTTACAGGTGAGTTATATGTGTGATTCATTATTTCAGTGTTAAATAATTGTAGTGTCTTAAAATTTAATAAAACATTTCTTTGTTTACAGAGAAACAAATTTTAGTTTATATTATAAAGAAACCCTGAAAATATCATTAGATAGATATAGATAGATATAGATAGATAGTGCTGGCATCTAATGTTTGGTAAAATTTATTTTAAAACTACGTTTCCCTCTCCACAAGTACGGCTTAACTTTAATTGCAGATGAAGTGTGAATTATGTAACTATTACTATACAGTTTCAGCTTTCAGAAACTCAACTTTCTATAGGGGTTACCTCGAGTAATCTAGGCTCATTTTTTTCCTACACGTAAGTATCTACATATAAGCATAATTTACTAGTTTCTCTATAACAATATGTACATAATACTCAACATTTTGAAATCGCATCAATAAAGTTACTCTATGTTTTCTAATTAATTTATCACTGAAATATCAACTTTTGAAATTTATTATGGGTACTAGATGACTGATACAAATACATAGATTTATATATTTTTTCTTAAGTACATACAAAAAAATACCCAGACCGATACAAACAATTATACTCATACATACAAATGTTCGTTCCGTGTGGGGAATTGAACTCGATACCATCGAAAGTAAGGCCAAACCGCTAGACCACCAAGGCCGTCAAAGGAAATGCATGCATTTATATCAGTTGTCTAGTACTCATAACACAAGCTCTGAATAACTTGAGACTAGATGGCATTGTGTGAATTGTCCAAGAATATTATTATTAATAATATTGATCATAACAAATTAAAACATAATATATAAACGAATATACCGTCCCATACAAGAACCGAATCGTTAAGTTACGTTACGTTTCAGTACAATAACAGTTACAAAACGTTTTAAAATAACAGTTCGTGTTATGTTAAGTTACGTTTGGTTTCGTTTCAACAGATATTTTATAACAGTTTGAAGGCGATTAAAAATAACAGCTAGTTTCTAATCACGATTCGATTTCTATAGCGAACCGGTTTTAACAACGTGTAGTTTTAAATCACGTTTCATTGATACATGAAATATTAAGCAGTCTGTGAACATCTAGCGTAATTAAAAACAGTGCTAAATGCAAATAAATGCTAGTCTATTCTTACAAGAGGCTCCATAGCTCTGAGGAATGATTTCTCGAACTCCGCCTCTGAGAAGCGGCCCACTGACGCCCTGTAAAAAGAACAGAATGATTTTTATTCTGTACCAAGAGAAGCTTGTTTGTATTCCCGAATAGCTTTTTACTTTTTAAATAATTTTGAAAACAGAACGTCACGTACATAACAGTGTTTTGTTTTTTTTTATTAATGTGTATACAGTTCTTCTCGAACATTCCGCGGCGTCACCAATAAATATACATATATATAATAAACCTTCTCCCAATACTGTTAATATATATATATAGATATATTAACAGTATTGGGAGAACATATATACATAATAAAGCCTACGATATATGTTTTAAGTTTGACTCGAATTATTTATAAGTATAATTAGTAAACCAGGCAATAAAAATAAAACGGGGCGATTTAATAATTATAGTTATAAAAAGGAAGCAAATCTAATCACTTCTCTCCAGGAAAAAGAGGAAGAAGGAGATAAGGACGGTTTTGGACCTTATTTATTATTTTTTTGTTTTTTATACATAGCGACAAAAGTGTATATAACTTTTCTGTAAAGCAAATCCCGGAGAGATTTATATTTTTTAAATTACGTAACGAATTTTAATGGTGTTTTCAGCAACAAATAGAGTAATTCAAGAGGAAGATATACATATATAATAAATGCGTATCGTCATACAGAACAAGCCGAGAAATTCTATTTGTAATGCATCTATATGAAGCAGGGAGGTCGCCAGTTAACAAAAAAAATATATCAGTACCTTGCAGCCTGAACTATCCTTTTTCTCTCGTCAATAGGCAGAGCTATCACCTCGAGTATTGCTCTCGCATACTCATCAGCCTCAGTTGCGAGGAAACCAGTGCGGGTGTCGTCCGCGGTGTGCACGATGTCGCCGAGCGGCCCCCCCGACCGGTGTGCCACCATTATCAAGCCTGCTGCCATGCATTCTACCACACCTGGTGATAGAAAAAAAGCTGTTAAAACATAAGATACAGGAGAAAGAGGTTAAGAGACGTAAGATATAGAAGGCATGACTTCTAGGCATCTGGAATGGCAGCGTGTTAACCGTGAACCATTAGAATAGAATAGAAAATCATTTATTCAAATAAACTTAATTTAAGCACTTTTGAATAGTCATAACAATTTGTTTTTTATCTACCTAATAGAATAGAAACTGAATAGAATAGAAAAACATTTATTCAAATAAACTTACATTGAAGCACTTTTGAATAGTCATTACATTGTTTTAATCTACCGCTCATTTGGAAAGCTGTCTCATCACAAGAAGAACGAGCAAGAAATTAACATGCATCACGTGTTTAAACGTGATTTTTAGTGATTAGGACTAAGGTTCTATTCCTAGCAATAATATTAATAAGAAATTTTGGCAACTTGAGGTAGACCATCTCTACACAGGGATGCAGTTGAGAAGGGAAGGGAGCTAATCTCACATCTCCACCTTGTTGGAAACCATGCTCTTATTAGCTGGGGTTCATAAGCGGCTAATGTCCTACATGACTAACTGATTTTTTAATTGATTAACTGTGAATCGTTCGACATGATGCCTACGGCTACCTTTTACCATCGCACCACTCGCCATTGACAGGGAATTCATCCCCACACGCTAGAACCTAAGTGGTATCGGACAGTACGGTTTTAGAGGAGCTTCCTCCCGCGTACACTTAGATTGTGGAACTTCCTGCTGAAGGTTTTCTCACGAGACTACAGCATTGGTTTTTTCAAGAAGGGTATATTAAGGTTTCTTAATGGTCGGCAACGCGCGCGTGACACCCCTGGTGTCTCAGTTCATAGGCTATGGTAACCATTTACCATCAGATAGACCGTATGCTTGTTTGCCACCATCTTGTCTTAGTATTATTTTTTGTTCTTTGCGATAGCATATGCTGGTGGTCACTCTATTCTCCCAAATTTGAATTTTAATAACTGTATTTATCATAAACATGTTCCACTATTATTTGAAAAAAATACGAGCTGAGTTTCTTGTCAGTTCTTCTCATCTCGATATCATTCCGAACTGACGGTAGATTTGACATATCATAAGAGTCTGTAATAGACCTACATGAATAAAGATATTTTGATTTTGAATTTGAATTTGAATATCAAATAAAATTACAAAATTTACTAACTAATGCCAAAGTGCTCATTCCACATGGCATGCAGGCCGACGGTAGATGTCTGGTAGAGTTGTAGCAGACGACCATACGGCGCGTTCACCACAAACTGGACATTGTCTTCTAAAGACAGATGCTTGGAGAGGTCCTTCAGGTTCTGGACCCTCTCCTCATCCTCAGCATTGCGGCAGGAGCCCACAAGGATCAGCTTTATCTGGAATTTGGAAGTCTTTGTATTAAACAACAGAAAAATACATTTGTGGTTTCCGTATGTGTAATTTTTTTTCAAACAGTTTCATATATAGTGCACAGGTAACATATTGACAGAGAAATAGACCTACTTCAGTGTTTAGGATATTATTATAAATGAGTCTGTGACTTGTATCTGTGGTATTAAGGTATAATTTCAAATACCAATGGCGCAAAGTGGCAGGTTGAGTTTGATTTATTTATTTCTTACGATAATTTTATCTTTTCATATTGTTGTACAATAAAGTATTACAAAAAATAAACGAGCTCTTTCACTTTTAGAAATATTTTATAGAAAATTATATTATTAGTCAATAATATCAATTATATTTCACGCGGACAACACTGCCGGCTAAGACTAAGTTAAAAAAACAAAAACAACAAAAATGATTTTCAATTGATATAAGATAATAATCTCAGACAATTCACACAGCGCCAAGTCCCAACCTAAGCACACGTTATGGGTACTAGACAACTAATACAAATACACATTTTTTTGTAAATACATACATACATAACATACACAGAAAATCTCCAGACCAATACAAACAATTGTACTCTTTGTACCGTGTAAGAAATCGAACCCGCGACCAACAGAAGTAAAGCGATGTGCTAAACCGATAGACCACCGAGGCCGTCACTGTCAAATTATCACCTCACCTTATTCCAAAGCAGTTCATTCTTCACCAGCAAATTCCTCAGCTCGTACAACGCTTGCAGCATCAGTGGATGATCTTTCTCCGGTCTGAACTGTGCCACTGACAGTATGTTTATAGGATCCGTATCTTTTACTAAAGAACGCAGCTGTTTTAGTTCTGATACCTGCAATTTAATTTAATGCAAATGCATCTTATATGTAAAATTCCTATGTTGTGTTCACAATGTTAGTTACCATCTCCTCTGGTAGAATCAAAATATGACTATTAAAAAGTGCTTGTAATGAGTTTATTTGAATAAAAATAATGTATATTTCTACTAGCTTTTGCCCGCGGCTTCGCTCGCGTTAATTTATCCCCTTCATCATCATCATCATCGCAGCCCGGAAGACGTCCACTGCTGGACATAGGCCTCCCCCAAAGATCTCCACGACAATCGGTCCTGCGCTGCTCGCATCCAATGCCTTCCAGCGATCTTGAGCAGATCGTCGGTCCACCTTGCTGGAGGCCTTCCCACGCTGCGTCTTTATCCCCTTAGGGGTGGAATTTATCAAAATCCTTTCTTAGCGGATGCCTACGGCACAACATCTACCTGTATGCCAAATTTCAGTACGATCCGTCCAATGGTTTGGGCTGTGCGTTAATAGATCACTACGTCAGTCACCTTTGAGTTATATACATTTAGATTTCCGAAAAGGCTTGACCGTTTTTATGAAATTTTATATGCATATTCAATAGGTCTGAGAATCGGCTACTATCTTTAATACCCTTAAGTGATAAGGGATGTCCACCCTTAACACTTATATTAAATTTATTATTTTTTTTATAATGTCGCATTAAAAATACATACAACCCTAAATTTTTACTCTTCATCACCAACACCTATTTTTTAATAGCGATTTTTTCACGCAAAAATTACTAAACGGATTTTGCTGAAACTACAATAATATATATTATACATTAGAGTATAATATATTATCAGAATCAATTGAATTAATGCTAATTAGTGGTTTGTATTCACACACTTAAATTTAAAAATGTAAAGTAAAAATAAAATTATTCAAATTTTTTTTTTTTATAATGTAGCATTAAAAATACATACAACCCTAAATTTTTACTCTTCATCACCAACACCTATTTTTTAATAGCGATTTTAATTTATATGATATAACGACATTTTCGGGGTCAGCTGGTACATATATAAAATAATTAGTTATAAAATAATTAATTAGTAAAATTACAAACGACTTGAACCAAAAGGTCTCATACCGAATAAACTTGATGTGTTATATCTTCTAAATCAGGAGTGTGCAACCTTATTTAATCAACGAGCCGATTTACATTTTTTTTTTTGCTGAACCGCAAATAAAGTAATGGATAATGTTCAAAACTTTAATTATAATGAACATTAGAGCTAATATTTGTATTACGTGTTTGAACAAAACGATGACAAGTGATTAGTACAAAAGTACTCGTCACAACAAATTGTTTCGGATTAGTATGTGCTATCATTTTATTATAATTAATTTTATAACAATATATTTATAGGAGAAAGTAGAAAAAATAAAATAAATTATGAAAATGCTTGGCGGGCCTCATAAATATGTTTAACAGGCGGCCCACATAAACATGTTTGCCCGCGGGCCGCGTGTTGTTTATCCCTGTTCTAAATATTTAAATGGCTTTTTTTTAAAGTCGGTCTAAATGCTGAAGTGTACTCACCTCACAGGGTGGATACACTTTGTATGTCTTTTCCGGGACATCCCACAGCTCCTCTATGTGACCCTCGGTCCAGGATCCATTCACCATCACTATATCTGCGCAGCGACCCACGATGCCGTACAACTGCAAAAGAGAATGTGGCGCCGTGGTCATCACCTCACCACTGTAGCGTTATATATGATGTGATGAGGTGTCGCTACATAATATATAGTTCATTGTAGTATGTAGGTATTGAGTAGACAGGTGTAATAATTGTACTATTTATTGTTCATTAGTAAGTTTATTAGATAGTGGGTTAATAGACCAGACGTAGACTGACTTTACACTGGACTTAAATCTTTACCTTAGTGGAGACGTAAACCAATTGAAGGGTCTCAAGTTTTGAGATTACATCGTCGATTAAATAGAAAAATGTTATTTTTCAAATTTAGTACATTGAATTGCCTCCTTTTATATAAATCAATTAAATTAACCACGCCGATCTTAATCATTATCTAAATACTTTTAAAATGATATATAATTCATCCGTGTAAATTTAAAACCATAATTAAACTAAAAAAATGAATATTTTCTATACTACAATTTTTCTATTTAAATGACGACATGTGTAGCCGGTACACTGTCGAGCGAACTGCGAAAGTTTGTGAATAGATGGCGTATAGTATAGATGGCACAGTAGTTTGTACAAGAAATAAAATATCACCAAAAAATGACATTAATGGATAATATAGTGAGCTCAAGATGCTTTTAAATAAACCTCCCTAATGTTTGTTACTCTTTCACGCAAAAACTACTGAACGGATTTTGCTGAAACTTTACAATAATATATATTATACAGCAGAGTATAATATATTATCAGAATCAATTGAATTAATGCTAATTGGTGGTTTGTATTCACACACTTAAACTTAAAAATGTAAAATAATAATAAAATTATTTAAAAGAGCAACACGCAAGTTTCTTGCTCGTTCTTGTGATGAGACAGCTTTCCGAATGAGCGGTAGATTAAAAAAATGTAATGACTATTCAAAAGTGCTTCAATGTAAGTTTATTTGAATAAATGATTTTCTATTCTATGCTAATACGGTATAAATTTCACGCGGATGAAACCGATCTGGTCAAGATCGCTGGAAGGCATTGGATGCGAGCAGCGCAGGACCGATCGTCGTGGAGATCTTTGGGGGAGGCCTATGTCCAGCAGTGGACGTCTTCCGGGCTGCGATGATGATGATGGATGAAACCGCGGGCACTGCTAGTATATAACAATTTTATACAGTCATACTGTTGATAAAACGGTTATTAATTGTTAGTAATGTGATTAGTCCACATTACTAACTGTTACTGGCAGCTTATCTACCATTCTTTTTATAAACTTTAATTTTTTATATCTATTTTTTATACGTCACTTGACTAACTATATATTGTTTTGTTACTTCTTGCTGTGAGCCCTTTTGTAATACACATTTTTACTAATATTTGGTTTTTATTAAAATAGTAGTTGTGTTCCGGCTCCAGTAACACTAACTACTTCTTCCTGTAGTTAGTTCTAAATAATACCACAGATAACATAATATTACGGGATCCCCCCTGTAATATTATGTTATCTGTGAGTAATGTTTGACGACCGCGGTGGTCTAGTGGTTTAGCACACCGCTTTACGTCCGATGGTCGCGGGTTCGATTCCTCGCACGGCACAAACATTTATATTCATGAGTATGATTGTTTGTATCGGTCTGGGTGTTTTCTATGTATAATATGTATGTATTTACAAAAAAAAATATCTATGTATTTGTATCAGTTATGTAGTACCCATAACACAAGCTTTAGCTAGCTTAACTTGGGTCTAGATGGCGCTGTGTGAATTATCCTGAGATTATTATTATTATTACATTAATGTGAGGGGATTGTTAGTAATGGGAACTAGTAACCCCCATTGCTAGCAATGTACCATGTTAGGTCGACCTCCACGCGGTTCCTCCTGGAAACCATCGTTATAAATTCCTAGTGAATTTGTCACGATGGGCTAACTGACCTGACCTCATATTCATCTTATCATCCTCCACTGGTGCCCTGCCAGCATAAACCGTTAGCGCAGGCGGGAGCACCATTTCATTATCATCCACAAAAAAAAACATAATACTTACCCATCCAAAGATCTTGTAGTAAAACAATTTGATCCACGTGAACAGTGGATTCCTGGCTATGAGGCTGGAGTTATTGTATGCCACTATCCTGTGCTGAACTCTGCGCATCATGGCGCTAGTGATGGTGGGGTAGTGCACGTAGCACCCCACGGGACACTGCGCCAGGTACCGGAATATGGGGTATGTGAATGCGAATCCAGTTGTGTCAATGTAAATATCTGGTAAGAAAACATTTTATTTTTCTATACATATAAATAAAATTGGACTGTCTGTTTGTAATATGGAAATAACAGTTTTTAAATACATGCATATGAATATAAATACGGTACATACACCAAAATAACATTTTTTACGATTTTTGTCAGTCTGTCTGGCTATATGTTTGTTCTGGCTAATCTCTGAAATGGCTGGACCGATTTTGACGGGACTTTTATTGACAGGTAGCTGATGTAATAAGGAGTAACTTAGGCTATTTTTATTTTAGAAAATTAAAGTTAAATTCCACGCGGACGAAGTCGGGGGTACAGCTAGTTTTTTATAAGTCTTTACGGCTAAATTTGTATTTACGTAGTATAATATGAAGTCTTTTTTTTTTTAATGGATGATAATGGAATGGTGCACCCGCCTGCGCTAACGGTTTACGCTGGCGGGGCACCAGTGGAGGATGGTAAGATGAACATGAAGCCAGATCAGTTAGCCCAACGTGACAAATTCACCGGGAATTTATCACGATGGTTTCCAGGGGGAACCGCGTGGAGGTCGACCTGACATGGTACATTGCTAGCAATGGGGTTATCAATCCACATTACTACCAATCCCCTCCCCCCTATAATATGAAGTCGTCGTTTCCGCTGTCTGTTCGCTTAGATCTTTTAAACTACGAAACGGATTTCAATGCAGTTTTTATCCTTCGGGTGGTGCGGCTAAGGCAATTTGTTCACTGGTGAGGTAATGGAGTGATTGTTTTTAGGGTACAATAAGACTGACATGTACTTAGATAGTACAAAAGTCCCTAAATTAAAAAAAAAAAAATAAAAATGCAGTTTTTATCTGTAGATAAAGTGATTCAATAGGTAGCTATACAGTTATAATATAAATAGTACATAAACTCGCAATCAAAGCTACCATATCGTAGTTAAATTTGTTCTTCTATCGTGTATGTAATGCGTAGGAATGAAGATCATATCCTAAGGACGGTGTTACATATGAATAGAGACCGGATTATATGCAACATAAAAAGCTTGTTATATGCATGAACAATGCTTGAAATATACACGAAAATTGGCAGAATATGCAAAATTAAATGTTAAATTTTAGGAATTCCGAAAAAAAAATAGAAAAGTATTATTTTTTTGTATTTCAAAATCAGCATAAAATTAGTAAATTACTTTTTGGTAGGCGATAGGTGAAGTAAGTATAGGTGAATAATATGTAACTGAACATGTAACAATTTATATGCGTAATAGGCGGTACGACTTTGTTGTAGGCGAGTGCGACGTTCTTCTGTCTCTTTCATTTTTTTATCGTAACTGTCAAAATAAAAGACGGCGACTACTGACTGCGTTCCGAAATGTAGTCAAAAGTCACAATTATTACTCAATAGCCCTTATATTGTGTGACTGTTATTATATTAAATTTGATCGCATTTCGGAACGCAAGGTGAGTGAAAAACATTGTAAATGTACCAATAATATGCATCGTAACTAGATCTTAGGTAAAATATACCTCTGAGAATGGCTAAAATCCGGTCTGTACATATGAATGTGGATGGTTCTCTACCCTATAGAGGAAGACCGAAAAAGAGATGGATGGACTGTGTGAAAGATGATATGGTGAGAAAGGGAGTAAATAACGGGATGACTGCGAACAGAGATGAATGGAAGAGAAAAACATATTACGACGACCACAAATAAATGGGATAAGGAAGAAGCAGATGATCATAGTTAAATTCGTTTTTCTAAAATCTTAAGAACTTATATTTATATAGAATAAAAAAAATATTTTTCAAATAAATGTAGTACCACAACCTTCTCATAGATAATTAGCAATACATAAATACCTGGGTTTAATTTCATAAATGCTTCCATTCCCATGATCATAGACCCTAGATTTTGAAGCAGCAACGTGAAGTACGGATACATTTTAACTTCAATAACGAACTGTGTGGATAGACGTATGAAATTTATATTGGCATCCTGCAGTTTCACATTGAACTGATTTTGGGCTTTATCCAGGATTGTCTTTGCTTCAGCCGTTTCAACTGTATAGATGTAGATATTCGTATTGGGATACCTGAAAATACAACAGACATAAATATATTTATGGTTTACAGTTGATTTTTTTTAAAATTAAAGCTACATGGCCTATATTATATATACCTTATAGACTAACATACATAAGAAATAATAATCTATTACATATAAATAAAATTGGAGTGTTTGTTTGTAATATTGAAATAACCTTTTTTTACTACATGCATATGAATATAAATACGGTACACACACCGAAATAACATTTTTTTACAATTTTTGTCTGTCTGTCTGTCTGTTTGTTCCAGTTAATCTCTGAAATGGTTGGACCGATTTTGATGGGACTTTTATTGGCAGGTAGCTGATGTAATAAGGAGTAACTTAGGCTACATTTATTTTAGAAAAAATCTAATTAGTTCTGTTAAGACCCTGTTAATAATATAAAGAATGTATATTAAACACGAAATTAACTAATGTTAATATGTTGTTTCTAGTTACCTCTCTAAAACTGCTTTTATGGCCACCCACAGCACCCTTTCGCCGCCTCCACCTGCATTGCAATAAGGATGGAAGAATGCCACATTTGCACCATCATGGTTCCTCCGTTGCCGTTTGCGTTCCTTTATCCTCATGTACCATGATGCAAAGATGAAGGCAGCTGGCACCAACACAAATGTTGCAAACAGCAGCACTCCGAAGAATATAAATGGCACAACGAAGAGAATGCTAAAAAATAGATTATTATAAATGCGAAAGTTTGTAAGTATTAATTGTTATTCTTCCACACAAAAACTACTGAACTGATTTTGATGAAATTTTACAGTAATATAGCTTATGCATCAGAATAACACATAGGCTATATTTTATATTGAAACATAGCTACTCGCCTCTCGCTTCACATGGGTGTACATGTGTTATATATACAAACCTTCCTCTAGAATCAGAGATCTATTAAAAAACTGCTACAAAATCTGTTGCATGTTTATTTTTAAAGATTTCAGCATACATACAGATATGGACAGCGACTTTATATTATACTATGTAATAATTTAATGTGGTTTCTTTTCAGCCGCCCGAATGAGAGGCCAATTGCGGAAAATGGAGTCCAACCGACATAATGTGGTTTCACCCACCCAGTAGGCACAATTAGTATGAAATATATTAAAATTTTGATGTGGTCATTACAGATACAGACAATAAGGGAAAAACTTTGACTTGACTTTTTAATGAGTTGTAATAGAAATAAATAAATGTGCTAATCCCATGATTTTTTCTGAATTGTATACCCATGAATTGTATGTATAAATACATTTCACTGACAAATTTTTCATTCTATCTTCTTATTATGGATTAAAACACATTTATATTTTAGATTCATGTTTTTTAATATGAATGCTTGTATTGAGGCTTACATAGAATGATTATATTTAAGTACCCTACATATTTCCTTTTTTGATAAAAAGTTATATTGTGGGTGACAATAAAAAACACACAATTATTGTCATACAACACTTCTCATCTAAATAAGTATTTCAAAAGAATTGGTAAATAAAAAAAGTCTATTCAATAACAAAATGAATAAAATAAGAAGAATAAAAGATTATTTTTTATTTAATAAAAGGTTATGATTTTTTGTGAATATGAAAACTGTAGGTAGTTTCATTTAGTTGCCTTTTATAAACATAACTACTATTCATCTATACATATAAATAAAATTGAAGTGTCTGTTTGTAATATTGAAATAACCGTTTTTTACTACATGCATATGAATATAAATACAGTACTTACGAACACCAAAATAACAATTTCTACAATTTTTGTTAAACCATAGATAAACTTGCGTGTTGCTCTTTTAAATAGTCATTATAACTTACATTATTGAGTTAAAATGTTTGAATACAAACTACCAACTAGCACTAATTTATAAATAATAAATAAATACTTTCTTTTTAAAATAGGCCGGTCTATTGTAAAAAAGAAAAGAAAATATGTCTAGGTGTTAAAATATCTTATCTACATTTAAAAAGTGTAAAACGCAAAATTAAGAAGGGTCCACACCATTACATAGTATATAGTCGCCGTCGCTGTCTGTCCGCCCCTAAGTATGCTTAGATCTTTAAAACTATGCATCAGATTTTGAAGTGCTTGTTTTAATAGTGATTCAAGGGGAAGGTTAATATATATAATACATGTACAGCCGTGCAAAGCCGGGGTGAATAGCTAGTATAGCCTACTAAATGGACAATCACTATACTATCTTACTTTAGCATTGGAAATCCTAATTTTGAACTATTTCACTGTTGGACGGTCTTGGGTTTTAATTAAGCAGTGGATATCAGTGGTAAGAGAGTTTAAAACAAATACAAATACAATATATATGAGTATCTTAAAGTAATTTCAACAATTTCTATTGTGATATATGAAAATTTAAACGTAAAATAATATAATTTGGTACTTACGTGATACATAAACAGAACATTGTAGATGAAATTATGGGTGATTTATGTTAAATTATATAGAAACGGTTACTAACTAAGCACATATAATTGCAAGTCGTGACATTCGTATCTTAACGGATTTTATATTTTACGATAGAAGGTACATAATAACAATTTATTGTTAATCGACCCAACATAACCTATAAATCTAGAAAATAGAAATGATAACACTGTCATAAGGATTATATTCACATTGACAATGACAGCTGTCGTGGCAAATGTCATACAACTGTCGATTTCCATTTTCGTTATGGATTTAGCTACTGTAATAGCTTGTCCTAGAGATTTACCAATTTGCCCAATATTTTAGTCTGTTTAAAAAAAAACAATAAATACTGTCATCATTTACAAGCAATTCTAATTAGTACTTTAGTGTGTGAAAGTAATTTCTGAAAACATATATTTTATATCATAAAGTTATTACGGACGGAATCCATAACTCTATGGATTACGTCAAAACTAAGAACTCAAGGCCGTAATAGCTTTAAAAATCTGTTACATTATACCTAGTTCTATAATTCATTTCTTAAATTCTTTTGTTAATTTTGTTTTTTTTTTCTTGGTTTTTGAATTTACGTGTTTTGTATAAAAAATGTAATTTTTCTTTGGTTGTAATAGCAAAAAGAGCAGGTTAACAAAAATATTGACCATTCATCGCTAGGATATTAGTGTTTTGTGTATTACATCGTAGTTCTAACCTAATTTCAATTTTATCTTCGGATACGAACTCTTGGCTGTTAGATTATTTTCTACGAAATAAATTAAAATAATGATAATTCTACACTTACAGTTATTGTTGTTTATGATTTCTTCTAGCCAATATTAGGCTTATGCATAAACAAAAGTTCAGTTTTCCTTATGTGGTATTCTGAATATGTTCGGATAGTTTATTTTAAAATGCTAATGAACATAGAATGAATTTGTCGAAAATACTTTTAGGTAAAGGTTGGTTATTTTTATTTCATATGTTGTACTCTAGGATAAAATAATGAAGATGTAATGTGATGGTCTATTTCAAAGTGAATACCTGAGGAATTAGCAACAAGGGCTTCCAGCAGGCACTATAAGTCTTTTTTTAGTGGATGATATTTTTTTTTTCATATTTTCTTTTCTATTTGCAATCAGCCCTTCGGGCTATAATCAGATTGTGTGGTGTTCTGGGCATTTGGAGATGAGGCACATCCAGTGTTATCTATCTAACTTGTGGTGCTATCTAATTTAATTTCTTCAGATGTTGGCAAGTCAAGCCCTTTTTAGTCTAGATGGACAGTTATTTGTATATAGTAGTTTTAAAGCTAACTGGTTCTTATGATAATGAAAGAAAAAAGTAATAAAATAATGGTAATGAAATTGTACACTAGACTAAATTGTATATCCCAAGAAAAGACAGCTATTGGTAGAAGATGAGATGAGCATTCTGGTGTGATGCTGTCACCTCATCACTGCAGTGTTATGTAGGATGTAATGAGGTGTGACTACATAATTTATTGTTGCCATTAGATAGTATCTAGGTAGTACATATACAAGTGGAATAATTGTACTATATTATCAAGTTTATTTGATTGTGTACAAATGGCTGATTAGAAATGCAAACACTCAAATGTTGAGTTGTAATGCGAAGTGACTATACACTGAACATAAATCTATGTTATATGGAGATTGAATGGAGGGTGCAGTGTTGATCAATTGAGTACAGGCATTTCTCTAATATCAGGGACTTAATTTTTAAAAAAAAAAAAAGTTATTTCATAACTTAAGTTGTTTCGGTAACTTATTATAGAATATCACCACTTGATTCCATGGACAGTCTGCCTTTTCAGAGGTCAAATTGAATATGGTTAATATATTTGGTATCATTGGGAAGTTTAGGTAACACATTAGAGAGAAAAAATAAAATAATAAAGGTATTTTGCCCTGTCTGGCCGCATGATGCTGGTAAGATGGGGTAGCCCTCTGAGGTAAGATGGGGTAGCTCTCTGAGGTAAGATGGGTTATTATATAATATAAAGGGTTAATGATAAACTAGGCCGTCTTTCACTTATTAGAGGCATCCATGATGAAGTTCTATGCTGATTTGTGTGGAGCAAAATCGTTAATCACATCTACAAAATCTATGTTTTCGAGCAATTTACATTCTATCGACATTAGCGACAATCTGGTTAATGCCTCTTGAACTATTGTATCTACTTCTTAATTTTTTATTCATTTTCAATTGGAGAAAGAGCTGTCTCCACTGCAGTTACCATCATGCTTAAAAAGGTTCTCAGTGCCATTTCTATATTTGGAATGGTCTCTTTCAATTTTGTTCTCTTTAAAAAAAATATATATTTCCACTATACTATTAGTTCCTTCATCATCATCATCATCATCAGTTCCTTCATTTTCACTTTAATAAATTTTCAAGTATTCTGTTAAATGCAAAAATTCCATTTCTAACTTTTTCTCGTTTACGTCTTCATAATAGATTTCAGCAAATTCTTTGCAACTTTGTCTCAACCCTTCGCAATTCAGACTTGAAGCGAAAAATGACCAAAACGTTGACTAATGTTCTTATACGAACACAATCGCTGTTTTAGATGAACGCCACGTGTATCAATAATGAGTTTGTAAAATATTTGAAATAGAATTGTTAAATATTTTTCCATTTTATCCAGAAAAACTACTATCTGATAAAAGTTGTTCTTGTTTAATGGCTTTTTATATGTAAACGCTTGAAGATTGCGGCTGTTCAAAATATCGAATAATGTGTCTAAATTTGTAATAAACTCCACAATGGCTGCTGAGGTAGAAAATTCTAACAAATATGAGTTGCTCGTAACAAAATTCGATAGCCACAGTTACTGAACGTTTGTGGTAATTGTACTTTCATTTTTTGCTTGTCATAATTAACGTCCTGGCTCCTTAATTTGTTTGTTAAGTGAATTCCTTCTTTTTGCTGCAACTCCTGAAGTTGTGTTACGTATTGCAAGAAATTACACTTTCCATTGGTAATTTTTTTTATCCCCGAGTGTCTTTGGTTCCACTTTCAACATGTGCAATGGATCCGGAAAAATAACATGTTCGCCGACAGTAAAAGAACATTTAATATTGGTAGGATTTGAAGGCTCTAGAACATATCCTAAGTTTTTTGCCATTGTGAAATTAGCCGGACGTCCATTAAATGTTAACGATAGAGTCTTTACTCCACATAAAGTCAGAAGTTCGACACACTGTCTTATTAAATGATCGTTACAACCGTCTATTAAAAAGTATCCAACCGTTTCCATGAACCGTTAATAGCAGTAACCATGAATACAAGCGCTTCTTTAGCTACACAGCATCACTGTCAACTTCTAAAACTTCTCCAAAGTTAACAAACCCAACACTGTTGTTCCCATTCCATTGAATATGTTTTCGTACAGCCATTTCGTCCATGGAAAGGGCGCAAAACAATGTTTTACCTTTAGCCTTTTTATAGCTTGCTTTGAAAAGGTTAAAAAAGGCTTGCTTTGCAGCTATCTTTATGCAATATAATGATTGTAATAGAATAGAAAATCATTTGTTCAAATAAACTTACATTGAAGCACTTTTGAATAGTCATTAATTTTTTTAATCTACCGCTCATTCGGAAAGCAATACAAGAAGAACGAACAAGAAACTTGCGTGTTGCCCTTTTAAATAATTTTATTATTAAGTACTTTACATTTTTAAGTTTAAGTGTGTGAATACAAACCACCAATTAGCACTAATTCAATTAAAATACTCAAATAGAATAAATATTGAATATATAACCAACTGGTTAAACAATTAATAAAAGGAAATCAGCCATAGTGATTAGAGCAGATCAGTTCCTACAAGCAGCACCCGTTCATGAGTATGACGGATGAACCAGCCGTCACTGCGCTCGACCATATTTTAGGGAGCCCTGTGACCCGGCCCACCACGCCACCACAAGTCTGGACATTTTAGTGAGCATGACTACTCAAAACACTAGACCACGTCATAGCTACTTACAATTGCCATCTGATAGTTATAGTATTCTCATTTTACATAATGCGGCAATCAATACAAAAACCGCTACGCTTTCATATTTCTAAAATAATTAAATCAAGAAAGCAATGAGAAAATTAAATTATAACGTTGTATGCTAATAAACTAATTATTTACTTGATATGTTGTCATCTATGAATTCGTCTATCCTGTAATAGGCTTTCTTACACAAAAATTTTTTAATATAAGATTTGAATAGCCTCTCTGTCAGATTTAGTGCAGATTCTGGCAGTTTATTATAAAATCTTACGCAATTACCGTAGAATGAATTACTGATTTTGTGCAGACGGCATTTAGGTAAAATTAGCTTATTTTTATTGCGTAAGTTTCTGCTTGTACAGTCTTGGAGTTTTTTAAAACTCTTGAGTTCTTCCGTGTATACATGATATTTTCATAAATGTATTGTGAATTAACGGTGAGGATATTTGATTCTTTAAACACTGATGTAATGACTTTCTCGAACCCATGCCATAAATAGAACATATGGCTCTCATGTAAAATAAATATAGTATTTATATCGGCTGCGTTACCCCACAGCAGTATGCCATATTATTAATGCCATTTATTATTATTTTTTTCTTACATTAATAATCAAAAAGAATTAACAATGTGGTTATAGTAGCTTAATCTCAATTTTGTTCATCTTGATTAGAAAAAAAGTCATTAATAGTTGTCTGTTTACCACCGGTAAGAGTTATCACATCCAAAGCGCAATCTAATTTCGTAATGGATTTCACTACATCGTCACTCAAACCTCCCTTTTTGAGAAACACAGATTTTAGTATATTCAAAGCATTATACGCATCTTTTATTGTGAAGTTATGCTCATCAATTTCACCATCTTCATCCGCTTCTACATTAGTAACTGGCAACACAGATGTGAAGATATCAGCATCAGTTAGATGGCTAAATCATTATCAAAGGTAACGAAGTCTTCGAACTCAGTCTCTTGATGGTGTAATTCTTCTTGAACTCTTGGCCATGTCTTAGCAAGTTCTGCGACTGGTAAATCGTCCTCCTCATCTTCGCATGTTACTTTAAACCCACTTTTCTTGAAGCAGTTTGCAATGGTCTTTTCAGTGACTAGATTCCAAGCTTTAGCGATTATCCACATGGC